TAGTATTTCATTTTTTTCTTCATTTGGGCCACTTACAAAACAAGTGATCTAATTTCTGGCCCAACTAATCTAACATTGTTGAAGGTGGATTTGGATCGGGTAACACGTAAGGCCCCTAGGGCTTTTATATAATGAGGTAAAAGAAAGTGTCACGAGTTTTGTTGCCGCCTCTGTCTCTGCTAGGGTTTCTGGAGCAACTAAGAAAACGAGACTGTAAGCCTTTCGTCATCCAGTCACCATGAGAGCCAAGGTAATTTTTATATATATATATATATATAAATACTAAGCGGAGTAAATACCATCTTTTTTTATTATTATTATTATGAAAGCCGTCCTTCAATATTAGTAGTATTTTATTGGTTTTCATTTGTCATTTGTTGAATGATTCTTAACAGTGGAAGAAGAAGCGTATGAGAAGATTGAAGAGAAAGCGCCGAAAGATGAGGCAGAGATCCAAGTAGACATAGCAAATCTCTCCCGTTCAACAATGTTTCAGTAATCGCCACTGTTAGTTCATTTTTAGGGTCTAAGTCATCTGTCAGTCGGTTTTGATTCAGTTTTTGAGCAGTGGATGTTTCTGTTTTTAAATCAAAGTTTGACACTGTCAACAAAGGTAACTGTCTCTCCGTGGAATCTGGTCTCTCCATGGAATCTGTCTGCATTTTGCTAGTCTGAGATGAAGCCATCTTTTTGTTCTTCTTCTCAAAACTGTCAAGCAACATACTGAGATCTTTGATTGCAGACTTCAAATCCTTCACAGAAATACCAGATTTCAGGACGTGTTTCTCTCCGTTGGATAGCAACCCAGCAATAGCTGGAAGTGCATCGACACTTAACTTCTTCACAGCTGGATCAGAAACATCGTGAACCTACATAAATAGTGAAAGAGCCTGAATTTAATAGAAAATCAATTAAATATTTAATAATTTCTCTAAAATTTCTGAAGTTGTGAACGTATCTATCCTTTGCCAGGAGTAAAATTGACTAGAGTAGACATGTTTCTAATTCATAATAAGGTTTCAAAGCAGCATATTTCCTTTTAAACTGGATCTTGAAAACATACCTCTGCATCATAGAAAATGAATCTTTTATGATGCAATCCACTAAGAACACGCCAAATCACAGGCGTATCCTTTTTGGTAGAAAGAAGCATCATCACCTTTGGGTATTTTTCTACAGTACTAGAAGACAAGTCAAAATGATTTAGGCTAATCCTTTTCGAAAACCTTGGTAAATGATCTTGGCAAAATGTTTTGACATTCTTAGCAATCAAATCACCCTTGTATTCTTCTAGAGAACCCTTCTCACTTCCTTTGTATGAATAAGCAAACAACCTTGGTAATCTCCCAGGAAGCACAGCAAGATCCTTACAGAAAGACGACTCAGTTTCACAATTTATGCTCCCAGCCTACTGCAAGAGACCAAAAGAAAGGTAAGACAACGGAAGCAATGATTAGCAAAAACAAAATTATAGAAATATTTTAAAATGCAACAGTACCTTTATAGCTCCTCGCAATAAATTGGCCACCTCCTCTATGATGGACTCGTAATATTGTTTCCCCTGTAAGGACGGTGTATAAGATAACAAAAGCCAAGTCATCCCTTGGTCAGCTATTTCTTTTCTAAAGACCTCAGAATTTATGGCTCTGATGCTATTAGGTGAACTCCCAGATCGAGAATGAGACCTGCTCGAACCACTAAAATCACCACCAAATTGAGCACCCTGATCTTTCATACCACCGCCAAAGAAGCCAGAGAAAATATCATTAAGATCAAAACCAAAGGAACTTGATCCACCAGGGCCACCAAAGGAAACTGAGAAAGTCTGGGAACTTCCCTGCCCACCCATATGCTGCCATCCACCAGGTCCAGATGTAAACCCACTCTGTCCAGGTCCACCGCCAGTGAAATAACTATATCTACTGTAATCCCAGGGTGGCCAGCATCAAATCCAGCGGCACCTTTTTCATCCCCATACATATCATAATTTTTTCTCTTTTCTTCATCTGATAAAACGTCGTACGCTGATAAAACAAGAAGGACGAACGAGATCTGTAAATAGCAAAGAAAGACCACAAGAAGAACAGCACAGAAGTTCAAAGGTCCAAAAACCCGAATCCTATTCTCATACTAATAAATTAATCAATAATCTTACATCTGAGAAATATGCTCAGAAACTATACAGATTCAAGACTATATGTCCTAATTCAGGGTAGAAAAAGAAAAAAAAACGAAATAATAGTTATGAAAGAAAGTGCAGCAAAAACAGAAATGGACAAGAAGTAAGAAATCGGCAATACCGTTGTTGATCTCAGCAAACTTCTCTTGTGCACCTTTACTTTTGTTCGTGTTAGGGTGGTATTGAAGAGAGAGTCTATTAAGTACAATTCAAGAAAGCAAAATGAGCAGAGAAAAATCAATTAAATATGTGTGCATGTTGGTAGGCAATTAAACAACTAAATAATTCAAGCAATATGATGAACATATCAAGAAAGAATATAGGATTAATTCATAACGTACAACACCAAGGAACGTATTTAAAAATTTCGTAACAGAGGAGAAATTCACAGTAAAACGTACTTGTGGAAAGCTTTCTGAATCTCTCGTTGACTCGCGTTTTTCTCCACGCCAAGAACCTGAGGATCAAGCAATTCATAAAAACTTTTTGACCAGAAACCCAAGAATGCAAAATGCTACTTATTCTAGTCTCTCTCATTGATAGCTCAAGCTCCTTCTTCATCTCTACAACAATTCCAATTTGGGATTTCAGAAATGAATATTTTTAGATTTCACCATTAACCGTTAAAGAACTTGAAAAATACGAATCGTAAATCATAATACGTGAAAAATGAAGTGAAATATAGAAAGAGAGCAGAAATTAGAAGGGACCTACCTTGTAAGGATCAATGGTTTTGGCCTCTGCGTATAAAACTAGTAACACTGATAAAAGAGCAAAGGAAATTGGCGATCGAATTTTCATCTTTGTCACAGCCGGAGATCTTTTCTTGAGTTGCGAATCTTTTATTTTGAACCGAATTGTCGGCTGTATCAAGAAACAGGCCGGGGGGATTATGATGGTTGCAAAACAAATTAGTCGGGGCGGGGAATTGAAAAACTTCCAGTTGGTTCGGGGTCCTGAGACCATTGGACACGTGGCATATGGATATGCTCCCACGCACTCTGACCAGTAGGATTTCAGAATGCCTCCAAGTGCAAAACTAAACGCATCACCCACTGCCGATGTAAACGTGCTTTAAAGTCTTGGCAACAGCCTATAGCCATCAACATCCCGTTATCTGTCTGTTCCTATCCATCTAACCAAAGAAGCTTCATAAAAGACAAAACACTGATAACCTTAACAGCTTTCCCTTCAAGCCAAATGAATTACCCTCAGAATCAAATCCATTTAGGCAAATAAGCAAACCATGTCCATCCCATCCACAGGTTTCCAACATAATTTGATTGTTAGCGAACATTAATCTCTGAAATCTGTGGGAAAAAAATATCATTCCTTGACCACTCCAAATCCAACGTATAGATGCTCTCTTTTCAGGTCTATGCGTTTGAAGCAGGCTCATCTTTGTTGGCTTCCTCTGTCTTGGCTTTGTCTTCCCCGTCTTCCTTAGCCTTGGAGGCAGCATCACCCTCTTCTTCTTCTTCTTTCCCATCGCTTTTACTTTCTCCCACACTCAACTTCTCAAGGAGACCGGCAGTGGCTGTGGCATCTTCGTTTTCCTCTTTCTCTCTCTGACATTCAGCAACCTCTTGAACCATCTCCATGAAGGACTTGCAATCTGAACATAGTCGAATATTGCAAACAAACATTGTAGTAGTGCACCAAAAATTGGTTACATATTTTCACTTTGCATGCATATACACAATATCATCTACCAAAATTGGTACACATTTTCCCACATTTACAATTGCCACAGTATAATATTGAACAGATTTGGTTAGAAAGAATGAGAACTCAAAAGTGGACATCTGTTAAAAAAAACCAACTGTAGTCTACAATATGCTACAGAGAATTCAACCCTCAAAGCACCCATGAAACATGAAAATTCACATGCACAGGAATAAGAAGAAGGACAAAAAAGGGTAGCAACATCTTGCATACCTTCCCAAAACCCATAATGAAGACGGTAAAATCATAAAAAAAAAATGAAAATAACAGGGTAAATATGGATTCTGATTTGCCTTTTTCTAATTATTAAGTCTCTGTTTGTAACCCTTCCTTTAAGCAATTAATTCAACTTATTTACTCTTTCTTTAGTTAGTTTAGCAGAGGTTAGTAAGGGGTGATTTCTTTGCATCCCTAAGACTTCAAAGCAATTTCCTACATAAGTTAGATAGCTCTCTGCAATCAGAAAAGTATTTTCAGTAGCCTTAAATGAAACCTCTTAATCGAATTTTAAGAGCTTTAAGATGCTGTATCGCAGGACATTCCACTCTCCATCGAGTCCCCACTAAAGTCACTTCAAAATCAAATAAAGATTTTTAAAAAAGCTATCCTTGTAAACTAGACATCAAAATACTATACTTGATTTGACTTCCATATGATTTACTCTACTTTCTAAACCATTATTTGTAGTAATTAAAATAATTAAGAAAAAAACCCTCCATTCAACAGTTAGAACTCATCTCAGCAGCGTTGTTGCCGCCGTGCTTAAGCTTCAAGAGGAACTATATAACGAGTAAAAGTGAAAGAGCCTAGTGGGAGCGGAGAGAACGGAGGAGGGCGGTTTGGTTTATAATTTTAGGGCTTTGGTGTCGGGCGGGAGCCGGGTGGTAAGGTTGGTGGTGCCAAGTTATGACGGGAAAAAACTAAAAAGAAAAAGCAAAAGGGCTTGCTCAGTTGTAAAGATTTTTTTTCTTTATTATTTATAATTTTACGATATTTTATTTTTATCCTTTTTGCTTTAACATTTGGAGTACATTTGGAGTACGGTGAAATATAACTGTCATGCTTCCTGTCATATCCCCCACTCCCACTACCAAAGAATTGAACACGTTTCTTATGCTATCAGACAATCACCAAATATGGTTAGAGAATATTTGGTAATTTTTCTCCCAATTGAGAATCATCACCCGTGCATCGCATCGTGTACTTGTAACAAGGAAATTGTTTACATATGTTCTTCTAGAGCTCCAGTAACAACCAGGTTTAACCAACACATGCCAATAAAGTTATTAACTTCGCTTACTAGGAGTTCATTTGGATAAGACACGAGGACATGTGAGACAACCCAATTAGGGTCAATGAGTAACTTATAACCAACCAGATACAAGTGAACAAAGTACCAAAATTGAAAAATACGAGGAGATAAGAACATGATAATGTTTTTTTTAAGATGCACCACCATTTGTTGATGCATCCATAGGCTCAACTTCAGCTTCAGCGGATTCCTCAGCTTTATCATCCTTCTTACCTGCAACGCATGTACACCTTGTGTTTACTACATAACCCTAAAAAATTTGATTCCAATATATCATAATATTTGATCTCACAATCTCACAATCTTAAATCATGTTAGTTTGTCCTTCTATACATCATACCTTTCTTCTTCTTCCCACCACCTTTTTTCTTCGTCTTTGTTCCCAAGGCTAACCAGGCCTTGACTTCAGGATCATCTATTACCTTGGTTGGCTGCAGCTCCTGCAAAGGATGGGATGTAATCCGATCTGATCCGTTAGGCATTAGCAACACGGTGAACTTGATATGAGCAACATAATCGCCTGCAGAATTATAGTTCAGAATGGTTAAGCTCATTGTGACAACAGGTTCTATCTCATATCATTATTAAACAAGATTTCAGCCATGACTTCTTACCAGGCTTCTCATGAAGAACAGGATATGGCTGCAAGAGGTCATGATTAACACATTCAACTAAACCTAGACGAGCTCTTTTCTCTTCCAAAGCCCTGTATGAAGAAAATCCACATCAAACCATTAAACAGCAGAAATAAACACCAATGAATATTCACAACATATGCGTTTAACAATCATAGACCGAGCAGTGAATGGCAGGATGGGAAATCTCTGATTTATTTCACTGAAAATAAATCGAGAGGTCTTCATCTTTAAATGATAATTCTTGTCAACTGCTCTTTTATAAATAGTTGTCTGCTTCTCATCCAACAGCTTTGGCTGCAATTTAAACGCATAGAAATCTTAAGAACAAAATTATTATGATATAAGCATAGAGACAGCAACAAGAAAAAGACAATTACCTTGCCTTCACCAGTGCTTGCAACTATATCTACTGCATAAACTTCATTCTCCTCAAACTCCACATCATCGACTTTTGCATCTGGGTTGGAGACGCTTAGTATGACTTTGTTTCCATCTATCACAAACTGCTTCAGTTGATGGCTAAGAACACCTTCAACAATTTTGCAGTCATAAGCTGCAGCAACCTTCTGAATTGCATCTGTTACATCTTTATTCTGCCATTAAAATGATAATGAAAACAAATTAAGTGCAATGAAGAATATCAAAAAAATAAGTGGGGATGCAAGTTTTAAACAGTATAAAGTACAAAGGAAACTAGCAACGTATCCATCTGTTCAAAAAGGGAGGAAATGCTAAAAATAATATCCCTATCAGAGTAACCATGACAAAAGCCTCACTTGGATGCTGGTCCATAGCTTTTGAAAACTATTCATCACATAGGGAAACTAGGATCTGAGGACTTTTTGAAAATACCAAACCATATAAGGTAGATTTTACAAGAATTAAAAAGAAAACCATGGAACTCATACAAGTTGCCTTTCCACTGATGCAGGGGAGCTGGGTGGTTAACTTGGAGGTTACAGTGTAAGGCATAAAGAAATCGATTATACACGATACTCTATCAGTGTCAGTGTGTAACTATGACTTAAAGATGCTACGTTGGGAACTAAATCCATAGCCCTGAGATTATCTTCATCATGTACAAATCATGTGAACCAAACATTACCCAACCAGAAAAAGGGGGTTGGGGGGGGGGGAACCAAAGTTTATAGCAGCAAGCTGACACCACAGAAATTAGAGTAGTACAAGTCCATTTACCTGACACAGTTTCTCAATAGTTTGACAAAAAAATGAGGGTAACAACCACTTTGTGTTAGTGATAAAGAAAATGTTGGCCCAATTAGGCAAATTGGGATAAACCAGTAAAAGATGTATTACCCTAGGCAGCCTAGCATGACCAACATAATATTGGCAACAGGGAAAAGAGGAGTTCAACAAGAAATTGATCACCTCGGCAAAGTTGCCTAGCCTTCAAATTTCTATTCTATATCTTACAATCATTTCCAAGAATTAAATCAAAAGGTTGTTGAGAGATAAATTCCCCTATCAGAGTAACTATGACAAAAAGCTTCATCTGGATGTAGATCCGTAGCTAATAAAAAAAGTTCATCATTTAGGGGATCAAGTGAAAGTCAAAACTGAAAACACAGTCTTTACAATTTTCAAAAACCAACCACAAATCCAACTTGAAAATAAAAAGTTTGGCTCAAGAACTTTGAGCTAGCAAAAGCACAATAGCTAATGAAACATTCAAAGAACACAAAAGGATAAAACAGAATGTCAGAATATAGATACACAAAACAATTACCTTCTTTCCAGGCCTGACAAGCCTCAAGGCAACTTCAGCCGCAGTATTTGCAGCAGCAACAACATCAGCCTGCCTGCCAGTGACTGGCCCATCCTGAATAACATGAGTGTGTGCAACTACAGCAATAAACCCATCAATGTGGCAACCCATATCACTGTATCCAGGTAAAAAAAAAAAAAAAGAAGCAATTTAGTTTTCATTCAAAAGCATGAAACCCCCACAAGAATATTCAAAAACATTGAAATAAGAAAAAAAAAAACATAAATGATATATGAAGCTCACATCTTCACCATATCACCTTCTTCCAACTCCGACGTGTCACTAGCAAGTGGAGAGAAATGACAGACAGTGTTGTTAACAGAAAGGCAAGTAGGGAAGGCAACACCCCTCTCAATCTTCCTCTTAACATTCTTGTACATGTTGCTTGTTTGCCTTCACATTACATAAACAAAAACAATAAGCCATAAATTACTAGTTTTATTATCAATTGCCAACTTATAAAAACCCTAAACCGGCAGAAACCAAACTCTTACTCTCTGATAAATACATCACCCTTCTCACAAATGTCAACAATCTTGGCTTTTGGCTTGCATTCTTTAACAACTAACTGTAACGCCTCTGCAAATTTTCAAACATAATAATAATAATAAAAAGAAAACCCAAAAACTAAAGCAATATTAAATTCAAAACCCATTTCTAATAAGCTAAAGAAAATGACAAGAAACATGAGAATTTAACTGAATAAAAAGAGAAGAGATTAACTGTTAACGATCTCAGCAGCGCTTTTGTATTTAGTAACAACTTCAGGGGAAGTGAGATCCAACTCCTTTTCCTCTCTCTCATCATCCGACATCGCTTTGCGCAGCTTATCAAAAATCTATTTACTTCCTGAAAGAAAAGGAGAAAATATATACTAGAATATCAGTTGTAATAATGGAAAACCAGGCAAGAGATTGAATGTGATAATTGTGATTGAGAAAGAAAGGAGCTCACTGGTTTAAATCGGCGGCAGTGAGTGAAGGAGCTAGGGTTTTGGAGGGGTTACAAGAAAGGAGAGAGTATACTAAATAAATACAAAATACGGGGGAGGGGAGGGTGGCCAAACTAGGGTTACGGTCGTTACGGCAGGGTTTGCTTTATATAGGAGTTCGCTTACGGTCTCACCCGGTAGAGTTTTGTATTTTTATTCTTGCAGTAAAATAGCACTCGTTTGTTTGTGCCTTTGAGAACTTGGAGGATTAAGCATAAATACGGTGCAAAGGATACATCAAAGTTATTCGAGTGATAAAATTTGAATTTGATTTAATTATTATTAAATTAAATTTAAGTAATTTAATTTATTAAATAAATTAAATTTAAATATTTAAATATTTGATTTAAATAATTTATAATTTAATTAAAATTTTAAATTTTAATATATTTTTATTATTTAATAAAAAATATTATTTTATTTATATATATATATAAATTAAACTCATAATTAAATTCAAGTATATAATTAAATTTAAAATCAAATGTAAGAATTAAATTTATTTTTATTAAAGATTCTAATCTAACAATCTCAAATAATTTAATTTTTATTTTAAAATAAATTTAAATTTAAAATTTAAAATTTAATTAACTTTGAGCTATATTTTGAATAATAAATTTCGAATTAAATGTAAGCTTTCTCACTTGATCGATTTTATTTGGCTCAGTTATACTTCAAATCTCTGCTCTACTGGGACCAAAGAGGCCCATTTTCAGGCCTACGCTCTGTATTTTACATTCTCCGACAAGGCTGTGAGCTAAACCATAAGGTCCGTAACCTTCAAATGATCTCTTCGAATTTATAAGGATGGGGATGGCAAGCTGCAGCCATGCAGGTCGTAAAATGAAAATATATTTAATAATATTTAAATTTTTTACATTTGGAATACACTGTGTGTCAATATTTGCCACGGTTAACGCAATCAGAATAATTTGAGCTGGGACTGGGGTTGCATGAACCCTTAAAAGGCCTAGAAGATCATCCTAGCCATGCGGCCTGATGGAGCCCAACAACTTGATGAAATGCAGAAGTTAATTGGGTGGGTTCAGTGCCAACATTAGTTGAGTCAAATCCAGACACCAACATACACCACCGTTCCAGGCAGTTGGGGGCCAATTCACTGAATGGATAAAATATTTTCATGCTTATTCTCCCAAGTTGGGACAACTTTTGACCAAAAGAAAAAAAAAAAACATTGTCACTTGTATTGAATTACTTGAGCTGGTCAAGTAAAGTGATAAAGTGTAAGTTTAAGCCAACATCTTAAACTTAAAGAATTGATAAGCAGAAGAGTTAATTTTTCTTTTCAATTAGGATTCGATTATATTATATCAATTAAAACCATATCTTGAGCACAAAATCCCAATTAAAACAAACCTTTGATTATAATATAAAAAAAAGTTAAGGCTTGCAACTTTTTTACCCTTATTATAATAATATTGCAGATTAATTTTTTACCGGGTAAAACATCCCTTTTGGAACATTTAAAAAACTGATGGTATATCCTAAAGTGCACAGCTGCGTGCCACTGCTCTTTTAAACCTTGGGTCATTAATAGTTTTCATAGTTATGCTAAAAAAATAATAGTTTTTACTTTCAGGCTTTTGAGGAGTTTAAAACGAAGAAGATCACTATAAAGGTGTTTCTCTCCCACTAACTCTCCTTTTAGATTGTTGAAATCTTTCGATAAAGCATTTGGATTTCGTGATTATATAACTTAAGGAACTTAAGAAAAAGATAGATGTGATGTCTATGATTAAGTTATGCATTATTACATTATAATTTTAGGTTGCTGTTGCAGATTGTTGACAAGATCTTAACAAATTCTAATGTCATTCTCTTTTGGGTACAAATTTTTAAGTTGTTTGTCAGCAATCAATTTGTATAATTGCTGCTAATAGTTGGATCCTTTTATCTTCAAATGGTCAAATTTGGTTCCTTCAACATTGATCGGAAGATATTCGTCTGAAAGTTCATGGAACTCTTTCCAAGGGACACTTAAATTATTGGTCTCGCTTTTGTTTAGGCTCGAGACAGAAACGTAAGTCTTCCAGGCCTGATGAAGATTGCGCCAATTCAAAAGAAAGCCAAAAAGATGTTGGAATTGTCAAGGCATGCGATCCTTAAACCTTCCCTAGTTTAAGCTAAGAAGCTCCACTTGAACCCACTGTTGCTCCTGCAGAAAATTCCCTCTATCCCAATCTGTATCTTTTTTTTCTCTTTTGATGAATTTCCTTTTTCAATTATTTCAAGCTGATCTAATATAAAATTATTCTTGTAGCTCAATGGAATGTGATTCTGACTTCACCCAACAGCAACAGGGCTTTTGCATCCAACGATGCCATTGTCAACATAACAGAAACCTAGAAAACGAATATTATGGGAATTTAATTTCCTTTCCGAAATGTTGACACCATACATGAACGAAAAAATATTTTCATTTACATCATTTATTTCAGTTTTTGTCGTGATGGATACGAGCATAAGATGCATGAAGATGATCTTTTTTTTTTCCTAAGTCAAGCTTTTATTAATACTAGTAATTAGCCGGAACGGCAAAAGTAACAGGCGTTCCCCTACCCATACAGCCAGCTATAGTAACAGGTGTCCTCTACTCATACGGCCAGCATACAGGAAAAATAACCTGATACAAACAAAACAAGAAATAATAAGGCTACTATCCTCTTGCATCTCACGAGAACCTCAAGCGAAAGAGACCACACGAACGGAGCAGAATCCTTTCACCGCCATACCATAAAGTTATGGGCTCTGTCAACCCCTGCGATTGCTAATGCATCAGCCAACCCACTTGTCTCTCTGCGAATCTTCTGAAATCTAACATTACTAGCACTTAAGCAGTCAATTTGCGTTAACACAGACCAGAGTTTCCGAGTCCTTGCTTCTTTCCTGAGACACCAATTAACAGCAGCCATAGAATCAGACTCGATTATTAGCCGGACACCTACATATTTTCCATATTTCACAAAATTGCCCAGAGCAAAATTAATAAGCGGAAGTTCAGCCATGTTAGAATCTTGGATAACGAGAGGAATGGAGAATAAAGCTAGTATTTTTGAATTTGAATATCTAAGCATGAAGATGATCTTATTCTTTCCTGTTTCTTACTTTTCATTTCCAAATTGCACTCCCCATGGCATATAGAACAAAAAGGTCCTCAATGAACACGTCAGGTGTAGTTGAGATAATTTGTTGTGTGTGTACTTACAGTTTTGAAAACCCTAGCTCACAGGTTTAGCTAACCAAAAATTTTCCAGGGGAAAATATCTTGAAAATGTTTGCAACCAATAAGCATGTTTTAACTTTTAATATTCCCTCCAACAACAAGCTTCCAATCGCCTAAAAGGAGTGACTTTCTTTCAACATCTGTCACGCTATTGAAAAAGACTGAAACCAGTGTCTCAAGATGTATACATGCCTCAATTACTATAGTAAATCTACTTAAAATAATAACAAAAGGTTGTCAACTTCTGATAATCTCCTTGCAGAGCAAAACAAAGAGACAAAAACAGCAGCAATATTAGTAAAACTGCAATCTGACATGTGAAGTGGAAAACCACATCACCTCGTTGCTGTAAAATCATGGTAGATAGTTAAGGTAACTGCATGATTGCAAAAGTGTCTTTGTTCCAAACTTCCAAAGCCTTACTTCGTTTGTTTCTGCAGTGGTCCCCGGCTGTAGGATCCATTTTATAAATTGATCCACCTGTAACGAGCACCTCTTTTGGCTAATCACTTCCACGTAGGAGCAATGTTCTGATTAAGCCCATCTCTTAATATCACATCGTAATCTCTATACATAATTTAAAGCAAATTTTTTTTATAAATTCATTTTCATGAATGATGGTGTGATAGTGAGATAATATAATAAAAATACGTATGCCCACTTGTCTTAAATATTCTATATACTTAAACAACATGAACATACTTATATATATATATATATATATTCTATATTCTTCAATGCAGGATCTGTTACCAAAATAGTTTGATTTGAAGCAAAATTCTCATGTGGCGTAAATGGTAGTGATGTGGACTACACATATATACATTACCATTATTGTTCTATCAAATGTGTGTTGATGTCAATATATGAGTACATGTAATTATGTATGTTTGTATGCATATATATATATATATATATATATATATATATATACAAGTACAGAGAGAGAGAGAGGCAGGTCTCATTTGGTCCACAAGCATGGACTATATATAGCAAAGTTACAATGATGGGTTACCCTTCAAGTCCAAAATGAAGGTCAAGCTAACTCAGCTGGGTTGTTCGATCAGTTGGCTTGATTATATATAAGAGCCAAAAGCACCATTATGGCGGGGGTTGTTCGCCATTTGGCTTGAAGCATAGGCACGGGAAACTGCATGCCTCACTTCAACAACCAGAGGGGATAGCAGTTGAAAATTAATTTGAAGTCGTTTTCACTATTTATTAATCATTTATATATAGTTAAATCACTTCAATTAGTTTACATATATAGTAATTTTGTTTATATAGATAGTTTTATTTTGTTACATTAATCAATTAACTGAAGAAAAAGCATGAATAATAGTATGAATATGGTAAAGAGAAAGTTGAAGAAACAAAGCATGTTTTTGGAATGAAGGGATTTCAATACTACAATAAAAGCTGAAAATTAAGTAATTCATCAAACCAGCTAAGTTGTTGAAGCAAAGTATATTTGGTTTATCGACAAAATCTCCTTTCCAAAGAGTACTTTCAGCCTTTTTTTTTTTTTTAATATCTTGGTATCAACTTAGAAGTCCAAGCATGTGAGATTCCTCTTACAGTCTTACTTTTTCATGCACGAATTTGATAACTTGTCATAGCCTCATAGGTAGTAACTGGTAAGTGTTAATGCTTACAAAATCCCAACCTACCCTAGCTATTCTTGCTGCATTAATTAGGATATTTATAATTAATATAACTAAAAAAAAAAAAAGGCAACTTTAATTCATTCTCCACTATAAACGCATATTCTAATCCTTCATGCCATTGCCAGCAGAATACATATGTACCAGCTTATCCCTTAAAATAATAAAGTCATTCTTTTTTATATTTTATCCTCTCCAACCATGTTAATGAATTTGATAATTCATTTTATTATGTCATATAAAATATTATATTCATATAATATTTTATATAAAAATAACATATCATTATTTATATAAATATAAAAATATAAAATATAATTTTTATTAAATTTATTTATAATTTTTTAAAAATTTTAAATTACATTACTCATATTTTTTATATATATTATCGTATCAAATGATCATGTATTAATATTTCAATTTGCTGCTTGGCATACGCTACGATTGCACCTCGTTATGGATAACAAACGCGACCCACGATCTACTACTCCTTTTACAAGTATCCTCCCACCCCACATTGGGCTCGAGCCCGGCTCCACTTGCTCTACCAAGACAATGTTCCCCTCTTCCCCCACTATCTTTCTTATCTTTATTATTAAAAAAAAACATTTTATATTAATCACATTTCTTGTTTTACATTAGTGCTTTGCTAGCATTTGGTAAGCTCAGTGCTGCTACTCCAATGAATTCCAGGAGGGTTCCAAATTTAAACTTTGGTTGTAATTAAAAAACAAAAAAAATTTACCTAATCCTAATTATTACGAGTTACGTTTTAAAAATAAATTTTCGTTTACCACTGCAAAATGTTGATCAGAAAAAAAAAAGGTACATAAAGTGATAAAGAAAGCACAAAGAACAAGGAATGGAATATGTTCTTATATTAGATGCTGTTGTACATTTTGCCCTATAAATAGTAGGGAAGAAGCCTAGCTTGTTTCCAATAAGACGGTGCTTGTCTCTCTGTTCTCTTCATTGGCCAAAACGCCCTTTGAGTTCGGTAGGGTTTTTGGTTTTTCATCTCCCTCTGTTTTCTTTGTTTTGGCAGTCAGAGAAAAAAGCTTTAGCATAGTTCTAGATGGACACGTACACTGTCCATCTTGCCATGGCGGCTCTCGTTGGAGCGTCGCTGGTGGCGGTGTCGGCGTATTATATGCACAGGAAAACACTAAGTCAGCTGCTGGAGTTCGCCAAGGCGGTTGAGAGGGAGAAGGGGGAGATTTCGGAGGGAGAGTCGCCGCAGCACTTCAAGAAACGGCGCGGCCACCACTCGCGCCGGAAGGGGAACGGATACTACCGCCGTAGCTCGGCGTCTTTGCCGGATGTTACTATGATATCCGGTGGGATTGATCGAGAAGAGAAGCGCAACGGTCCTATCCATGTTGACGGGATTCCACCCGGCTTGCCAAGGCTCCATACGCTGCCTGAAGGTAAACTTGAGATTTGAAATCAATAGCTTTGATGAGTTATTAAATAATATGTGTATAGTAATAACTGTAATATTTTGCTGCTTTGTTAAATTATATTAACGTCTTGGAAACTTGTTTTCTTTGCATGTTTCTCTTTTTTTCTTGTTGTACGAAAAGAGGTTGAACTTAATATCAAATTTATTAAAAAGTACTGATCTTTGTTTAGTGAAGGAAAAAGGGCAAATAGAGTTACAGCTCAGAATGGAGAGAAAAGACACCAATTTGAAACTTAGAGGCAAAGTTCATTACTTTTTGTACCAAAGTGCTTTAGGCGAAGGTCAGCCTTGGTTATTAGAGAATCTGACTGGAAATTTTGCTTACCTGCCCGAACCTGGACTCCTGAAGTTTGCCAGTGATCATGTTATGCGATGATAATTAATCACTTGTTAAAAATGAAATAAAAAAACAATTGAGGGCTTCTTTCTTGTCATAAGATTGTTGGCTGCATCTCTTTTCGACTTTAAGTTCCAGTTTTAGGGCTCGGAAAGAAAAAGCTTTGTCATTTTTTTCACTTAGTGTTCTTTGTCCCTTTTTTTTTTTAAATCTCTTTATATTTTGTTGTTTCAGTGTGTTTCTGATTAGATACAGTAGTTATTTTGGCTTCAGGGAATTCTGGTGGCCATGCAACTTCAGCTAAGAGATCTGGAAAACTTATCCGACCTACTTCTCCAAAGTCCCCTGTTGCTAGTGCAAGTGCCTTTGAGAGCATAGAAGGATCAGATGATGAAGATAATATGACTGACAATTCTAAGATAGACACTACATATTTGTATACTAATGGAAATGCTGTTAGTAAATTTTTTTCCCTTCTCCTACTGAGCTTGCTTCTGCTATGCTTTTATAGTTTGTTGCAAATTTAATTAAACTTTTGAGTTATACTTAAATCTCACATGTGTAGGGCCCAAATTTGCCAGACCACATTAGTGCCAATGGAGAAGCAATGCAGATAGCTGCTTCAAGTGTGATTCGATCCCATAGTGTACCTGGTGAGCTCCATGGCGTTCATCCTGATCCTATTGCAGCTGATATCCTAAGGAAAGAGCCAGAGCAAGAAACTTTTGCACGACTTGAAATTTCCCCTACTGGTATTCACTCTCTCCAGCGTATACTACCTTAGGTTTGTATGTAATAGGTGTGCATCATAATGTTTATTATTGCTTCATATACCATTTTCAACATTTCTTTGTATCCTAATGCTTAAATTATGTGTGTATATAATGCTAACATTCAAAGTAGACCTAAAATCTATTCCTGTATCATTTATTAAAACATTGTAATCTTTCATTAGAAAATATAGGTTATTAAAAGATTTTTTAGTGCTTGACTATCAGTCTAAAATGTGTATTTATTTATTCCCTTATTTGAAAAATGGCAAGGTCTTAATTAGATTTTGCATGTACAATTTGCTAATCTAGTTTTTATCTTCTACCCAATACCAGAGGTTCCATCGCCAGATGAAGTAGAGGCCTATGTAGTTCTGCAAGAATGCCTTGAAATGCGGAAAAGATACGTATTCAAGGAGGCAGTTGCTCCTTGGGAGAAAGAAGTCATATTGGACCCCAGTACACCTAAACCTAATCCAGAGCCATTTTTTTATGCTCCTGAGGGAAAATCTGATGTAAGTTTATACTCGCAATCCTAGATTTTGTACCCCAAGTCACTTGTATTTTTACTCATTTTTCCTTAGGGTTATAAAAACGCCTACCCTTTTTTACAGCATTATTTTGAGATGCAAGATGGAGTAATACATGTCTATGCAAATAAAGACTGTAAGCATTAAAAGACCTGATACTGAACTTTCTTACTTGCAATGATCTGAACAACACTTGCTAAAACATATTTCATTTTTCTTTTCAGCAAAAGTAGAGCTCTTTCCTGTAGCTGATGCGATAACCTTTTTCACTGACTTGCATCACATACTTCATGTTATAGCGGCAGGGAATATTAGAACTTTATGTCATCACCGGCTAAATCTTCTAGAACAAGTAAACACTTCTCCCTGTTTATGAAATGCATGCTAATTTTGTAATTTTTGGTATTTGATCATTAAAATACTTTTTCATTTTGATTACATTTAGAAATTCAATCTTCATTTGATGCTTAATTCGGATAGAGAATTTCTAGCTCAGAAAAGTGCACCACATAGGGACTTCTATAATGTGAGAAAGGTTGATACTCATGTTCATCACTCAGCATGCATGAACCAGAAACATCTTTTGAGGTTTATAAAGTCGAAGTTGAGGAAGGAGCCAGATGAGGTAATATTAATGACATGCTTTTGTTGATGCTTAATCTTTTGTTCTTGTTGATGTCCGCTGGCATGCTTTTCTGAGTTTGTAATATTAATGACAACTAAAATTTCTGTTCTTCTTTTAAAACTGAGTTCTATCCTAGTTCATGCATATTCACTCTCTGGTTTGGCCATTCCTCATTGTAAAGGGGCCTTAGGTGCTATGTAATATGTGTGTGTTGTACTTGTGCCCACTCTTCTTGCAAATTGTGCCCCTTTTTTTATAGTCTCTCTGATATGGAAGTTGCACACAACCTCATGTGTTTGGTTGACCAACTATAACTGCATATGTGATGTACGAATATCCTTATTGCTTTATGCCAAAGGTGTGTTAAAATGGTGCATGTGAAGAAATATTTTTGCCCACAAGTTTTGTGTTTACTATATGCTTTCTTTGTTCAGGTTGTAATATTTCGAGATGGGACATATTTAACCCTGAAAGAAGTTTTTGAGAGCTTGGATTTAACTGGGTATTGACTTTTTTTACCCATTTTTTCGCAAAAAGGGAGGGAGTGATTATGCCACTAATCATAATTTATTTTTGCTTTCATTTGATCAGGTATGATTTAAATGTGGACCTTCTTGATGTTCATGCAGACAAGAGCACCTTTCATCGCTTTGATAAATTCAATCTTAAGTATAATCCTTGTGGTCAAAGTAGGCTCAGGGAGATTTTCCTCAAGCAGGATAATCTTATCCAAGGTATGTCCTTTATGCTTCTGCAATTTTGAGGACACGTGCTAAGATTACATTGAAAACAAGCAATTAATTTTATGAATTTGTTATGGGAAGTGTTTGTTTGAAATATGTACTAAGATTCTGAAATGGTGCTGAATCTACTACATATTATAAGGTGCTATTCTGATTCTTTTACTGTAAACATTATTCCATGTCTTTGCATTTTTTATTGATTTATTGCTCTGAAAGTCTTTTCTTCCTGATAATTTTTATTGTGAAATTTCAGTCAGACTATTGTATCTCTGCAGGTCGATTCCTTGGTAAGCTGACAAAGCAAGTGTTTTCTGATCTTGCTGCAAGCAAATATCAGGTACTTCCTTATTCTGTGCACAAACACATTTTATCCGTGAGAATAATTCTGCTCTGGCTTTTCAGACTTGGAGAGAGAACCTCGGAACACTCGAGTAAAACCATTATATGGAGGATATTCTTTAATAAATTTACTATGTTTTACTTCATTCTTTGAGGAGCTGTATGTAATCAATCAGCCAAATTATGGAATTCTAATGTTTGCTTTTGATAATATGGATCATGATGCTCCATATTACATTGTTTTGATGGTCAATTTGATTGTTGCAGATGGCTGAATACAGAATATCAATATATGGCAGGAAGCAAAGCGAGTGGGACCAACTGGCTAGTTGGATCATTAACAATGAACTGTACAGCGAGAATGTTGTTTGGTTAATTCAGGTGCTAGTAATCTCTCTTTGCAATCTCTTTACTTGCACACTCTCTTCTTTTGCGGTATATCTTGTGAACCTATATAAAAGGGTCCATTATTGGTTGTGGATTAGAACCTTTGCAAATTAGGACACTAACTCCACAAAAGAAAATTGTTGAATGTTGGCCAGGCAATATTTCTTACTCCAGATTGTGTGACAGTTTCTCTATTTTTTTGCTTCAGATCCCTCGACTTTACAACATTTACAAGGAGATGGGGATTTTTACATCATTTCAGAACATTCTTGACAACATCTTTATTCCTCTGTTTGAGGTTACTGTGGATCCAGATTCACATCCTCAGTTACATGTCTTCTTGAAACAGGTTTGGTATCTTTTATGCATGACTCTTTTTTTTTTTTTTTTTTGGTATTTACAATTATTTTGTTTGGATTAGTTGTGCCTCAGTTTGCATATTCGGCATGACATCTGCTTCTTGTTGGCAATTCAGGTTGTAGGGTTGGATTTGGTAGATGATGAAAGTAAGCCCGAAAGGCGCCCCACAAAACACATGCCTACACCAGATCAATGGACTAATGTATATAATCCTGCATACTCATACTACGTGTATTACTGCTATGCAAACCTCTATACTTTAAACAAGGTATGTGTTATATGATTGGATATGGTTTTATCATTACTAGATTTGGAGACCTTTATCTGTCATTCTATTTCCAAATTACCAGTATCAAATGAATTAAATAAATGAACTTGTTAGAATAGTTATTTTTTTTAGCATCAGCTTTCTAGCTTCTTTCTTTACATAAATTGGCATTTCTCCCAATTATATTTAGTACTGGCTTTCTTCTTTAAATTGGTACTAGATTCGACCACTATGTTCTTGGTATACAATGCTTGTCTTTGTGGCATGATTTTTCCAGCTTCGCGAGTCAAAGGGCATGACAACCATCAAATTCCGGCCACATTCTGGGGAGGTACTCCTGAAAGTTATATGCTACCTTCATGAGAGTTTTATGTTTTGTGTCCCTCATATTTATAATATTTCAGGCTGGTGACATTGACCACCTTGCGGCAACATTTCTAGCTGCTCATAATATTGCACATGGAACCAATTTAAGGAAATCTCCTGTGCTACAGTATCTTTATTATTTGGCACAGGTAAGAACAAAACGAAACTTAAAAATAATTTAGTTAATCAATAAGCTTGGAATTTCTAATTGTTGTCATGGCACATTGGTTACCAGATTGGCCTGGCTATGTCTCCTCTGAGCAACAATTCCTTGTTTTTGGACTATCATCGGAACCCTTTTCCAATGTTTTTCTTACGGGGTCTGAATGTTTCCCTTTCTACGGATGATCCACTTCAAATACACTTAACAAAGGAACCTTTAGTCGAGGAGTATAGCGTAGCTGCTTCTGTAATTTTTATCTCTTTCTCTCTTGGCAAGAATCTAGAATATATACTTTTATCTAAGGTTCAATTAAATTAAAGCCTTGACTTGCAGGTGTGGAAGCTGAGTTCATGTGATCTATGTGAGATTGCCCGTAATTCAGTCTACCAGTCAGGTTTTTCACATGCTTTGAAGGTACATTCTCTTTCTGATTGGAGAAGAGATTGGGAAGGGCAGTGAGCAGGTGTTGCCCCCTTCTCTAGGAACAGTCAAAGATTGGGGTAGGAATGAGATGTACACAGAATATACACGATCTATTCCTAATGACACCAGTCAAATTGCTTGAAAAGTATTCATTAGATATTGCGGGTGTGGAAGTGAATTTTTTTGTCACAATATAATTTACAAGGATTGAGTTTTGATTAGGGAATTGTCCCAGGTCTACCATTATTTGGAGATTAGTGAGCTGTCCCTTCCACTTTGGTAGACCTCACTTTGAGATGATTGATGTATTGAAATCAGTTGTATGATTGTATCTGTTTCAGTCGCACTGGATTGGAAAGGAGTACTACAAGAGAGGGCATGATGGAAATGATATACACAAGACAAATGTACCTCATATCAGGCTGGAATTTCGTGACACGGTAGGGTCCAGACTGTAATTTGTTAAGAAGTCTCGTAGGACCTGATACACTCATGCTTGCAACAACATATTGTCCTCAATCCCATCCTCCTATTCCCCATTTGCTACTTTCCTCCTCTCAATTAGTAGTCCTACTCTCTGGTCTCTGCCTAGCGAGTAATTAAGCACTCAACACGTTATTCTTCTGCAGATCTGGAAAGAGGAGATGCAGCACGTTTACCTAGGCAAGGCTATTATCCCTGAAGAAGTGGACAAATAACGTGCAACATACTGCATAAGGTCCATTCTTGAACATTAAACATATACTCAGGAGGTAGCCATCTGATTCCTTTGATCTTGTTTGAGTAGTTTCCTTTTTTTTTTTTAACAAAATTCGATTTGATTGAATAATGTGGATTATCTGGCAACTTCTCTTATTTGTTGCAGGAGGCAAAAAACCTGCCTTCTACCCGCACAAAAGGGAGGATGACCCATAAGAACTGAGAAATGGCAGGGACAAGCAACAAGCTGATCATGAATTTAACAAGGTTTGAGGCCACAGGTTGACCTTGTATGTGATGGAATTGTTGGAAGGAAAGATCTGCAATATCTCAGCCATTAGAGTATGGGTATCAAAAACCAAATCAAATTCAAATACATACTATAAACACGAGGAAGCAAATAACAAACATTCCATTGGGATAATAACCAAAAGTGATTTCTAGTTTTAGGTTACTTAAAGAGCGATTATATAATACTATATTACTCCTTAATATTGCGGTTACCAGTGTATGCTATGATACTCTTTGGCATCATAAATTTTGACCCAATTTTTTGAGGAATGCGATGTCTCATGGAACAGTATACCAAGAACATTCCTGGCTGCCTTTTGCAATAATAAATTCTTTTGTTCATGAATAAATTTACTCATCTTCTTCTATCTCATTCTTGGCTGCCTTTTGCAATAATAAATTCTTTTCCTTTTACGTTATATGACAAAAAAAAAAAAAAAAAAGCTAGAAAAATCGTTCTGACTGTGACTTTGGGTTAAAATTCAAGCTGGTGGTTACTGTTCAAGCCCAACACAGCGTTCCCTTTGGACAAAAACCCAATAATAACTTTGTCCCGGTAAAATTGCGGAAATCAATCCCCTTGCTATCAAGCATCCCCGATGTTGCAGCAGAATCATACGTACAGTTGGTAGTATAAGACTGACAGATTAGCCATCAATTTTATGTGCAAAACGATGAGCTGATTCAAACTTCTCCAAAACTCAGATGCACAAAAAAGGTTGCCTTTTCGGGAGACACCTTGATGGCCGTTTAAAGTCACAATATCAGTTTCCATCAATCTCACCCGGGCAATTAAGCTTTTTCAAGTACAATTGCGATCTATTGCTTTAGCTTTCCAACAGGAGTAATTAGACTTTAAGAGAAAAAAGAAATCTTTAATATAATCACTCATTCTCCAATCTATAATAAGAAAAGAATCAGGTGAAACTAAAAAATGTGTTCTCTGGATAAACCCGACTCTAACAAACAATAACTTTAGCTGAATGAACCCAAAAGTACATCAGTTAGTGAGCCAACATCATTATTCTTCCCAAAAAATTTTACAAAATCCATGCTAGGATCCATTAGGTACATGCAAAAGGAAGAAAAGACCAGAATCAATATAGGTGTGTTTTTACATGTGAAGTTCAGCATTAAAAATGAAAATCAAGTTATTACAAGTGTGCATATGGGAACAAGATGCTAGCTCACAAATAATGGACTTCCTGCAAGCAGTGCATGAAATGCCAATGGCAGGAATAAAATGGTTAACCGATTAGTATTTTCACCAGAAAACTGAATGATGCAAGTTGAGAGGCTTTAAGTGCTTTAAAGCAGTGCCACACAAGCCAAATATTTACTACCATCCTTACCCTTTAATAGCCAAAGCGTTCTTCCCTAGCCATGAGAATAAGTGATCACTTTTGAAAAGTGGAAACAATCTCTCATTGCCTCATCTAACAAGTCTCGCCAGAAAAAAATTCCATCTATTTCTATTTTGAGTTCATATCAACATCTACTTCCATTTTGCTTTGACCTACATCTGCTGTAGTTTGCATCGGCATGATGTTCAATGGTAGCCGGTAGTTGAGATTTGTCTCATAAGGAGACATTGGTGCATTGTAGTTGTTGATAACAAGAGCAGCCCGGTGCATATAGCTCCCGCTATGCGTGGGATCTGAGGAAAAATCGGACCGACATTAGACCCAGTGGATCCATTTGCAAGAAAGGGAGAGAGGGACGGTGAAGAGATTAGGCGATTGAGGGTGAAGATGGAACGGGGGATCTGCATTGGCTCAGACTGTTGGGTATATAGACACCGATGAAAGTTTTGAAAACGACTTGCGTTTCTCCAAATAGCAGTAGCCATGGCTGAATGAATTGATTCCTACTTCCTTAGTTAAGTGATTCTGAAATTTTCTCTTTGAAATCAATGGTAGTTACAAAAATGCCTAGAAATCTATTCTCACTCGGATGTTGATAATGGGATAACCGATCATTGGTGTGCAGAAAGGATACCATTTTCTTAGTTTGGATTTTAAAAAAAGGGAAAATTAATAACATTCACACCACTTCACTCTTTTCTTTCCGTTAACAAGAACCAAAATGAATAGTTTCTCAATTTTATGCTAATAAAGTAACAATCAATTGCAATGAACAAAAAAATGCCGCCACATTCTCAATGACCAAGATGCGCATAATGCTAGCACCAAATTTTCGATATCATAAGCCGTCTTTAGAGATGGAACATATGGTTTATTCTATATTAAAAAAAAAAAAAAACTCCTACATAGTCCAAATAAAAAAAAATAAAAACCCTTTGGAACATATGTTCTTTTGGAATTCCACCCCTGTTCCAGAAAATTAATACGTGCAGCAGTAGATAAGTTACAGATTATCAAAACTCCGAGGGTCAGAGACAGCCACACAAATGCCAAGTACTACCATATCTACCACATCACTGGTTTTTAGACTGCAACAGAGACAACATGTAGCTAGAAACAATGAACATCCACCAAAGATAACATATGTAACATCAATGTAAAGTAGTAGCGGCTGACCTCCATGTTTTTCGAAAGTTCTTTCATCTGTTCAGCAAGTTCTTGCCTCTTCCGCGCAGCTGCATGCACCAGAGGCAACAGTCAATATTAACGAGTTCTTTCATTGGCTCTATGTTAGATAATAATGGGCCAAATTCACAGAGAGGATTTAAAAAAAAGGACCACAGTAACTGAAGGAAACAAGCACATACCCATACTGGAAATATCCTCTATCTTCTTTGATGTCCTCACAGCAAATCTCTGGAATGCAGGACTGAAAATAAAAAACCAAACAAAACAAGAAACCAAGGTCAATCCTCCATAACAATCATATAGCACAATATAATGCAAATATATCACTAATTAATGATACCTGATGGTAAAAAAAAATCTCAACCCAGATTATCTAAAACCATGACAAAAGTTTCCACAGACCATTAAAGATCAAAGTGCAATTCCTTTTGTTTGGTTCATAGGAAAATTTTCTCAAACCTCCAGAATGCAGTGCTTGGTATTTTACAAAGCACATATGCCTTACATGTAATAAGTTTACCAAAGCAAACTAAAAATTAGTTGCAACATAAGTTTCTGAATCCTTTTGCCTATGATTCACAAAATTTAAACAAAAATTGATCTCAGACATACAAATGAACAGATAAATTATAGCATACAAATTATATTTTAAGAGGGTGTTTGATTCAAGAGAATCCACAAATTTTCCTTGGAATCTTGATTGTGAATATCTAATGCCCATGTTTGCTTCAGAGTTATCCAATTCCTAGGAAAAATGTTAAATTCCTAACAATATCCAAAAGTCCCAAAATTAGAAACTCATCTCTCCCTGTGGTATTTTATGATTCTGAGTAAAAGGTTACTTGAGTTACACATTTGACTTGCATAAAAAATTACTTCTTTCTTTCTATGTTACCTCTTTAAAAAGCAACTTCTGACAATGAAATTAAATTTCTTTTTTAAAGTCAATTACGACATTTGTAATGAACAAAACACAATAATTGTTCTTTGTGTGGTTTATATTCCATATTTCTATTACTATGTTATTTAAAAGTACACAAGAATTGTTCTATGCCTGACTTTTGTTCAAACATTATTACTGCATTTTCTTAAAGAACCGTAGTAATTGATAATATTTACTGTATTTATTAGAAAAAAGGCAAAAATTTGTCATTGTAATATTTTTAACGTCATCAATTACTGCATTTATTTAAAAAACAACACAATAATTGTTCATTGTTATTTTTAAAAAAATCAATTAATACGGTTTTTTTTATATATACGCAATAATTATAGAATTTAAATTTTTAAAAAAATATCAAATTCTGCGTTCCTTTAAAGATAAAAAGCAGTAATTGATCACTATTTCATTTTTTTTTATATAATTGGCCACTCAAATACTGTATTATTTGTTGATTATTTTCTTTAACAAAATGTTGTGTTTGTTATATTGTCTAAATATATTACGGTAAAAATACATGATTTAATAAACTCATATTCCCTCAACCAAACACAAAAATACGGGAGTCCATGAAAATCACACTTTCCCATAGATCATATTTTCTTGGATATCCCACTTTCCATTGGAATCTAACATTCCGCAAACCAAACGCCCCCTAAAAGTATTCTAAAAATACCTAATCTTCAGCATGCTGAAAAATTCGACTAAAAAATTGAAAAATACAAACAAATTCAGAGAAATAGTTACCTGCTTGCAAGTCTATCAACGACAAGTTCATTGACGACGTAAGATATAACTCTGTGCATGAAATTTCCTCCAGCCATAGTAAACTTTCAAAATCTGATAAAACAATTATCAAATACAAATGTCAAATTACGAAAACCTAAATCCAATTAAACTCTAACCTTTTTCTTTAAAAAAACAATTATTACATAATTAGGGGTTTTAATATCAAAGAGGAATGATGAAATATTGGCTACCAAAACCAACCGATGAAGAAGATGCAGGGCTTGCTTCTTCTGAAAGATGGCTTTATAGTAGGTCGCGCAGTAGCAGCCGCAGGAGTTTTTCATTTCCTTTATTGATGGGTTGAAGCTGGCTGGGTCAGGGGCCCGGGTTTCACTTTCCAAGTTTTGGTTGGACCATGGGCTATAATTCACGGGCCGGAAAGCTAAAAGTTAAGGTCTCAGCCCTTTTAAATGAGAGTATGAGACTGGTTCTTTTTATTTTTTTGGTTGGATTATTTATAGCAGACAACTGTAGTGATAGTAAAGCTGAATGGAAATAGTGAGAAGTTTTAGCTTAATTCAAAATTTATTATTAAAAATTTAGTTTAAATTTGATCAAATTTTAAATTTTAAGTTTGAATTCAATTCAAAATAAAAATTAAATTATTTGAGTGTATTTAATTAAATTCATTTAATAAAAATAAATTCGATTCTCATGTTTGATTTTAAATTTATTTATATATTTAAAGTCAAATTCGAATTATATATATAAAGATAAAATAATATTTTTATCAAAATAATAAAAATATATTAAGATTTAAAAATTCGATTTACGAGTTACTTAAATAAAATATTAAGATATTCAAGTTCAACTTACTCAATAAATTAACTTGTTTAAACTCAAATCCGAATTATTTACATTTCTAAACAACCGGAAAAGGAAGTAATTTTACTATTAAAAATTTGCAATTTTTTAGTTTATTTTCAAGAAGTCTATTGAAAAGTAAGCTAAGATCAGTCATTCAGTCCTGTTTCTTGTCATTTGTTTTTTATATATTTAAAATTAGCAAATTTTAAATTATAATTAAAAATTCAATACTTCATCAATAAAAATTTTTATAATTTGATAGATACTTCCCATACAAAATTTCAATTCCAAAATAATTAGATATTAGTGACCAACTAGTTAGACAAAGAGCATTTTTAGGGACGAACAAACTATTTTGCTTTTCAATTTTCTTGTAATTCTTTAATAATTTTAACATCAAGAATTAATTGAAGCTTTCACGTCAAAATTCTCAAATCTCCAATAAAATTGTTGGTGCCTTTAAAGTTTAATATCGACTTCATTGAAACATCTTTAGTATTATTATTCGCCTTGAACCCAGAAGATACAATTGATTGATGATTAATTGGAATTTTAAAAGTTCTTTCTTTGTCACAGGTTGTCAAAAAAAAAAAAAAAAGCTTAATTTGCTAAAAGATACGACAAAGGAAAGAACTTTGAACACATAATAAACAGATGGATTTTCTCTCTTTTTCTCTTTGGTTTTTGGGGTTGAAAAAGGAAAATCTACAAATGAGCTAAAAATATTTGATTCCAAGCATCTGGGACTCCGGGCAGGCACCAATGGATGCAATCTGCATGGTGTCCTGGGTCTGCTTTTTCCTTATCATTTAAGAGCCTACCCCCAGTCTCGGTATAAATTGATGAATGAGCATCAATTCTGTTCTCTGAGAGCTGTGTTATGTTGAGAACTGTAACAGGAACTTTCATTTTCTTCAACACACCTGCCACGACACTCATCATGTTCTTGTCAGAACCACTTCCCCAAAACTTCTTATTCATCACTGGCTTTGTCTCATTGAAGCATTTCAGCCCATCTTTCCTGCCCCAGTCTTCGCTTCTGCAGAAAAAGAAAAAGATTAAATTGTTACTATCGGCAAATGGATACATGAATTTTTGCACGTAGACACAGGCATGCAAGAGAAAGAGACAGACCTTGTATGTATAGGAGACATAGTTGTGAAGAAAACACGAGTCTTGATGGGATTTATAGTTGAATCAATCCAGTTAGCCCATGTCTTCAAACCAATTTTATAGGCGACTGGTGTATCCAGCTCTGTATAACCTTCGTCACCATTTGCAAAGGAACCCCATCTGTTCTCAACAAAAAGTAATGTTAAAAACTAAAAGCTTAACTGATCAAAAGAGTTGCTTCGTTTAAAACTAATTAAGGGTTTTGACACAGAACTTACAATGTCTTGAGCCTAAGCCCACTCATCCACCAAACGTAAGTATTAAACGCAAGGATATCAGCTCCTTCCCAGTGTTTGGAGTGCTTGGCAACTGAATCAACTTTTAGTATTCTCTTCTTTGGATCTAAAACATCGATATCCGAATTGGATTCAACAAGAAATGGAGCCCAGTAAAATTCGATGGTTGCATTATATTCCTGAAAAAGGTTAATGGGATTGGGAAGCGTTAGCTTTGTTTTATGTTCCGACAGTCTTTTTCTTTACATTTAAGCAATGGAACTTGTAGTCTTTCAAATGAAATTAACACCTTGGCTTTGAAGACAGAACGAACTTTGCCAAGTTTCATAGACTTCTTTTCTGGAGTTAAGGTCCATTCAATCATACAAACGAAAGATTCCCATTGATTTCTTTGCAGGGAATCTCCTGCAAAGAGTAGCCTCTTTCCTCGAAGCTTTTTAAGTGCAAGTTCTGGATCAAATCTACACACATGGAAACGTTAGAAGAAAAGAAACTATTACTTCAAGAAACGGTTCCATTTTCATGCATGAATAAATGTCTGAAAAAGAGCACAATGTTTCTTACCTAGGCAAGTTGCAGTCATCTGGCTGCCATTCCCAGTGACGGTAGTCAAAATCAGGCCGACCATTTTTGACACAAGAAAATTGCCTGTCCAGATACGGACAACTTCTATCTGTGTACAAAGGCTTGATAGAACGGTTGAACACCCACTCCCCATGAGCAATATCGCACTCTTCAGGGTCAAAGTTGAACCTGTCATCGATTTCGGGGTTTTCTAGCTTCTCCTCTGCAGTTTTATTCTCTGTTAGACAATGACAGTTCAACATTAGAATCTTTTTGAAGGGATAGAACTCTGAATAGGAAAAAAATTTTCAATTATTAACAAACCCCTGTTGAAGTATCACTTAGCTTAGCTACATAACTTACTAGCTTGTACAACAGCACCTCTTCTAGCACAGGATTTGGATTTGAGAATAGAATTTGAAGAAAGAAAACTTATTCCTTCGGTATATAAGAGAGCAAGGAAAGCAAAACTGCAGATCATAACTGTGATAATAGAAAGAGGTAGCTTTACTCTGTAAGGTTTCATCATGATGGTTGAAGGAGATGCTGCTAAGCTATGGTTGGAGGGAGAACTGAGAGGATTAAACTAAAAATGGTTGGATAAAAGAGTATGAGCTGGTGTAACAGAATGATGAGAACACCTTTTTATTTCTTTTTATTTTATGTGTTTTGAGTAGGAGTAAAGCTAAAGCCAGGTATGGTTGGGAAATTTAACCTCTTTTTCTAGCAAAATAATGGAGGTTAGAGAGTAAGTTGAAAGGCTAACATCTTCGGACTCCTCTTGTCTTCTTTCCTATTATGGTAGCTAAATGATCTCAATACCATTTGAGTGTCGTTGCCATCAAAATTTAGAGCTTTAGATTAGAATATTTCCATTAGGTGGGGGAAATTAATGAAGTGTCTGTTAATAACAGAAGTCAGGAGTGTTAAAGCAACCTCTCTCTCTCTCTCTCTTGACTTCTTTGTTTCCATCTACATCATTGCTGAATATGATCAATTTTCTGCTTTTTGTATCAGGTGAAAGTTACCAATCGTATTGTTCCCAGCAGGAGGAAGCTGATATCGACTCAACTCCTCGCAGTACCTTTTGCTTTCCCCATTGTGTGTGTGTGTGTGTGTGTGTACATATATATATATACATACATACATACATACATATATATATATATATATATATGTTTATGCTGTAAATGGAGAAGCAAAGAGGAAATCCCACTAATTGGAAATGCCTTCTTTTGAAGGTGCAGAGTCAAGTTCAAATATGCATTTTCTAAACCCAGAATCAACTAGCCATAGGAGAATATTGGCATGGTATCATTATGGTCTTTTTTCACCTTTAAAAAAAAAAAAAAAAAAGAAAAGAAAATCTCAATGTTGATCCCATATTCACACCTTGTTAGGTAAAGATTCTTCAATTTTTTTGGAATAAGATTGAATTTCTTTTCACACTCTCAATTGGGTTGAAATCAACATGCCTTTGGGAGTACTAGTTTTCCTGGATACCATTAAGCAAATAGCAATGGCTCAAAAATACCCCTCCTAACATTCATTGAATGTTGGCTAAAGACATACTTCCTGTCTTCTGAAAGCACAAGGTAAGCACTAAAAGTAGCAACAAAAACACACTTAAGTTTGTCTCTCTGTTGCCATTTAAATTTAAGTGGAGTACATTAATTTATGGTTGAATTTTTAGTTACTGTCCAAACAAAGGGAAATGCCTTGTTCTTGTATTTTAAACAATTAGAAATTCCTCTTTAATGTCATAGGGGTTTAATGAGATTGGTAAACAGCCTTATAAAACTATTCATGACAGTTTAATTAACTTCTATTCTCAGAGAAATAAGAAAGGCATGGTGTCACCAGCTATTATTTCTAATCAATAATTAAATCCACTAACTCCCATCCAAAAATCCCATATTTATTTATTAGCTGGTAAATCATGGAGCTGTAAATGCTTAGCTATTTGGGAAAATAATGATATGCAGAATAAATAATGGACCGCAGTCTTGTAATGGAAATAATACACAATTTGCCATCTCAATTGCTATCATTGCTTCTTCAAATGCAACTAATTTTCAAATCTTCCGGCCCCAGATTTTACATGTTTGATTTTGACACAAGAACCTGTGCAAAAAATGAAACAGTGGGATCATCGAGATAAACCTAAATAGATCATCTAATCCTCCAAGAATCCATTAAATTTGCCACAGATAAAAGGTACTTGTGTGGATGAAAAAAATAATAAACAAAATCATGAGTAACCCCAGCATCAATATCTTCTTAGGTAATTGTCAGGCTGTGGATGTTAATATCGCTTGAAAAATAGATTTTGGTTGATATCAAAGGTGACTCTGTCACTTGAAAATGAATTAAACCAATTCAGGTATTTGATGTTACATATATTATATATACAACAATCCTAAAAATGGAGGTTCTGTCTCACGGCATTGGTTTTTGCTATTTGGCTGCCATTTTACTCGAACCCCATTCCTTTTGTTTGGGTTCGAAAAGGAGAGTTCGGAGCATTCGGAATTATTAAGGAAAAAGCAACTATGGTTGAGGAAATATTGTCATGCAATTTGCTCTTGCAACTTAAAGGCAATAATGCCATAGTGGTTACAGGGTTGCATGCAATTTTTTAGTGGAGAAATACAATTTGGTGAGGTGGGAGAGTATCTTGGGTGTCAGCTTCAAGATTGTAAAGAAATCCTGACCTTTCATCAAATAAAAAAATAAAAAAAATAAAAATTGCTTTTGCATTGGTGATTTTTTCCGTTTTTGGTACATCAATTGCTTTTGATGCTGGTGATTGGTGAATGAAGTCATAAACAATTTATCTTGCTCCTTATTCAAATTTTAGTGAAATTCACATCAATAAATTGACATTTTAAGAAATCATTTCTGTTAGAAAAAGCAAGGGATCTTACATATCATATCCATCGTCCCTGGTAAGCAAAATAGTTGAAATGAAAAAAAAAATGTTTTTGTGAGTTGGATGATGAAGTGCATGTTTCATTGTTTTTCCTAACGTCTAAGTAAATTACGTTATGTTTTATTTGAAAAGCTTTTCTAACATGGGGTAATTTCCAAAAGGGCTTTTGCCTTTTAGTATATACATCTTGAGGTTGGTTTTGAATCAAGTCAAGCCCACACTATACAATTTACTTTCTACATTAGTAGATTGGGTAATTAAAGCTAAGCCCATATCATTCAACAAAATTAAAAAAAAAAAAAATCTGTCTTTTTTTTTTTGAGCAGAAGTGAAACCATCCCGCTTTCAGACAGCCTTTGGAACATAAATCAATGTCTCTCCGCACCACTCCCCAACTCCTTTTCTTCGCTTCGCAGACTCTCTTTTATGTTCCCAAAATACCCCTACTCTCTGCTCCTATTCACGCTTCACCCCTTCTCTTTCTTTCCCTTCCATTTCTCTAAGACGTCACGCCTCCACAAAAACTCTCTCTTCAATTATCGCTTCAGCTCTCAAGAACCTCTCAGAGGTCGAGCCAGTTCATTTCCTGGTCACACCCGAGGGAATTCGCCGCGAAACAGCCGTCGGATGCCAGAGTCTACGCCGTTTTTTATCAAAACGATGAGCTTCAGTTTATAGGCATCTCGCGTAACATTGTTGGCAGCCTTTTTACTAAAAAATAATCATTTCTGGAACTTTGCGGCTCCATTTAGGTACGTTTAATATTTATTTATTATTATTATTATTAATGTTTCTTGGATGTGATTGTTGAGTTTGGGAATTTATGAGTTAATCGATGCAAGATATTTAATTAAAAAAGTGAAGGATTAGGAAACCCCCCCAAGTCCACAAAATCATTAAAGCTAATAGACTTAAGTCCGCCAAGTGCCAAGTTTTGTACAAGATTTTGATGTTGAACAGATTTACCTTTGTTTTGAGCTCTATCATGTCATCAATGTTCTGATTGTTTTGTTCTACAATTTAATTGCCGAAAGGTTCTAGCTGTTAGTCATTGGATTGGTTGGTGTTCCAGAACTTATTTTGGTGGCCTGTTTTTATCGGATGTGCTAGAATTGATTGTTTAGTGACCAGATATTTAAGGTGAATGATCTTTATTACAGTTTTATTCATCATGAAAAATCAATTAGATGGTGACTAAACTGAGTTGGAATTCAAATGATGTACCGCCAAGGTGGGTGGATTATATATAAAAATGGTAGTTTGAGAACTTTAGTATGAACCATTAATGAGGTTTGAATAAACTAAGCCGAGCATGCTTCAGTTCTTACCAAGCAAGCTGAATTGGAATCCCCCAAATTGGCATTAGCATGGATGGAGACGTGGCAATCTAACTCATGACTAGGTGATACGATATAGAAATAATATCAAAAATAGACATGAAGACGACAGTTTAAAATTTTAACAAAAATTATATATGGGTTCAACAAAATTAAAAAAAAATATTTAGTGTTTTCATGTCAACATAAATTATTATTTGTAATTTTCGTATAAAATATGATATGAATACACAAATTATCAGTATTTTAAATGACATGAATCGCCCACTCTAGACTCATGGTTAAGCTTAGTCTTAATCCACTTTGCGAGAGGCCATGTTATGGTAAAATTGCTAGTGTTTATCTTGATGGTGGTGAAGAGAATCAAGGAGTTATTACTTGCCTGGTATTTATTAATGTCATTTTAAGCGTTTTGTAGGTTGGTGTAGTCATTGAACCTGATAGGACAGCTCTAACTCAAGCCTGGAAGTCATGGATGGAAGAACATATACAAAACACTGGAAAGGTCCCGCCTGGCAATGAATCAGGAAACACCACTTGTGTTCGGCAGCCACAAAAGAAGCAAAATCTCCGACTTACTCCTGGCGGTCATGTTCAATTTGCAGTTCCATTTCAGGAACTCATTGATAACTGGTGAAAGAGAACAGCGTAGTGACCTTTATTGAGGGGTCAACAAGTGCCCCGATGTGTGGATTTTCAGAGAGTAATTGCCACTCTTGAGAGTCAAGGAGTGGATTATGAGAGTGTTGATGTACTTGATGAAGAGTATAATCTTGGATTAAGGGAGACACTCAAGCTGTATAGTAAGTGGGCCACATTCCCTCAAGTTTTTGTGAATGGAGAACTGGTTGGAGGGTATCATATCCTGACCCCGAAGTACGAAGAGGGTGAGCTTACTGGTTTGTTCAAAAAGCAGTAGGTTTTGACTTTATAGATGTTGGCCAAGGAGTGTAGAAGGAAAAGAAAAGAGATTGTAAGACTACGATACATCAATTATTGTAACAATAGAGCAATCTCTGGATCATCGTCTAGTGGAGTGCAAATTCTCTGTTGAATCCATTTCTAATCTCCCCCCCTAATACTTTCTCAAGTATAGGTTATGAATAGGACGGCCTTTTGGGCCTACGGCAACTGTGGAATTATGAAAGGCTTGATTATTGGCCCATGGATCTTGCTTGCGATTGTGTGCGGCAAACAGAAGCAGGCCTTTTCGGCCTTGTGGCTAAGATCAAGTCCAGTCCAAAGGCTTCTGATTGAGATCTTTACTTTTTGGTCCTCTTTACTTAACTTCAACGAGTTTTCTGGGCTGATGCTGAATGATATGTTTTACATGTAAAAGGCAAAGGCAAAGTCAAAGGGGTGCCATAGTTGAGACTCTGAGATGTATTTCAAGCTTAAGTACTTGAGTGAGGAAGAGAATGAAATAACACGTCAAAATAGCTTAAGAGTGCCGAGAAGGCTGGGATGAAAGGTTCTAAGCCCTTTTCTAGTCCTTAATCTAGGGCCTTCTAATCTCTTTTCTAGTCCTTAATATGAAGTTTTTACACGTGAGCTGCATGGCGTGTCTAGTGTAGGGCATGCCTACCTGCTATAAGTGGCATCCAGGTAGTATTTTTTGAGCCTGTATAAGCCATTTTCGTAAATAGACCTTTAGTCCTTAGATTTAGCCTTGGCTTGAACCTAGTTTATTTGGTCCAACAATTGGCTTCATACAAAGTCATAATTTGATTTTTGGTTTGATTCAAAAAATAAAAACGAAATAAGGCAAACCATGATTAGATTTATAGTTCAAACAGAATTTTTGTTCATGTATATACCAAATTGAATCAAACTGAATTGATAAATCAGATAGCATAGTTTTAGTTTCATCCATTCAAGCATGACAAGTAAATCCAGTGGATATCTAGTCAGCCACCGCTGCTGTGAACACTATCGACCAGGAAGCACCAGAACCACTCCATTACCGTTTTAAGTTATAATAAAACTAAACCTCCTTCAGCTCCAACTGCCGCTATACTGTTCCATATCCAGCATTGAACGCTGAGAACCCAAGCAAACTCCAGCCTTGGGTTTCATATATGAAAAAAATGGTCTAAATAATGAGTTGGCATCTGCTTCTTACTTGGCTTCTTCTTGTTCCTCCACTTTGCAGCTTCAACAACGTGTCTTTCTTCTTGTTAAAACAACTGGAAGGCGGCTATGGCCAAACCCCACTGGGCCACTAGACAGCAAACAAGAATATCCTTTGGCTTTCCGTGTTCGCATCCCATGGTTTGTGAATCACTTCCCCTGAATTCTAATATCAGCTCTTCCTTGAACACCATCGCTCGACGACAAAACTCACCGAACCTGTCTCTTTCTTTACTTACTCATCAAATCTCTCACCTGTGCCTCCTCTTTCGTCCTCTCAATTTGTTTGTTGAGTCGGTTGCCTTTAACGTCAAAGATCACCACCATGCATCCCCCCTTGCTTTCTCTTACAAACTTCAAGACAACACTTACAATAATCCCTGCCCTCTTATCTCTATCTCACGCCATATTCACACACGTCTCCCATCAACTTGTTCTTGAAACACCTCCAGGCTAAAGAGGAGAATACTTTCCACCAAGCAATAAAAACTCTTATCTTACGTCAGTCCTAAAAGCACCTTTCAGAACCCCCTGCTATGTAAGCCACATTTTGCTTTATTCTTTCTCACACGCATCACTCTTTTCTCTTCTCTATTAATATTTCTTTCTCTTCTTGTTGCTGGCTTGCTTGCCTGTTATGAATCTAGGTACCAGCACCAACAGTATTAACCAGAATGCTGGCTCCATCGATACATTCTTCGAGGGTTGGCTCGTGCGCCAAGAGCATTACCTCGACGAGCTACTCTCTGTTCAAAAAAGTTGCCATGAATTCCGAGAAGATGATCTCAAGGACCTCATCACCCGAGTACTCTCCCACTACCAACAGTATTTTGAAGAAAATTCTCGATTAGCGCAAGGCAATATTTTCCTTCGCTTTTCTACGACCCGGCTCTCTTCCTTTGAGCGTGCAACGCTTTGGATAGCAGGTTTCAAACCCAGGTTTGCATTGAAGCTTGTTTGTAACTCCGTGCAAGACCTATCTCCAAAGCAAGGCGTAAGAATAAAGAAACTGATGGAGGAGACAAGATGCGAAGAGAGGGAGCTTAATGACGAGTTGGCGAGGGTTCAAGAGAGCATGGCGGCTCCGCCTTTGCTTGCGATAGCCAGGAAACGAGCAAGACTGATGAATGTGGAGATTGCAGAAGAGGAGGCAGCACTGGTCACCTTGAGGAAGGCAATGGAGGAAGTGGTGGCAGGCGCTGATATGCTGAGGATAACCACTGCAATGAAGGTGATGGAGATACTGAACCCGGCGCAGAATGTGAGGTTTCTGACAGCTGCGACGCAGCTGTTGGTTAAGCTTAGGAATTGGGGGTTGCAGAGAGATTCAGAGAGAAAGGAATGAAACTGTTATTCATGGATAGTTTTGAGATTATAGGTAGGAACAGACATGGTTGATAATATATGATATCTTTTGTATTTGTTCAGGGGATTTTTTGACAACTTCAAAGTCTTAACGGCTATCGATCAGGTCAGGAATTAGTCTAGGACAGGGCTAAGGTCCTCACCGGCCGTGTTGATGACTTGATGTCTACCCTTTGATTTACCCTTCTTTGTATGTGCATTTCCGTGCCTAGCTAATTAATTATGGTTCAGTGCCTAGGGATGCTTGTTACTTACGAGCATCGGTATCCAAGAATTGTAATAAGCAAGCTATTCTTTTATTACAATAATGCAACGTGTTATACAGAACTTGTTAACTTCTTCTAAAATAAGTTCATCGACTTTGTTTTAGCTTTGTTTTTACAAAACTGAAGAAACCACCTCCCACACAGCCCAGGAAGAAAGTTCACGCTATCACAGGCGGCTTCGCTGGCTCATTGGGGCTGGCTTGAAGCTGGCAAAACCAGTGATTTCCCTACCAGTTACCAAGCTGTTGATGTCATATGTGCCTTCAAATGTGTAAATAGGTTCCAAATCACAGAATGCCTGCATGGCAACCAAAACAAGAAAACTCAAGATGTTTCTTGAAGAATTTTATTCTTTAAAAGCAAAGGCAGATCTAACCTAGATCAATCTAAAATGTTATCCTTTCGCAGTTAGAAGTGAAAAAGTGATTTTGTGTTGAGAGCAGAGAATGAAAACCTTTGCAACTAGAAAATCAGCCAAAATTCCGTTGCCACCAAGTAACTCCCGCCCAAGAGCGACCGTCTCTCTTGCCTTCAAGCTAATCCACGACTGAAGATCATAACAGTTTGTAATGGCTAAGAATTCAAAATAAAACCTCATATGAAATCATTGGCTTCTATAATTTAAATGTCTATACCTTTCCCAAGCTAGCATGACCAGGAGTCATTTTACCCTTTTCGTACAATTTGCAAAGGCGCCAACCAACAAGGGTCATTGCTTGAACATTGCCCAACATGCGAGCAAGTTTCTGCTGGTTAATTTGGAAGGCTGCCAATGGTGCTCCAAACTGTTTCCTCTCCTTCAGATACCTACATCATAGCAAATCCAGAACAAGTCATCTTGAAGCTGATATGTCATTGCTCAAATTGGAGAAGAACAACATCCATTGCAATACCTGTGACACATATCATAGACACCCATCGATATACCAACAGATTGCCATGCAACTATTACTCGTGAAACAGCCAGTACCTGCTTTCCCATGGTGGCAATTCATAAGTGAATGAACAACTCATAAGATCCAGCAGGATACATTAAAAATATATATATCCCTATCACCAATTAGAATACAGAAAGATTGGGATGAGGTATCATTTAAGGCCGGTCATTAGAATAAACCTTGCTTGTATCTTGAAAAGAGTTGACACCAGGTAACCTGTCCTCATCAGGAACAAAGACTTTCTTTAAGAGAATATCTCCATTTTGAACAATTCGCAATCCAATCTTGTTTGCCATTTTTGTAGCTGTCAATCCGGGGGAATCCTTCTTAACTATATATCTGAAACAGAAGACAGAAGCATTCCAAGTTGAAGGAAAAAGAGCATGCAATGAATCTAACCACCTTCTGATTAGCAATCTCAATGCTTCTCTCTTTGGTTACAATTTCTGTAAACTTGGGAAATTATGGCCCATGGTGGTCTCAAGGTTTGCAAACAGTGGTATTCCATCTTTGTTCTTTAAAATCCTAACAATTGGTAAATTCAGTATGGCCTACCATTTTTTAAAACTTATTACCAAGTTTCAACAATTTCTCGACAAAAGTATGATCTTGGATCCTCCTTCTATGCTTGCTAATACTAATACTTTGTAGTTTCTAGTAAGCATACGATCATGTCTATCGATTAAGTCATTAGATGGATTCATCTCTGTGTAAGACCAAATGTTAAATACTACGTCTTATATACTATTTCACTTACCCATTTATCTGGTTGGTTGTGCTATTCCTGGAAAAAATAACCAACACATCTGCAAAAGTACTGTTTCCTATCCAGCGTTTTTGTCCCTCAAGTATCCAACCTCCCTCTACCTGAATGTTTGAGATAACAGCAAACATGATATAGCACAAAATTTAAAATATTGAGCAGTGATTGTTATTAGCTATACTAAAAGAAGACAAGTGCAAACCAAAATAGAAGGTTGAGGATGGACCTTTGTTGCAATTGTCTTCAGAGAATTAGCATCACTTCCATAGTCAGGCTCAGTCAAAGCCTAAAGATAATATTAAAATTTCTTCAATTATAATTGAAAAAAAAAAATATTAAAGACCTCCCAAGATGTTAATGCCAAAAAGAGCAACTTACCCAACAAGCTATGGTTTTTAACTGTGCCAAAGAAGGTAAATATTTCTGCTTCTGTTCCTCTGACCCGCATAATGCTATATTGATGGCCCAGACAAGTTATGCAAGGTCAAAGTTAAATGTTTATCATTTTAAAGAAAAATTAATATAAAAATGATGCGAGCAATAAGAACTAATATATAGAGAAAAATGGAGGTCATTACATAGATCTCACCAATTGTAAGCATGGCCAGAGATGAATGCACTAAGAAAAAAGTTGAGATACTTGCATCAACTCTAGCAACCTCTGCAATTGCAATAGCACTTCCAGTGAGGGAGAGACCCGGGCATCCATAACCCTGAAAGTGAGAAGTAACCAAACATCATACTTGATTTCCACTTCAAGAAAGAAATAACTTAAGAACCAAAATCCATACAGGAATAACCTTGATAGTACCACCAGCAATATGAAGAGCACCAAGTTTTGGAACAACTTGGAATGGAAACTCTGCCTTCTCCCAATACTGAGAGGAAAAATGCAAATCAGCTGCTTGTTTTGGTGAACATAAACATACAAGTAAAAAGAAAAAACGTAGTTAAACCCTAAAATCACAGCATTTAGTTGTCATTTACACAAACCAAGTTGTCAATCCATGTTGTGAGAAAGGTTCATGAACAACGTTAGAAAGATACCTCAGCCATTACAGGAGCTACTTCCTTTTCCATACACTCTCTTACTTTCTTACGGATAGCCTGCTCCTCAAGACTCAATAAATCATCAAATTGATAATAATCAGAAGCTGTATTTTTTCCAAGAGCAAAACACACATATAATTAGAAATCAAGATTTCCATTGCAGCAACAAAAACAAAAATTACCAATTGTAATCATCTACCAGTCCAGAACCAACAATTGTTCTCCACAAAATAAACAAATAAATAAATAAAGTTTGCACCACATTTCAACAAGTTCAAATGCATAAATATAAGCAACAAAAATATCTAGCAGAGCTAAAAACAGAGAATAATGAATGAAATTCATACCACAAGGAGGAAAAGTAGATGCCGGAGTTGCTTGAGGGAATGCAACCGAAACATCCAAAGGTGGTAAGTTAAAATAAGACGGCTTGGCACTTTTGTCAGTTTCATCTGTGAGGCATCAAAGTCAACCAATTTATTTGACCAAACAAACACAAGAATCATAAAGACCATCACTTAACAGATGTCATAGGTGAAAAAAGCTAATAGAAATTGTTAAAAAGACCCACAATTTTTACTCTTCCATGTATTCATCCAGGAATAATATGTAAAGCTCCAAACTTTATAGACAGAAAAAGCAGGGAATTGCTTAATATACTTCGTTAAGTCAACTTTGCCACTCGATTTCACTGTTTTTTCCCGATAATTGAATTCACTGTTCCTTATACCATTTAAGAGCAAATTTTAAAATCAAATGGCGAGAAAGAATAACAAACAAAGAAAGTAAAGTAAAACTTTTGATAATAAATTTATATATAAAAAACGAACCTTGAAACTTTGAGTGAAGTGTCATGGTGATCAAATGAGAGGCTTTTCTTCTTTTTCTGATAAAAAAAAAGTAAAAGGTTTGGGATCGGAAAAGATAGAAACAAAATAGAAAATCCCAGCGGGCGAGGTGATAGTTATAGATTTTATTTTATGGAGGAAGAAGATAGGGTCGCCAAGCAAGTTTAGGCTTTTATTTAAATTTAAAAAAAAAAAAAAAAAACAGTGGGATGATTACATTTTTATTTCTTATTATTATAAAATTAATAATTAATTGATATTTTTATCTTTGATTAAGTGCATATTTGTATGAAAACATATTTATTTTATTTTTATTTAATAAAATATTTTTATATTATTTTTTTTATTTTTCATTTTTTTCACAAGTCGTTGGAGTTGATTGGCTTCCATTTGAAGCCTACAGCCGGCTTAGTGGAATGTTATACACAGATTTCCACCAAGTTTTTTCATATCTATGTTCTATAAAATAATACAAAATTTTAAACAGAAAAGAAAGAGTAAGAACTTATGTTATGACCCTACAAATCCAGGAAAATGTATTGTTGTTGTTCTTTTCTTAAATGACTCGTTTTCTCATTCTGTCTCAGTTCTTACAATAGAAACAACCATTTGCAGTCTTATCCATTGAAAATGAAATATCCACATGGGACGCCGGGTTTTCTATTTTCTTTTAGACTTTAATTGTAACTGCTTGAAAACCAATATTTGGCAAATGTTCAGTTTCAACATGGAGCGTGCTGAAAATACTACTTATTTAGATTAGGTTGAATGGTGCATCAGGGACGAGGATATCCTCCATGGTTGAGTTGTCCATTTTTTATGAGGACATCTTTGATGAGTGCTGCAATATATACAAGTTCAAAAGGGGAGGAATATATATATACTTCACTCTGGTATGGTTAATGTTGACAAACCTTCCTCTTCAGATGGAGCCAGCCACTGAAATTGCCTGTGCTTATGATGCTGTGTGTATTCTTGAAAAACTCTGGTACAAAGCTCAAACACTGCTTGTTTCGTGTTCTTTGTTATCAATGGAATAAAATGCAAGTTTGGAAAATTCGGCATCCCCAATATGGATAATAGATTGTTTCAAAATAACAATTTTACACGTGTATACTTAATCAACATCAATCCTTTACATTCTCTGTTCACGATGCATTGCATGAAAGAAAAAACAAATCTATGATATTCAACTTAAGGTTTTTTATCAGCATGAATCATATCAGAGCCAGTGAGCTCTCAAATATTGTTGCCTTCTGAAGCTCCGACCCTCAATTTTCCATCATGCAGACCATATGCTTCGAACAAATTTGCTAGTGTGCAATGACAATAGCCATCAAAGATTCTCTCGGGTTTAAGTCTCCTGTTCAGAAAAGTGATCAAGTAATGTCGAAGAACTAATCTCAAGATAATTGATCCCCACCCGTCTCCCCTTATATCTGCCACCACTTGCGATTTTCCATTGCCTTGACAAGCTCATCGGCCAATGATGCAAAGTTTTCAGCCCCGCTTTGTAGCTCTTCAGTGCGCCTGCTGATTCTCTGGTACAATCAAGCAACCAGAAAGAAGCTACGTTAGAGGAAAGCCAGAATATGCTACATCAACAGGTTTTAAATTTTATTAAGTTTGCACTATAATGTTCATCTTACGGCATAAATTGGTTATTCTGGGAACTATTTCTCCACAGTTCTGTTCCCTTTGGTCTTATTAACTAAGAATATTAAAAGAGCATGCTGTTCAATTTTCAATTAGAATGAGATTTTATCCATCTATGTGACAATTAAATTTGATAGGTTATTCTCTTTACCTCCAGCTTTTCCTGCCGCTCTACCAGTTTATTTCTTGCATGCGAAGCTGCTGAAGAGGCATCCTGCAATATCAGATAATGGAATCTGCTCAGAAAGCTGCTACTGTTAAAAAGACGAATGGCTAAAACCAAAAGATGTCAAGATATGTTACCCCAGCTTTTCTGTATTTAGCAATAATTTCTTGAGGTGTTCTAAGTCTTGGCGTTGAATCATCAAGGGGACCTAGCAATTTTTCTCTGTCTGTTTCCTTTTCTGCAAGGTAGAGAATATTCTTCCAATTCCTTTTAGAAGCTTAGGAGTAAGGAAAAGTGAGTTAGAAAGTCAGATTTACCTCCTTTAGTTTTAACAGCTTCATGAGATGAGGAGCTAGTTACAGGTGGAGTTTCATCTATTTCAATGTCATCTAGTGCCAAAAGAAAAACGTGCCGTCAGACAAAAACCAAGAAGGAAGAAAGAATGTGGATATAGGTGTGGACAGAACCTATGTCAAGCTCTTCATCTTTCTGCTCATTTATAACATTTTGAGTTGTGTCTTTGAATGGGGTCTTCAAAAATTTGCTCTCCAAAAGAGTAAAATTGGATTCGGGTGTTGCAAAAGTATTCACTTTTCCTCCTTTAAAGCCTTTGACTATACCACCAATAATCCCTGGAACTGTACCCTGCAGTAATATGGTAGACCGTATAAGCAAATTTGCTTCTTCAGAAATTAAAACCAAGAAAGAGATGTTTCCATGGACCTGTTTCTTCTTCTGATTTGAAGAGAAACTTAAGGCGGCATCGGCAGCTGCTGCAAGAACCCTATCATGGAGACAAGGCAGAGATTCTGGAATCCTAGAAACAATAGAGCAAGTTCTCAGGATCAATTTCTTCATTAAATTTTAAATTTTCATCACAACATTGGTTAAGCAAGTGCTGGTAGTACCTGAAATCATTTTCACCAGCTAAGAGAGAGATGAATGCCACTTCACATCCACTTGTCTATTGTATACCAAACATTAGGCATATATCATCAGATGAATTGTTAAGAATACCAATATATTGACCAAAGGGTTATTAATGTTAGAGGTAATTTTGATTTTGTAAGTGTAGCATATGTTAATGTATGTTCTTACATCTATAGTACTAGATGCCTGCACATTGCATAGGTGTAAAATTTTTAAAAGTAAGATAGACAAATTTTTTTTAATATAATAGAATGAAAAAAATTATTAGACTTTTTCTATAATTTGTCAAAATTACAGGAAAATAAATGAAAAAAGTTATTAAAGAGTATTTTCTTTGTAATTTGTGAAATTACAAAAAGTAGAGAAAAAAGTACAAATTTTTTTGGAAATTTTGTTAAAATTAAATAAGATGTAACTAAAAAAACTTATTAAAGTTTTGCCTTTTTGTAATTTGTCAAAATTACTTTTAAAAAAATCACCCAAAGAACTTATTAAAATGTAAGCTTTTTGTAATTTGTCAAATAAAAATACATGTGTCAACAAATGAGGCCTTGACACATGTCAAAAATTGAGGCCAGGTCTTTGGGTTTCATAAAGATATATAAATATATCAATTTAATGAATGATCTTAAACATTGAACGACTTTTTGAAGATAAAGATTCCAAGAGAACGTACCAGTGCAACTTGAGCATTATCAGAAGTCATCAACTTATCCATGTTTGCCTTGTAGTTCCACCTTAGAATTGACACTATGGAGCTTTCTTTAACCAATTCCAAGTCTGGCAAGGATCTGCATGGAGATAGGTACAGAATAATGATCATGAAAGGAAGGAAGAGAACCTTTATTTAAAACAAGGGAATTAAAGGACATAATAAGAAATCGACACCCTAGTTAAGGATAAAAAAAAAGATGAAATATCAACATTTTACCTGATCTCCAGATCCCCTGTTTGAAATAGCAAGAGCAGTCCACAAACTCTTCCTTCTTTTTTGAAAGTGCTGGTCCAACAGCAAGGTTTTGTATGTTTTACTTTATGAATTGTTTTGTCCTTCCCCTACAGAAATTATATCTCTTTAGCGTACAAATGGAGGCACAACAACATTCTGAAGTAAAACATAGTGAAGACCATAAAAGCACCTGAATCACAGACTTCATGGAGTACAAGCACAATGACTTTTCACAACAAAGCAAAACAAGTGCATCAAGTGAGTATTCCTGTGAGGATGCAGTTTCAGAAGAGAAGAGATGTTCAGTCCCAGTTATCGAAGCAGCAAGTTCAGGCTCACTCTTGGCAGTAGTATCCTTGCCGGATTCCTCCAGCTGCTCTTCATAGTTTAATTCAGATAATGAAAAACTGCTCTCTGGAGTTCAAAATATTATCAAAATTCTATTATCAGTTAATACTAAGTGCAAAAAATTGTTAAGAATAAGCATCCAGCTTTATTACGGTACTTGCCTATAATGTACATGGAAAGTGCAGTTTCCTCTTTTTTCAAGTGCCATGGATGAGGGTGTATCATCTTACCATTACAACCATCAATGGAGATAATTTTTGCATCCTTGGTTAAGATAAATAGTATTTCCTCTTCAGGTTTGACTGCAGCTTCTGTTTCTGAATGCTTTGAGCTTTTTACAAGGTTACGAACATTTTTAAACTCTAACCAAGACATTGAAATAGTCGGAGATGACAAACTAGATACACTATCAGTAACAAACAAAATTGATGACAAAGTCACATCAAGCACTGCAACCTGTGGTGGAAGCATAAAGAAATATGAATCCCTTTGATATAGAAAGCTGAAATGACCAGCAAATCACTTATGACCTAGCTTCTTAGAAAAATGAAGAGGATGTGTCAAACAAAGAAAAACAGATGAAACTTACACGACCAAATTCAAATCCTACAGCAAGCTTGGCTCCACAATTCCCAAACTGCAGGGCTTGAACTGGTGATTTAAGAAGGGAGAATACAGCTTTATACTGAGGTCCTTTTCCTTGGGGAAAGCTCTGAACTGTGAGGCAAGTTGAATGATATTAATTTGAGAAAGCAAAGGGTCTAACAAAAGTATTACAATATGAAAGCTTACCTTCACATTTGGTCTCAGTGACATAATGAAAGTTTGTTTTATCCGAGCTGCCATCAAGGTTATAAATGCGAACCTATACAAGGCAAAATGTTAAAAACATATATAAAGTGACAGCTTAATACCCAAGCTTGACACATTAAAAAGAGGGAGAGAAAATTTAAAGAAATAATTCTGACCACACCACATTCATTTCCAACAGCCAAACTTAGAGTATGCCAACAGAAGTTCAGAGTTGTCACTGGAGCACTTGAACCGGCCACATTTGTACCTTGCACCTGCCACTCATAAGAAATTATTTGGCGCAAACAGAATTGGTAAGAGCACATACAATATTACCAGAACTCACTTCCCCTTTTAGAAAACAGATAAGTGACAGGACAGGATATGACGCATCCCATATCCGAACAGATCCATCCTGGTAACCTGCTATGTACACTTTGTCAATACTGTTATCTTTAGTGACAGATAGATGAGTAGGTACACCCCCTGTCAAGGGCCACTTTATGCCACCACCTGGGGTTGGTGTTGTGCCAAGTTTCATCATTGGTGCAAACTGACGGAACAGAAGGAAAACATTAATCAAGAAAAACTTTTACAGAACTCAATGACTTCAAATAGTGAAGATTTTTATGACAGAAATCCAATACCTCTGACAGAACTTTTGATGAGTTTCCACCTGTGGGTAGCACACTGAACTTTGCCACAGCAATGGATGGGTCAGCTGTAGGTATTAACATGGGAAATTCCACCGGACAGGCAAATTGTTTCCTCTCTTGATCAGATAGCAATGTAGACAAGATGCTATCATCATAAAGATGCAGTTGTCCAGGACTTGTCAACACAAAAAGATCAGCTTTGTGATTGCCCCCTGCTGCCCCAGCAGTTGGCAACAAAATCATGTCAGCAAAAGAGCCAGTGAGTGTAAGATCCACACGAGCAACACATCTAACAGTCTCCATCCCAGATGACCATTCAAGACTCAAAACCTGTACCAGCCACATTAAGCTCTTAATTCAGCCTTTTATCTTTGATGGTATATAGTCTCCCAAATAGAGACTAGAAATAGATGCAATTACATAAATTATAGAATAGAAAGTGTCAAATTGCAGTCAAATGCATAACGCACCGTTAAAACTTCTTCAGATCCTATTTCATCACCACCATATATAAAAAGTTGGCCATTATAATCACTGTGGGACCTATAGTTTGGGGACCATTGTAAGACAATGACAGGGAGTCTCCTCTCAGCAGATGACAGTTGCAGCTTAACAACATTTTTGTTTTGTCCATTTTGTTCACCTTTAGAAGAGGCAATACTTGATGTATTCCAAAACAAGATATCCCCATCTATGTATCCCACTGCGAGAATGGATCCATCAGAAGATGCCCAACAAATAGCACTTATCTCCTTTCCTTGTAGATGATGCTCAAATGTATCATCATGAACATCCGAATCCACTGCATCCTTTAAATGAAGATCCTTTCCGCCTCCAACAAAAGAAATTTGAGCTTCAGAAACATCCCAAAGAACTATCAAACCATTTGCAAATGCAATTATAACTCTGCAAAAAAATATAGTTCAAAATATTAAAGTGATGAAAAGACACCAAAATAATATTGATTGTTTTTTCCTTATTATCTAGGGTAATTAATTTCTAACCTAAGGTGGCAGTTTCATGCTAGCAATGTTGCAGCCATATTGAGATGCTGGTGGAATCAAAGACTAGATCCAATTTTACACCATAGTCTAAAACATATTATTTTATGGTAACGCATCAAATTGAGCCAAGTTTCTTTCACATTTACCATACACACAAATGTAAAGGTGATGGTTCAAATTAAAGCATTATGGATTGGATAAGCTTGATATTAAGTTGAGCCTCAGTCCTTATCAATTTCAAAAGCTAAGCTAATTTAAGCAATTGCACCGTACCTATTTCCAGAAGAATGGGGTTGAGGAAGAATCCCAACAACAGGTTGGTCATCAGGAAATGAAAACCCAGCTGCTTCTGAGAGACAGCACCATACAGTCCATTAAAAGAATAGAGAACCAAAAAGTTTAAAATAATATATCTAGGATTTCAGGATCCTTTGAATCAATTACACTCATCATGCTGCAATTACATATTTAGTAAAGCTAAAAGAAAATTGTACATAATATGACTGTAAACCAAAAGAATGATACACAAGAAATAATATATAAGAAATCCAAGTAACAAAGGCCAAACTGCCAAAGAAAAAATATGAAAATTTAATTAATTTTCTTAATAACAGTTCAAATCAGTTATTGGCCACTAGAAAGGCAAGAAGACACTACCACTTAAAGAATTTGCTGATATATTATAGGGCAACTGCAAAAGTTTTCCATCTTCAGCATCATACTTAATCACCGACATCAAACCATACTCATCTCCAATGTACCTGTGTGAAAAGATAGAGCAGAATGTGATACAGCATTGACAAAGCACCACTTCCATAACTACCACTCTTACAGCTGATTTTAGAAATATATTAGATATTGTTAAACAAATTATACATTAAATGTGAGCCATTGATGACAGAGAAGGCAGTAATGTTGGACTCCCACTGTAAGCAACATGCTAGAAACCTGTTCTCCAGATTCCAAACCTGTAAAAAATTGGGAAGTTGTTGAACATAAAAGGTATATGATGCCTTAGGACCTAACCACTGCACAGTTGATAAAGAATCAATACCTGAATATCATTGTCATTTGTGATGCAGATTAAAAAACCCTGGTTTTGTACGAACTGCCATCAACATGCAAAGGGTTAGTTCACAGCTAAATGTAAAAGAAAGTGTACCTGATGTTCATATAGATTAAAGAGTTAATCAAGTTACAGCCTTTGACATCCCTTTGTTTTGCTGATATCCAAAATCTGATGTCTATATGACTTTCATAGATGGACAATCAACTTTCTCTCAATAGAAAAACGACTGGTATTTAAGTTCCTTGAAGAAATTCACATTATTGATCTTTGGGTTCACTAAGGATTAAAGAAAAAAGAATATAGCCAGCAAGCCATCAAAGCATTTAGTGTGGTACATATGCAAACCTCTAAATATTTGTAAGGCAATTGCTTCGGAGATATCAAAAGCCCCTCAATTCCATCACCACCAATTACTTTAATCCGGCCATCCCTAAGGAACCAAAATACATATAATAAGAAAGCAAGTAAAGAAAAAACCAAGTTAGGACATATCAAATATTTGTAGATGAATCAATTCTTCAAGATACTCAAGGCGTTTTGGTGTCGTATGATATTTTGTAGTTATTAAGCTTAAAACTTAAAACTCACAAAGTGCCGATAGCTAAGAGGCGCTGAATACTATCAAATGCAAGAACTGATGCAGTAGAGGGGATCCCATAGTGGATATCAACTCGCAAATCCAAGTCTTCTGATTTCAAATTCCCATGCTGCACATTTTGCTGAAACCATTTTTTTTTTTCAAAAACAGAAACCAAACCAAGAAGCTCCATCAGATGTTTACTCTTAAAAGAAAAAGAATCTGAAGAATCTAAAAGCAATACAAGAATTTCGTTTTTGTACCTGAGAATGGTGAACCGTATTCTGAAGAAGGCGTTTGGCGAACATGGCGAATCCAGATTGAGATGAAACGAAATCTGAGGAAAATATTCTCTTTTTTTTATGCTTTGGATGTTAAAGACTTTTTCTTTGCTTAGTTTCAATGATTAACCCAATGAATGATGCAAAAGCTGAGACTTTGTCACGCCTTTAGTCAAGATGAAAATATAGCTTGTTTTAACCCCGAAGAGAGAGAGAGAGAGAGAGAGAAACGGAATGGCTTGTTGTCGCCTTGTCGTGGGTGTTAATCTTCTGCATTGAGCCTTATTATTAACTCTCCAAAATCCGCATTTTAAGACTTGTATGCATGACAGTTTGACAGCTGTCAAGATATGATTGCTGAAGCATGTGATTGCAGGAAATTCAAATAGATTCGCTGCATGAGATACAACACCTTTTTAGCGACTTTCAAACTTTGGACTTTAGTGTTTCTGTAATTAAATAATTATAAATAAAATTTGAAACCCTTGCGATCCAAATCAATTTTTGCTCCAATGGGTAGAGCGCTCGCTTAGCATGTGGGAGATAAAGGGATCGATCCCACCTCCGTTATTCATTTTTTCCTCTGCTCTTACATTCTTCTCTGTCTCTGCTTAGAAAATGACAGCTTGAAGTAAAACTCTGCATAAAAAGGATTACTTGGTACTTAAATTTCCCTTTGGTAATGTAAGTTATACTAATGAACAATTTGAAAACAAAGTTATTGTTTTCTACTTTCTGAAAACTTAATCACAACTTAAAATTTTGAAATTGATTTGACTTGTCTGGATGAACCCCAACCACCGTGATCCATGTCGATCACAACTAGCCACCACTCCGGCCACCACTTTTGACCTTCAACAACTATTGATGGAGCATCACCATAATCGGCCGTCAACAATCATTAATGGAGCAAGAGCCCTTAGCCAAGAAAGCAAGCATCATTGGTTATCAGATCCACAAAATCCATTTTTCCATAACTAGCCAACATCACGAGAAATGTCTTCAATTAAGGTTGTTAACTCCAAGCTCTGTCCATCCTGATCTCAAGCTTGCCACTCCTTCCCTCTCAAATTACTCCATATCTTCCTCTTTTTATGTTCGGTCTAGTTTTGCAGTATATATATTATCAATGCATCAAATATAAACCCTTTTCAACTAACAAAATTGTCTCTGGTTGGTTGACACCAAAAATCATTTTTGTGGACTTTGATTAGCGGTCCAGTTGTCTCAGCAAGCAGATTGCATCAAGGATAGTAACTCGGTTCTTGCCCCATGCTAATTAGCTCCACTTTTTAGAGTGTTGAATTCAACAATTTTGTCACTTCTAAAAGAATGTAGTCCATCAAGGATGGCCAATCATCATCATTAACAGCAGCATTTCCAGGACCAGGAGCAGAACCACCCAGGGCTGGACCCACCACAGTCCTGTTATTTGCATCAACATTGGTTGCACAATATCTGGACAGAATTTTACGTTTCTCTTCTTCAATCTGAGCATAGGGATCAGGGTTATGCCTTAATTTCTTCTGCATTGTGAGCATAGGAGCAGAGGAGTCGTTTGCATGAAGATCCATTTCTGCAATCTCGCACCCGATATACAAAAGGATGACACAGTTTCTCCTTTATTCCATGTGAAAAAAAGGCAGTGATTTCCTAGGAAGCAACTTTTGGATATACGGTAATGTTCGCAGTCCCGAACCTGATAAAAATGCTTCCTCAAGTCCCTCCTTCCTTTATCCTTTGGATGCAGGTAAGGGCATTGTCCAAAATTGAGAACCTGACACCCTTTTTTGCATAATTCCACCTTGTATGCAAACATCCTAAGCACAGTCGATCGCAGTGGCTCCATCTGAAGGGCAAGGTTTATCAACATTGACCCGACCAGATTGAAAGTATATATTCTACCACTTTTGAACTTGTATATAATGGAACAATCATCAAAGGTGTCCTCTTCGAAACCCCGGCGTTGTTAGACACAATTGGATAACTCAACCATGGGAAATCCTCATCAATATTTCATCCTTCATTCTCCACCATGAGACACGATTCAACCAAATCTAAGTAATTTTTAAGCACGCTCCATGGTGAAACTGATCGCTTGCCAGTTATCTCACTTATTCTCTCCTATGGCCAACTCCTAGGTTATATATGCAGTCCTTGTCTGCAAAATTTCACGCTAGAAATTTCACTTCAATGACTATAGTGAGCTTAACAAACAGAAACCAATCGAGGTAAAGGCAGAGTATCACGCATTTCGATAAACAAAAGCATGGAAGCAAGGATTCACTTCAGTTTATTCAAGTTCAGAAAGTTAGATCATTAATGTTTGTCAGTTGGCTTTGGTTTCTTTGGTAACTGAGCAAACATAAAAGGAAACAAGATAATCATCTAAACACTGCTAACTAGTTATTAATCTCTTAGAAGACAGTTGATTGATACTAGGATTCCAACTTCTAATAAATTCTTCATCTCTTCCCACACCATAAATTTTCTTGTGAACCGAACAGAATTAATATTACAGTTAATTAAATGAAACCCAATGTACCATAATATTCCATACATAACCTTCAAGAAAACTTTTGTTCCTAACAGTCTATATATATATATATATATATATATATAGTATAATTCCATGTGGGGTTCCATAATTTTCTGTATATATAACTAACCACTCTAAATGCGACTTGAGGAACATATTTCACTTCAAAAGTCAAAAGCAAACACAAGATTTCCAAGTCTTGATCAAGAGTCGTAAGCTTTTAAATCAAAATCAAAGAAAGCAGAATACAATACTATATATACAAAAGAAAATGCCTGATTAAATAAAACAAAAAATAGAAATGATTACAGTTTAATTTGCTAATGGAAGTAGAAATGAAAAGATAACGCAAGGCTTACATCACATCCCAAGAAATTGAGAAGAAAGAGTTGGCATGGGATCGTACGTACCTTGAGAAAAAAACAAGTGGCTAAATTATGAAGAAAGTGCAGAGTAAAAGTGATAACGGATATTATAGGGTTCGATTTTTTTAGATAATATATAAAATTATAAATTTGTAAAATTTTATTCGAATTTAAATCTAGTTTTTTTTTAAGTTAATTCAAATCACATTTAATGGGTTTTGATTCGGTTTATATGTTTTTAATTTTTTTTATATTATTTTAATAAATTTTTTAATATATTTAAATAAATTTATTTATTTATTTACTTAATAGATAGTCTGTGCTCTCTAGTAAATCTTTTAGGTTGAATCTCTATACCACTTGATGTTAAAAGTAGCTCATCCTGCTCAAAACTGATTGCATTTAGCTCATCACTAATTGTAGCTGACTTATTCATATCCTCAAGTTCTGTTTCTTGCTCATTTCCATCATCTATGACTTTTCCTATGAAACCTCTATCGATGTTGAAATATCACAATGAACAATACTTTATGTAGTTTTCTCATTTTTTTCAAGGTCTGCTATGATTTCTTTTTCATGAAAGATCACAACTTTACTTCTGACTATCTTTCTTTTCACTGGATCTCATACCCTATAACCAAATTCTTCATCACCATATCCCACAAACATACATTGTGTGGCTTTACTATCAAGCTTTGACCTATGCTCTTTCAACACATTCATAAATGCTTTACACCCGAAAACTTTCAAGTGAGAGTATGAAGCATTTTTTCTATCCACACTCTTTCTGAAATGTCAAAGCCCAAAAGAACTTATGGTGATCTGTTAAGCAAATAACAAGTCATGTTGATTGCTTCACCCCATAATGGCTTTGGTAATTTTGTCATCTTTAACATACATCTTACTTTTTTTCATAATGGTGCGGTTCATCCTTTCAACTATACCATTATGTTATAATGTTTTCAGGTTCTGTTATTTCATCTGATTCAATGCTTTGAACAGTATTCTTTAAAGTCTTTGGATATGTATTTCCAAAATTATCAGTCCAAAAACATTTTAAGGGCAACCTTATTATCATTTCCACCATGGTATGAAATTTTTAAAAATACTGTAATACCTGACTTTTATTTTTTAACATATACACCTAAGTTTTACGTGAAGCATCATCAATAAAAGTAATAAAATACCTGCTATCACCTAATGACTCAACCTCAATGGGATCACATACGTCAGAATAAATTAATTCCAATCTATTTTCTTTTCTTTGAGTTATGAAAAGAAACTTTATGACGCTTACCAAACAAATAATGATCACATGAATCAAGAGACATATCTTTGGTCAAGGGAATGAAAGATTGCCTTGCCAAAACTTGTAACATCTTCTCACTCATGTGTGCCAGCCTTTTGTGTCACAAGTTTGCTAAAATATCATCCTCAATGACATTTATCTAGTTATCGTTCAATTGCATCCATGTCTTCTTATACATTGTATAGCATAATTTTTTTTTACAACTATCATAGATCCTTTGAGAAACTTTCACTGTTTATTTTTTTGTCGACTCTTATATCCTTTCATTGTCAAAGACATTAATAGCAAGCAAGTTTATTTTCATATTCAAAATTTATCTAACATGCCTCAAAGTTAACATGCAACCTGTACTAGTTTGTACAACAATATCACCAATCTCAACAATCTATGACACACTTTTATTTCTCATATTGGTGCAACAAAAGTCTTCTGCTTTGTAAGTTGTAAACAACTCTCTCTTAGAAACATAATGATATGCTGCTCCTATGTCAACTATCCACTCAATACTAGGATCACCAACATTATTACAATCATCATGTATAAATCAAAGTAATTGAAACACTATTTGAATTCATTACTGTAACATTACCATCATTTGAACTCTTGTCGTTCTCATCTTTTCGCTCTTGCTTCAAGATTTTACAGTATCGTTTTATATGACCTACTTTATCATAATGAAAATACTTCACTTTATCTCTAGACTTTGATCTATGTTTAAACTTACTATGACATTTTAAGTTCTGACCTCTATCAATGTTTTTACCAATGTTATTTGTGACCAGAGCTTAATTTTAGGGTTTACATCTTTTCATCTTGCTTTTTCATTAAGCATACTGTCCTTTACCATTTCCAATGTCATCTTATAATCAGAAGCTGAATTAAGAATAGTCACAACTAGAGTATTTTCAACTGTTTGACAATGAACTCAAAAAAAAATAACGTCTTTATTTCATCATCCATCTTAAGTACTATAGTAGTTATCCGATTAAATATGTCTTGAAAATCACTCAAGTACTCTATAATAGATCGTCAATCCCTATACTGTAAAGTTGTAAGCTTTTTAACAAGTATAACTTTATTCATACATGTTTTTCTCTCACACAATACTATCAATTTTTTTCAAACAGTGTGAGCATCTGCCTCCTGTGCTATATGATAGAACACATTAATATCAACATATTTTTTTATTGTAGCCAATGTCTTTCTGCCTAACTTCTTTTAGCTTTCATTTTTCATATCTGTTAGTTTAGTCAAATCATCTAATACCGACTCATACAAATCTTTACAGTATAAATGATCTTCCATTGTAGGTTTTCACATTGAATAATTTGATACTATCAATTTTATCATGAAACCTGTATCACCCTCTATGATCTCAAACAAAATTTACTTTTGTTTTGGGCTACTTCTCTATCATTATCTCAAAAATAACATTCACTTTGATACCACTTATTGGGTCTGAAGCAATAAATACAACAACACAAAAGTAATATATCGCAATAAACTCACAATAATAGATAACAATTAACAATGCAAGAAAAATAAAACACACCAAAATTTATATGAAAAATCCTCTAGTGTAGAAGAAAAAATCACGAACTATAAAAAAAATCTTCATTATCAAATAATAGATACATAAAATTCTTCTCTAGCTAAAACTAGAGCTAATCAATAACTAAAGAGATAATTGGAGAAATCTCAATAAATAGGTGACTCAACAAATATACCATGGATTTGATCATAGAGAGCTTAAAACTTGATTTTCACCGTTCAAAATGTAAAACTCCGAATTATAAATTTGCTAACAAAGTTTCAGCTCAATCGGACCACGGATCGACTTTCGTTCAACTAACTTTCCCTTTTTTTTTTCTTTCTATTTTTCTTGGCTTTTCTTATTTCTCTTATTAATTTGCGACAACACCTTAAAATAGCCTCACTTCTTTTATTAAGTAACTAAGGTTCTATATAAAAAAAAAAATCAAAGCTCATGACCTTTAATTGATCCAAAATCAATACATGAGGGTGGATCCCATTTTTCTAACAAATAATATATAAAATTATAAATTTTTAAAATTTTATTTGATTTTGAATCAAAATTTTTTTAATTAATTTGAATTGCATTTAATAGGTTTTGATCCAGTTTATATGCTTTTACTTTTTTATATTATTTTAATAAAAATTTTAATATATTTAAATAATTATATATATTAATTATTTTATTTTATAAAAATTTAAAAAATTAATAAAAATATATAATTTATTTTGGTTCGATTTATATTTGTTATTTACATTTCGATCCAAAATTTTATTTGAACTTGATATATAAATCTAGAATTAATATATAAATATAATATTAATCCAAATCAAATAAAAAAAATCAATTCAAATTAAACACTATAATTTTAAGTTAATTTTCATTTTTTTCACACCTAAGGCAGAATATACGTAGAGGCTTTCACACATAAAGCAGGAATATCCAGCCACGTCATCATTAAACAAATACATTTACGATTTCATTATTTTATGTTGTTGTTTAACATAAATAAAATATAATGTTAAACGAAGATGAAACTCATTAATGAAATTATCTCATTATTTATTATTTCAGGAAAAGTAAAATCTCATTTATGAAATGAAATTAATTATTATATATCTAATTAATGTTGATAAAAGAAACAGAGGAGAAAGGCTTGGCAAAATGAATAGAGTATGATCCAAAATTTTGACCAACTCATAAACAACGTATTGGGAAAAGGGGGAGTACAAGTCAACCCAAGTTCCTTCCAATCTGCTTCTGTTTTCAAAGGACTGAATCAGCCGATCAATTGCATGATTAATTAATTTAATTAAATGATGCACAAATTAATTAAAGTGATTTGGACTCACCACCAAATTGTCACCCCATAAAGCATACAATCACTCCCAACACATTTTCTTGGATTTGTAGGGTCACCGACTTCATGCCTAAGTCATTATTGTTTCTTTCTTTTTTGCTTAGTTAAAATGAAAGATTTTTTTGGCAAATACATTTTTTTGCAAATCACTTTATAAAATCTTAATACACACATTTTATCTCTCTCTGTCTCTGTCTGTCTCCTTCTATATTTATAATTCTGCAAAAATTCAATAAAATTGAGTTAAGCAATGGAAAGCAATTTTTAAATCTTAACTTTTTTAAGAAATTCAAATTAATCTTTTAAGTTGGAGGAAAAAATTTGAACTCCCGAGTCCAGACAATTATTTATCAAATACTACGTATAATTTTCCTATATTTATATAAACTACTGAAAGTTAATACTAATAATACATTTAAACTTGCAGCCTTGTCAAGAAATTAAATAAATTTTGTTGCATAAAATAATTTGGACAATGCATTTCACTGATCTTGCATATATTAATTTATCAATTTATATATATATATATACGAACATATATTTCGTGTATGATAATCCTAATTAATAATATGCTTTTCCAATTAATCATTTAAAATTTGAAAAATTAAAAGAACTAAAAAAAAAACAAAAGTAATATGTGAGGACAATGGGTGGACAAGTATATGGTTTACCGACGCTAAAAAGGTTGTCACATCTAACTTGCGTTGCTTGCGCTACTGAAATAATTGTGATTTCTGTAGAAGCTTGCTTTCTGTCCTTTACATCATTTTCCCTCAACCTTTGATGCGATACTTGCTAAGTGTTGCTTGCTGTATTAGTATTACTCATTAATACTGTTAATATATAGTCAATTTCAAGGCCAGGGTTTGCTTAACTGCTTTTATCACTTAAGCCTTTTTTTTTTTTTTTCTCTTTCATTGAGATCTTGTCTGGGATTGGAAAGTTTGATTTAGGGCGAAAGAACATGAAAAACCGACCATTTTGATGAGCATATATTTGCATGTGTTAGAAAACTTGATAATTGATCGAGACTTAATTATATTAATTTATGTAATTATTTTAAAAAACAATATTATTTATTAATTTAAAATTTAAATCTCCATATATATTTCTTTTATCTCCATATTATGTTTTTTTATATCTATAAAAAAATTGGATAGTTCACCCTATGCATTTATTATGTGATGATTAAACTTAATTCATTTTAGTTTATTTTCATTGAAAGACAAGAGTAATGTTCCTTAATATTTTTTAATTTGAAGTATAAATCACTCAAACTTTAGCGTGAATTCTGCTGCTTAGGATATAAAAAATTTGTATTATACTGCAATTGTTCTCCAATTTTTTGAAGTTTCATCTGGTCAGAAGAGAAAAGCGTTGCATCGGGTGCTGGGTTCACGTGGTAATTAATATATATATCATAGTCTGTATAGATCTAGCTGACTTTTGACTTTCTAGCATGCAAAACACATTCCAACAATAATCAACATGGTATACGACAAAACCAGTAGAATAAGTTGGTAATAACTAAATCGTGAAATATGTATATTTTTTATTGCTTTGGCTCATATTTGATGCCAAAATAATACAGACATGCAATTTATCATTGGACCACCATTAGCAATCAAGGGAGAGAAAAGAAAAAAAAAAGAAAAAGAAGTGAATTAAGTTAGATGAGAAGCCAAATCTAAACCTAAATGAAAAATTATTGCCACAATTTGCAAAGTTTTCCACGTACGAATCATAAATCCAGCTGGCACAACATACCATATATATATATATATATATGTATATATACGTCGGTGAATTAACACGGTAATGACGTTAGCTGTCCTGCAAATATGAAGGTTTTTCTTTTTTTTTCTCTTTTTGTATGTTTTCAGATGTCTCACATATATTGATGGATTACATGGTGAAATTCTTGGAAGCTTGGTTGTCTCCAATATCCAACCGGCAAAGATAATATGTGAAACTATTTGAAAATCAAATCATATCTAAAGATAATAAAAAACATACAGTACAATTATTTGCCGTCGATTGCCTAAACAAGACATCGGGGTGTGATGGTGAAAAGCCAACATCACCATACAAAAATGGAACCAGTTCAGGCATATTTTTGCAGACAGAGCATAAGAGTCAATGGCAAGGAGGGTAGTTTGTAAAGTTGCAAACTGGAAAAAAATGAAATGATGTCAGTACAAGAAATAATATTGCCAAAGTTCATGGGAAAATAAAGGAGAAACTATCATTATTAGTGCATATGGATTTGGAAGATGCAGCAATCAATGCTACTATAAACTTGAAAACAATATTGTCGAGAAAAAGCCATAACTTATGAAATCTGGAGTCAGCAAAATATTAATTACTTGAATCACTTGCAAACAATAAGAGAGAGCACAAGTGCTATGAGATATGAAAAGCAAACTCTAGCAGACAAATATGTGTTGCAATCACGTGAAGACTCATTGCTAGCTAGCTTTCACACTTTTTCATATAGTACTAAACATTTTCAATGATATAGTGACAATAACGTACATCAATCCGTATAAATAATCAACTAATTGATGTTAGATTTCTTTTTAATCAGCTAGTTTTCTTTACTTGATCATATTCTCTACGTATTTAAATTTAAATACGATATCACATATCATATCATATTATAAAGTAAGAATAGGTAAGAAATGAAAGTTGTAACTATATCTTTAACCTTAGAAATCAAAACTCAATCCTAATAAACTCAAGTAAGAATAAATCCATGAGTCCCTACTTGTCACTATCACAAAAAACAATAATATAAAAATATGTATTTAGCAGCTTGCATGTAATGAAACAATTATCTTAATAAAGTATGAGAAAATAAATTATTCTATTTTTGATAAGACAAAAATTTTCAATTAATTTATATGTAAAATCGTTTTGAGCATGGATGAACATCAGTCTTGATACATGAAAAAAAAAAAAAAAAACACTTGGGTCAGCACAACAAATGCAGCTACTTACACTGGATTGATCGTACACCACTTGACAAACAGAAATCATGACGGTCTAACAATAATTCACTGTCTTCATAAAAAAAAAGTAGTGCACTAATAGTGTATAATATGCATCAAATATAATTTTTTTTTTTTATAAATTTTATCGTAAATATGTTTTCAATACTCCATGGAATTCTTGTTACTAGTTCCCATGATGTTTTTTTTTTTTTCATGTTTGAAGGTGCTAGAAATGAACCCAACGCTTATCCATATGTTATCGTGATCTTACCACTAACACAAAATATATATTAACACCTTAAAAAGTGAAATCCTAAAGTTAATTAAACTCAATTATAATTAATGGCTATTCGAAAGTTCTTTTAATTAATGAATTTTAAATGAGTTGGCTAGATTTTTGTGCATGCAAATTTACATAAATAACATAGTCATGATCATACCCCAAAACACCTTTTAATTGAATGTAAAGAAATATGCTTAATCCATATTTATATACATAATAAAGATAAAGTTAAATTAGGTTCAAATATCACATAATATATATGAGTATAAGAAATAATTCATCTTGAATTATTCTCATAGTGACAAATATAAATGAACAAGGAAAACTCCCATTGCAAGCCACTCAAACTCCACTTACAATGAGACAAATACAATCAGTTAGACAATGACTTGTTTTTAACAAGTATGAACATAAATAAAAAAGGGGCTCATGAACAATCCACATGTATACATACTATTGTCAATTATTTTGTTATATAAAAAATAAATCCATGCATATTACATTCAAATGATTACTAGTATATAGACTAACAAATAAACAAAATCTATGTTCATAGCTTGAGCAAGGTATTTGGTACTAAACTAAAAATGCAGGAATAATTAGTCTTGCTTAAACATCTTAAAAATCATCAGCTAGACCTGTTTGACCTTAACCCACTCTTATATCAAGATAGAAACCTTTCAACTATCGCCTTGACATATTTTGACTGTTTAAGTTTTCCATGGAGGGAAATCATTTTGGGGAGTATGGCTCACATATTGTAGCCTTCTTTATCACTCATTAGTTTACCTACCTCGCTCATTAGAAAATGCATGAACACACAAGGGAGGTCTAATCCGGTAAAGTCAAACACATGTTTTGACACCATCACTCTGGGTCATTCGGTCCTAGTATTGTAAAGCAGGAAAATAATAATGTCTTCAAACAACTTTAGGATCAATGGAAACCAAAAACCCAAATTCTTATTATAAAAAAAATACAGTAGCTGCTAACACATTTAACATTTTAAACTTGTGGGATTGAAGCTCCCACAAATGCGTTCATGAATGTGTAATGAGTAGCAGTAGACATGCATACCAGGGATATTTATGAAGAGATTGGACTATGTATGCAAGCGAAAGATACGACACTTTCAAGAAGTTGGGAGGCAATAGCAAGAATGGACCATTTTGTTTTGACACCATCACTCTGGGTCATTCGGTCCTAGTATTGTAAAGCAAGAAAAGAATAATGTCTTCAAACAACTTTAGGATTAGTGGAAACCAAAAACCCAAATTGTTGTTGTAAAAAAAAAAAAAATAGCTGCTAACACGTTTACATTTTAAACTTGTGGGATTGAAGCTCCCACAACTGCGATCACGAATGTGTAATTGATAGCACTAAACCTGCATACCAGGGATATTTATGAAGAGATTGGACTATGTATGCAAGTGAAAGATACGACACTTTGAAGAAGTTGAGAGGCATTAGCAAGAATAGACCATTTTCGACAGTATCCACTATGAATATTTACTTTGCTTAGCATTATCTCGAACACTATCATTTGTGGAGCAGTTGCTGTGTAGATTGTTTAATTTCTTTATAAACTACCACCTAAAATATCTAAAGACCTTGGAGCTTTTTATTCATGGTGCTTTTGAAATTTGCTTTCATGGCCACCTCTTAATGATTAACAGATCAATGGCAATGAAGAAGAAAATAACAATATAAAACTAAGAAAATGGAAGCTCTCTCTTACTAGCATAAGATCAAGCGTCAGTTGGCAAAACAGAAGGAGAGAAATCCATAGAACTAAAAAACATATTGATCTCATATATAGAATGAGAGTTCTAGGACAAACCTGATCTCAAACAAAGCTTCCTCTTCTCCAAAAACATGAAAAATAAACAAGTGACCCCTCCTGATCGGTAGCTGACCCTTCACTACATGTGATTTTCTCTTCTGAGCTTGTTTAACAGTGCTGTGATGAGAGCGTCTCTCTTCTCAGCCCTAGCTTCTTCTCTCATTCTTCTTTGCTCTTCCCTTTCTCTCCATCTTCTATCCATCATTATCCTTTCGTTCTCCAAAGCTTCCATGGTCTGTCTCCATTCCATCTCTTTCAGCCGCCTGTCGTTTTCCCTTGCCTCGAACGCTTCTCTCCATTGCATTTCCATCTGCATCTGTTGCCTCATGAAATCCCCTAAAATCTCCTTTATATTATTATTTTTATTGCTGCTTCCGCTTGTAGCCCCACCCATACCTGCACCAGTTTTGCCTTTTTTCTTTTTCCTAATGCTTCCCTTATCTATCTCGTTTTCCTCCATATCTTCTTCCTCATCTGAAGATAGCTGCATCGCCTTCTTCTTCGACCCTGTCGCTCCTCCTTCACCTTCTGACCATAGAATACTTGGCATCCTTGCTGAGAATATGGCCTGCAACTCATTGTAAAATGGGAATTGTTGCCGCACAGCTTCTGCTTCCATCGTTTCACATCCCTAAATGAGTGATATAGATAATAGGGTTTTCACGATACATATTTTAGCTAAAGAAAACAGAGAAACAAAGCTTCCTGGAAACATAATCCGTTGCGTGAAAAAAGGGTTAAATCGAATAATATATATATACCTTGTATCGAGTAACGAGGTTTTTCCACTTGCACTTGCACTGTTCAGCGCTTCGATTATAACCCTTTTCCCTCATCCTCGTAGAGATAACTTCCCAAAGCAGCTTGTTCCTCTTGGTCTCCATGAAACTTCGATCCAGCTCGGCTCTGATCATCAAAAACTCATTCGTCTCCTGAATACTCCATTGAGGAAATCTATCAGCATCAACGTTAACACTGATAGGCTGTTGCTGATGATGCTGCTGCTGCTGCTGAGGATGATGATGGTGATGATGGTGATGGTGTCCCTCCATACCAACTACCACAAGCGAACCACACAAAGCCACAAGATTATTAAGTCTTTCTTTTGCACCCACCAAAAGATTATCGATTCGAAAAGAAACCGAAGAGAAGACAAGATGGAGAGAGAAAAGGCAGCTAAGATTTATATGGAGATGGTGTGAACAACAAGTGTGAACCCTCGAGAAGATCAAAAGAAAAACCCTGGGGAAACCTCACCCAAAAAAGAAAAGAAAAAAAAGAGATAGAATAGATTTGCTATAAGCATCGGTGTCAAAGGAGCGTTTTTATTATTCGTTCAAATACAAGAAAAAGAAACCAAAAAGCCTTCTCTTTCTGCTCATTCTTTTCTCTCTACCAACAGTCTCTCCTCTCTCTCTCTCTCTCTCTCTCTCTCCGTCCCTATCTGTCTACGCGGAAACTCTTTCTCTCTCTTCTTTTCCCTTTTTTTTTTATTTTTAATTTTTTTGGTCCCCGTTTTGGACCATTTGTTCCCATTGCGTTCATACGGTGTCACGCTGACGATCAAAAAATTCACTGTTGGTGGGGGCTTTATTTTGTGCAACCAGCCATATAAAACTTGCGTCACAAAGATTTTATTTATTTTTTCTTTTCATTTATTTTTTTATTTAGTTTGAATTAACTAATATTGTCAACTTTCCGGTCCATTCTCTTCTCTTCCGAAGCCGTGTAGGTGACAAGAATGGCTTTCCCAGACTGCACGTGGAGGCGGTAACGCTTTTTATTTTTGCATGGATTTCAAAAAATCAAAAGGTTAAAAAAAAAAAAAAACAAAGATAAAAAGCCTAACAATTTTTGCATGCATATGGTAGTATATACTTACAATTTTCTTTTTCCATGTTTTAATTAATTTAACATTTGCGCTATCTTTAAGCCGTTCATTTTTTATTTTTTTTGCTTTTTAATGATGATCACCAACGCGTTATTCAGTCGTGTCCCACGTGTAGACGCGCTCATCACCATCCACGTGGCATGCATGCAGATATTATATGATGAAAAAGAAAAGGACGCACTGGCCTTGGTTCACACCTATAAGCCTATGACCCATTCTAGTTCTAGACCCCTTTCCCAAGTATGTTTGACATTTTGACCCATCATTATTTTATTTTAATTTACATGAGAATGGAAAAGAAATGGATTTAATCATTACCCAATGGTAATATGAACATGAAAAATATTTATTCGTGATTTACGAAAAAATAAAATTTTATTTTTATAGGAGGGAAAGGGAAACGCAGGGTGGCCGAAGGTAATCATTTGAAGTAACATATGAAACTAATGTAATTTGGCAATTGGGCCGATCCTTCTACGAATTTGGATTGAGTTTTTTATATTAAAAAATTTTTAAAAACATCAAAAATTAAGAAAATTAATTAATATTATATATATTAAAATCAAAACTTTAACTAATAATTTGAGACAGATAAATTATTAATTAAAAATGATTATTTTTTGAATGAATCGATATATTATTAAAATTAATATTTAAAAATTATGAGTTTAAAAAATTTAAATATTTATATATTTTTTAATGACGTATATAATTAGATAAAAATAATTTAAAGATATATTAAAAAATTTTAAAAATTGAGTAATATAGTTGATATGAGTTTTAGGATAGTTATTAATGCGTAGTTTCTTTCAGTCAAATTGAAACTAATTAAACTGTTTTAAATTGGATTTTTCAATCTTAAAAATTTTTAATTTTTAATTTATAGATTTTAACTTTAAAATTTGAAAATAAAAGATAAAACTTTTTTAAGTACACCAAGCTATCAAGTCATGTGGTAGGCTCGTAGCCTAATATTCAACTAAAAAATATATTATCATAAACAGATTTCTAATTAATGATTTGAAGGAAATGGTTAGTAATGTTATCTGATTAACAATTTTGTTTTTTTTTTGGACAAATTTCACTGCGAAAGATCGTGTGATGTAATTTTGTGAGGATTAATGGTGGAAGAATATGAACTTTTCAAATCAAAGTTGATTTTCTGCTGAAAGAAGACACGTGGAGTAGTGATATGATTTGTCGCCGGACGAGCCGGAGGGGGCAGAAGTGGATAGACACGTGAGCCACTTGAGACGTTGACCAACTTCTAAGAATTCTTATTGGCTGGCGTGGCGCAGGTAGTGAAAATTGTTTCCATTTAACCATCTTCTGGATTTCTTTCTTTTGAATTTCGATGCGGACGACCTTTCCATTTCTTTTTTTTTTTTTTTTCTTTTTATTTTTTTCCCCATTGGAATTTTTTCAATTCCAATTAAAAAACTAATTTGTTAAAAAAAACAGATAAAAAAAAATAGCAGAATTTAAGATAGAACTACTTCAAGGAATTGGTCATGCACGTTTAATTAATGGAATTCCATTCCACATGTATTAGACCAAGTTATGTATATGAAATTCATATCAACTATAAATTTAGAAAGACCATGGTTTTACCTAACATGATGGCATTAGAAATCCACATTAAATGGAGGATATTCATGCCAAGTAGAAAGGAAAAAGGTATATTAGTGAGCAAAGCAAAGCAAAGGAACTTTGATTTCATCTTTTCCTAAAACAAGACTATTAAAATAGAAAAATCGTGTAGCTAGGAAAGTAAATTTTATTATTATTATTATTATTATTATTATTATTATTATTATTATTATTATTATGTTCCATCAAATGGTGAGAACATATCAAACTTATGGCACATGTAGATTTGAATAATCCATTTTCAACAATATTAGAGTTAGATGTTAGTTTTTTTTTTTTTTTTTTTTCATGTAGACCATGTATGTAAGCCTCATTTTTTTTAATTATATATTTGTAGATATATACCAATATTAGTATTTGGATTTGATGAAATATATTTATTGAAAATATCATAATGTCAACTTGAGAAAAGAAAATAAATGTTATACATAATGTGGGAAAAAACAAATATTTGGAAAATTGACTGTTTAAGAAAATCCTTACTATTATGCATGTCAATTGATCAGTGTAGATTCAAGAAAAGACCAAACTTTTATGAATCTCTTTTGGTGAAATTTATAAAATTTATTTTTAAAATGAATTAATAAAAATTTAAATGGATTGATAGAGTTTAATGTAAAAAAATTATTAACAATATCATTTTATAATTTAAATTTGATAGATATTTATTTAATGGTAAAAAATTTATTAATATTTTTACTAAAAATATTATTTAAAAAATATATTAAATTTATTAAATTTATTTAAAATTTCACCTACTTAATTTATATAATAAAACCTTTAATACATCAATTATAATTTTTAATATTAATTTTAATTTAATAAATTTTAACAAAAGACTTTACAAACTCTAGAAGCATATGCAAGTACACATGCACAATAAAAGCAAGACTGCTTTTTGGTCATTTTCCTTTTTTCTACGTCCTTTCTAGAATGCTGAGTAGTAATCCAATTTTAAGTGAAACAGCCAAAAGATTCAGATTTCAGCCTCATCTTCCAGGCTTGAAGTTTACTTGCAATTTCATGCAATTTTATCTGCCATTGGTATTTAAAAGTGGCTTCTTTATCTTTTATTTTCGTTTTGCTTCTTCTACAGGGAAAGGTCATACTGTTGGAAGTTGCCTGGAAAAGGGAGAGGACAGACCCTTCGCTCCTGGACCTGGGAATTGTAGGATCCCTTCAAAATTTGACATCTCGTTTCTCAAACATTGAAATTTTCTTTTTCCAATTTCCATCAAAAGGTTTTTCAACGAACATTATTGTAGCAATGCATCTGTTAAACGCATAGTTTTTCAGGATTTGATAATCCTTCAAACAGAAAACAAGTTTTCTTGCTACAACAAAAAAAACCTTGGTCAAATCCCTTTGTTTTTCTTGACCCAACTGCTGCCCTCAGCATTTTGTCCTTGCCATCGTAAATTTCATGACCTTTAATGTGGTTATATTAAAATAATCAGACCAAGATGATGAGATGCTGAATTTTTTGTATCCTTCCACTATTAAAGCCTAAAATTCAGATAACGTGTTTCAGAAAATGCCAACACTAAATCTGAAGAAACAATAAACAAATATATTGTTTTTGACAGGAGTAAAAATTCCAATACTGAAAAACTTTTCAACCCTTAATTAATTTGTCTTTAGCTTCACAGTGACGATAGCTCGATCGTGCCTGGAAACATCAAGTCCATTTAATGACAGCTGATATATTAGCTTACGTAGAATTAAAGCATATATCTATCTCTCTGCTTCTTTCTTTGATTTCCCTACAATCTTCATTTTAACGTTTCATCTTTATGCAAGTTTTTCAAATTGAATCAGAGCGGCTGTACGGCCATTATATTTTATACCCACGAAAATATCAATTGGCTAAAAATCCATTATCAAGCGGGTTAGTGTTGAGTTTTGAGTCGAGGGATAAATTTATAAAATTATAACCAAAAAAAAAAAAAAACAATAATTAAGGAGAAAAATAAAGTGTTTTTTTTTATATTTGTATTTTGATGTTTAAGTCCGTGACCGATTATTAAAGGTTAAAAATAGAGTAAAAAATAAAAAAATAAAAGAAATATAAAATGAATAAATAGTATATTAATGATTTTATTTATAAGTAAAAGATAATGAATTTATAAAATTAAATAATAACATAATTAAATTGATATAATATTATACATATTAGATCAATTTAAAAATTAAAAATATTTTTGATCATTTGTTGATAATTTAAAAAAAAAAATCAAATTATCCTTTGAATGAAAAATACCCTCAACAATACGCAATGATAAAATTAACGAGACAATGAAGTAATTGTGTCCGAGTCTGTGAGTAACATGTTTGGAAAATAATATAATAGAAATAGTGTCTTTGGTTTTCTTAAGAAATGAGAGCAATGTGATAATTGGCGCGCCACAGTATTATATGGAGTCTCTACTTCTGTTGCTTTCAGCATTATTATTACTTGGGTGAAAAATTCGTAGGAAAGCATATCCTTCATAAATAATCGTTGAAGTTTTTCAACAGTGGCAGATTGGCAAATCCTCGTGGCCGTCTTTAATTAATGTAGTTGCAACAGGAATCATTCGTTTGCCAACGTAAAAGCAGCATATTTTGTTGAAGCAGAATTCAATTCTGCAGCAAAAGAAAAAAAAAAAATTGCTGAATCTGCTTTTTTCATTGCTCCATTAATCTTTCTGTCTTTGCCTGAACTTTGGGAGAATTGATATATGCAGCAGAAAAAATAAAAAATATATATTAATATTAGTAAATAATTTAAATTTGATTTAAATAAAATTTAAATTTAATTTAATTATTATTGAATCAAATTTGAGTTCAAATAATTCGATTTATTAATCGAGTTGAATTCACATATTCTTATTATCAATTTAAGTAATTTATGAATCTAATCTAATTTTTATATTTTAATATATTTTTATTAATTTAATTAATAAAATATATTGAATTCAACTTAAATTTAAGTGTAAATAATTGAGTTTTTATCAAATATAAGAATCAAATTTATTTTTATATATTAATCGAATGAATTTAAGTAGTTTGATTTATTTTTCGAGTTAAATTTAAATTAAAATAATAAAATTCAATTAAATTTAAATCAAAATTTAAATTTTATACTTTTAATTTAAAAATTAATATTATATCGATTTAAATTCGATTGAAAAATAGAAGAGGGTCCATCAGTCAAAGCAAGGTTTCTGATGATTCAAAACAAGCATGGCTTTCCCTTTCCTCCAAAAACAATAATCATGAATTTGTTGCAGTCAAGTTCTGCTGGTGTCAAACGCAAGAAGGTTGACAGAGGACCAAATGAGACCCACTCTGGACTTACAACAAAGACCAATGAAGACAAAGGAATACAAACAAAGAGGACCATTCCTAAATATCAAATGTATGCAAATGGAAAGAGACAATAAGTGTATAGTGATTTTTCTTATGCTATTAATGTTCAAAACCATTGAATGTACACTTGTTTTGAAACTATAATCTCTTCAATCCTTACTTCAGAAAAAAAAAATTTTTTATGCACAATAGCATATAAAGGCTCTAAGCCTAGCAATACACGATAAATTTTCTTGCATAGCCATATAAACAAAGTATCATGCAACATCATCAAATCAAAGCCACGACAATATTTCATACTCGCAAGGGAATCAACAGAAAAATTTAGAGATAGTTTGAAATCGATTTTATTTTCTTTTTCTATTTTTATTTTTAAAAATTCGTAGCATAAAATATAAATCTTGTTTGGTAAGATAATTTTGTTTCCACGTTTTAAAATAGACAACAAATTAATTACAAGAATCGTCTCATAATCCAAAATTTCTCACTTTTTTATATTTATTATTATTTTATGAAATGTAAATGCTCTTAAAATAATTGTAACCTTTTTATTTTACTCTTTGAAAAACTCATTAAAAAACTGCTACCATTTTTCAACAAATTGAAAACAATTAAAAGAAGAAAAAAAAAAGACAAATGAGAATTGACATTGGGAATGGAAAAGATTATGGTTAAAGAAAGGGCTTGGTAATAAAATAAACTCATTAGTTTATTCAGTCCTATCATTCTGTCTGTTTTTCTAGATGTTTGATAAAATGCCCACAAGACCCCCGCAAACACTCAACCAACCCAAAAAATTATTTCCCCAGCCAGCCACCCCCGCCCTTCCCTGCTCTTTTCCCACTCCACCGTCCCGTTTCAATTTATCTCTCTCTCTCGATTAGCCGACAGATTTCACAGAACCAAAGAACATCCACACTTAAAAAAAATTAAAAATAGTGCTAATTCATTTATTTTAAAGTTGAAAAAAAAAAAAAACTTTAAAAAACAAAATAAATAAATAAATAAAAATATCAAAAGACGAACTCTCACTAAAGTGTCTGCTTCTCTTTCTTCTCTCTCTTTCTCAATCACTGCCTTTACTTTGATTTCTCTCTACAGAAGCTAGAAAGCCAGGGTTTTTTTTGGCTTTTAAACTATAATGTGAAACCCTAACCAAGTATTTTCAGTTAGGTTTTTTTTTTTTTTTTTGGTTTTGGTTCGAAGAGATCCGGAGACAGGATAAGGCTGCGTTTGGCAGAATGGGGAATTGTTGTAGATCTCCGGCGGCCGTTGCCAGGGAAGACGTGAAATCGAGCTTCTCTGGCCATGATCACGCCCGTAAAGATTCCGTTTCCAAACAGAAGCCGCCGATCACCGTGCTCGCCGGAGTTCCCAAGGAGAACATCGAAGAGAAATACCTCGTGGATCGGGAGCTCGGCCGAGGTGAGTTCGGAGTTACTTATCTTTGCATCGACCGGGGCACTCGCGAGTTGCTTGCGTGCAAGTCAATCTCTAAGAGGAAACTGAGGACTGCCGTGGATGTCCAAGATGTGAGACGGGAAGTTGCGATTATGAAGCACTTGCCGGAGAATTCGAGTATAGTGAGCTTGAAAGAAGCGTGCGAGGATGACAATGCGGTTCATTTGGTGATGGAGCTTTGCGAAGGTGGTGAGCTTTTTGATAGGATCGTCGCCAGAGGACATTACACCGAGAGAGCCGCCGCGACAGTAACGAGGACGATTGTGGAAGTGGTTCAGCTTTGCCATCAGCATGGAGTGATTCATAGAGATTTGAAGCCTGAGAATTTTTTGTTCGCTAATAAGAAAGAGAATTCGCCATTAAAAGCTATCGATTTTGGGTTATCGATATTTTTCAAGCCAGGCAAGTTGTTTGCAATTTGAATGCATAAATAAATGAGTGCCCTTTTCAAGAATGAACCATATTTAGTAAGAATTATTAGTGATAATACAAGGTTAGAATTACATTTAATTATGTAGCAAAGATGATATTTTGCGAAGCTTGGTTTTGATTTTGCCACGGAAACATTTGATTCCAAAGGGAAAGTACATGGAAAGAATGATCTAAATTAGCGGATTGGACATGCCCATGTGCCATCTATTTGTTTATTGTCTTTGTAGTGACGAAATAAGCACTTGATAATTTTATTTGGCTATGCTTTAAAGGTAGCTTGAATGAGCTACTGTAATAGGTGCGATTACTTTGAAGCAATGTTACTAGGCACTTTTTTTGCTTGAAATGAACAAACAGAAGAATGAGGTAGTGCATGGTTAGGCCTTGTTAACAGCTGTTTTTTCATTATGTTATCTGTGCTTTTGCATTAGAATCACTTTTGATTCCTTTCCTCTTATTGTGGAAATTGGAAGCTTACCTTTTTTTTTTTTAACTTACAATTGTCGGATGTGTAGCTTTGCTGATTGATACAAATTTCCCTATTTCCTATAGTGGGTTGTCATGGGATAGCTTTGGTTAACCTTATTGCCAAAGTGTCTCATATTAAGTAGATTTTCCTTCCACCAGATGAATGGTCTTATTTTTTGCAATATTCTAGAATGCTATAAACCTTCTTTCTGCTTTAGGTTTGGTGTTCACGTTCTATCACCAAGATGTGGCTGAGTTTGCTTGTATTAATTCTTTTAGTACTTCTATTGCTTGTAAACCGTAATAGCTCGCACAGTAACCCGAGGTTTCCTGAAAAAAAAAAGTTTTTCCCCAATTTCTCAGCTACAACCATCTATCTTTGCCTAAGGATGTCTCTGCCTGGTGAATATTTTTTCAGTTTTGATTGCAAAAAAGTGTGTGGTTGGGTAGGATGTGGCGTGGGGACACTGGTGGGGGTATGAAAGAGTAAATATTATGCTAAATAGGATAAGGTCTGTGTACCCATATTTTGACCACTTTTCCTTTTATTATTGTTGATTGTGCTTTTTATTCTTTAATACTGTGTTTTAATGCATATAACGTTTAAATTTCAGGTGAAAGATTCTCTGAGATTGTTGGAAGTCCATATTATATGGCTCCTGAGGTGCTCAAACGGAATTATGGACCAGAAATAGACATATGGAGTGCAGGAGTCATTCTCTATATTTTGTTGTGCGGGGTTCCTCCTTTTTGGGCTGGTAAGCATATTTCTGTGGAATTCCCTTGTCTGTATGCAGCTGCATGCATATCTATTGGATGTGCATTAGTGTATCAAAAATGAGTTGAATTGTTATTCCTACCTGAAGAGTGTTTTTTTTATGTAGAGTCTGAACAAGGTGTTGCACAGGCAATTCTTCGTGGGTTAATAGATTTCAAACGTGACCCATGGCCAAATATTTCAGAGAGTGCTAAGAGTCTAGTTCGGCAAATGTTGGAACCAGACCCAAAGCTTCGACTCACTGCAAAGCAAGTGCTTGGTACTAATGTTTCCTCTTTGCTACTTCTTGTGTGTATGTTTCTGGGGGAGGGAGGTGGATGGGGGTGAATAGGCATTTAGGCACATCCTTTCATGATTCTATTGATCTTGTAATGAGCTTTATCTGCGTCTTCAAATATAACAGTTAAAACCTTATTAATATCAGCTTTCCAAGTTTACTTCAAAATACCAAGATATATGTTTCTAATTTGCCCTACATTAATGTTAATGATTAGTGATAGTTTGCCTAATCTATATGTTGCCTCTTCTCGCAGAGCATCCTTGGCTCCAAAATGCTAAAAAGGCTCCTAATGTTCCTCTTGGTGATGCTGTTAAGTCAAGGCTTAAACAATTTTCAATGATGAACAGATTCAAAAGAAAAGCCCTGCGGGTTGGTTCATTGACACTAAGAATGCTATTAGATCTATTTTTTTCATTGATGGGGAAATCCTAAAAGTTAATTTGAATTAGGTTATTGCTGAGTTCTTATCTATTGAAGAAGTTGAAGACATCAAAGAAATGTTCAAGAAAATGGACACTGACAATGATGGCATTATTTCAATCGAAGAGCTGAAAGCTGGATTTAGAAATTTTAGTTCACAGCTTGCAGAGTCGGAAGTGCAGATGCTTATTGAAGCTGTGAGTATGGTTGGTTTATACCCTGCCATAAATTAACTAGTATTATGATACTTTATTTTCCTGGTTTTTACTAATTCTAAGCAAAAGAGCAGTCAAGATTCTTTTTGTTTTTCTCAGTACATATACCTTTTGCAGGTGTAGTAAATGTGATCATAAGAACTATTAGTTGACCAAGACTTTTTATAACTGGAACTTATTTTGTTTGGGTTGGAGGCCACCTATGTAGGATCTTTAACTAATTTGAGCTGAATTTTTTGGTATCGCATCCTGTAAGGTATCAGAATTTATTATGTTATTCTGCAGTTGTAAAAATTCATGGATCTCCTGTTGTCTGTCACGCTAACTTTGTTTATTAGTACTAACATTGTTGTCTGCCTAGCTTTCTATTAAAAAAAAAAAAAAATCCTCTTGTAGTATGTTTGTACACTGATAGAGCAGCATTGAAGAAGTTGGATGTCTGATGATAGTTTAAGTAACAATTTGAAGGAGTGGATGGCCTTTGTGCACAATGTCCTACCCTCCTGCAATTATAAGCATGCGCAGACAAAAACCATAATAATAGGGAGGCTGAGGTTGCCTAGCATTCAGTGTGACTACATTTTCCAAGCTGAGAAACAACAAGCAGTTTCGTTTTTGAAAGAGTAGACTGGTCTATTGGAAAAGAGAGTATTAAGCAGCTACTCAGCATCAAGGATTTCTACAGTAGTTGATGAGCAATTTTACTTTAGTGGTTCCTATAGTTGTATTTTTTTGGTGTTGATACTAGAGTTCATTGGTAATGCTATTCCCCTCCTTTTATCTCATTTCCTAACTGTTAGTGAATTTTGAATTTGATACACACCTTCAGCAGTTTTCGTACTTGTCAAGATGTTTTGTTAATCTGGCTGTAATACTCTGGCTGCATTCCATCATATCCAATTTTAACGCAGATAACGGCATCATAGCTTAGGCTCGATTCAATTTTGATTTTCCAAGCTAAAAATGAGTTTCTTGACAAAAGGTTGATGCTAATGGGAAAGGAACATTGGACTATGGGGAATTTCTTGCTGTTTCTCTCCATCTGCAAAGAATGGCCAATGACGAGCATCTTCGAAAGGCCTTTTCCTATTTCGACAAAGATGGCAATGGTTTCATTGAGCCTGATGAGCTTCGGGATGCATTAATGGAGGATGGAGCAGATGATTGTACTAATGTCGCAAATGACATCTTCCAAGAAGTGGATACAGACAAGGTAATGACCCGATATTTTGTCACAAATAAATTCATTTAGCATGTTTCAATTTGACCGAGAATTCTTTTTGAAATGCAGGATGGATGCATTAGCTACGATGAATTTGCAGCCATGATGAAAACAGGTACAGATTGGAGAAAAGCATCTCGACATTACTCAAGAGGGAGATTCAACAGTCTAAGCATAAAGCTGATGAAAGATGGTTCTCTGAATTTGGGAGGCGAGTAGAATCATACCAGTTCTCTGTTTTAGTTCATCCTTGCAAGAAAAGTACTGGATCATTCTTGTATATCTTAAGACTTTTGCTTTCTCTTGTGATTATTTGTGGAGGACTCTGGCATTACATGGGGTCCTTTTGCCTGGTGGTTTACAAGGATTCTGAGAAGGGCTTGGTACATCTTGTTGTCTCTGCTAATGTTAGGCACGTATGATTCTCTCTGCCACTACCCACCTTTTGATAATTATTGTTTCCGGTTGACAACATGGGATTTGATTGAATTGTGTGGTGCGTAGGCTCACGCTTGGGAGGCTCTTTTGTTTATATTATATTATCGTTAAACTATGCCCATTGTTTCATAAGCGTCAGTTAGTAGTACAAATTGTCAGTTCTCGAAAGGATAACTCGTGTTCGACATGGGACAAAAGCTTGATGTTTTCCTTCGGCCATATCTCTCCAGTCCACTGGACCCGAGGTTAATTATTGTGTTTTTGTCGGGCCTCGCCTGATTCATTATTATTCTAACTCTGTCGTTGGGCCCCATTGGTACATTAGATAGGCTCCAGTAACCCACTGGATCTTTGTATTTTCAGCCCAAGATCAGCGGCATTGCAGGGGCTAATTTTCTTTTAGGGCGTCTCAAGTAAAAATTTCATCTCGTGGCCCAAGATAAGCTTTAGGCATGAAGAAGTCCGGACTTCAATTGGTTTTCACAACAATCCTGATTCCCGTAAATGTTCAGGACTTTCGCATGTGACAATTACTAAAATCCCTAAAAGCCAAGCTGCATCAAGCCTAGCCTTTTTTTTTCCCTTTCCGTTCTTTGTATAATGGATAACTAAATCCAGCTGTCAAAGGTCGATCCCTTTCACCATTGAGATGTTGACCGAGCTTTTTGGATTGTTAATAGCACTTGGAATCTTCTTCCCAGTGATGTAGCCAAGACGTTATGTCCTCACGATTTAAATTGCAATCTGCTCGTAATAAATAAAGGATCATTCCTTTAATTTACGAATTCAATTATATATATGGAAGTTGTGGCAAAATTCACAAAAAGCTGGGCACCGAGGGAGAAGAGCAAACTAGGATATACCTAAGCTGATATCATTAGCAGTGTACGAAAGTCTTTCTTCCCTGTTAAGATGCATGTTTTGATCATAAGCATCTGGATCGGATGATGCAAATGTATGCACTGATGATGCCAAATTATCTTCGACTCCAGGCTTTTTTAGAGCTTGAGTAATTCTTTCTCTGGATTCTATTTCATTTTTGTCAGCCTCGAAATCGGTTTCGAAATCCTTTGCATTTGACTCAGACTCCTCACAGAGTGAAGGCAGTGATACGGGAGAGAATGATTTGTTAGCATTTGTTGGGGTGGGTCGGTTTCTATGTTGGCCTGCAATTCTCTCAAGGAATCTCACCTGAGCTTCAATCTTAATCTTCAAGTTCCTTTCCACCTTCAATATAAATCCTCAAGAAATTGCTAAACTACATCCCTGGGGCTATACCTTTCTTCTTTGTAAGGAAACAGAAAAAAACGAGAATCGAAATTTTTCATGTTTTGCTCATGCATGGATATATGTTTACATAGATATATATATATATATATATATATATATGGAAATAACTGGTGTTGATCATCCCCTTGTTTTCTTTGTGCTTCCAGATGCAATTGCAAGGATTCATGAAACTGAGCGCCTCTTCAATGATTTTTCAATCACAGCCAATGATACAATAAGCAAACAATGAGAGTAATGAATATATATGAAACTACAGCAATAATTCTCCAGCAAAACAGAAAAGAAATGATAACTCACGATGTTGTACCGAAATTAGGCAATATCTCTGAAATGTTTCTCCTCTCAAACTTGCTTTAGATAGACCATCTTACTGTTCTTTCTTTCCCTAACTTCAATGTTAGTCAAAGACGGAAGTTTCATTAAACTTAACTCGTATTTGTTTCTGCCTTTCTGGTACAAACTTTAAAATCCTGTATTTCTGGAAAAACAATATTAAAGATATATGAATCAGTTGATGAAGATCAAAGATTAGTTATATATGAATCAGTTGATGAAGACCAAAGATTAGTTAATTGTTTATAGAATAAATCAATGACAATACGTAAATGATCTTGAAATTAAGGCAGAAATAACCATTGGAGAGAGATCAGTTAACCTGCAGATGACTTTGATATTGTAAATGGTCAGTCCATCAAAGGCCATATCCTTCAGAATACCCTTTGGCGTTCGCCCCTGCCACCCAAAATTTACGCAAAAATCACCCACCATAAACCAAAGAGAGGTAGAAAACCAACCATGAATCAAAGAAAAAAAAAAAAAAAACACCCATAGCTCAAAACTTACTCTGGACCTCCGAGCTAATTAACAGCTTCTTCGAATAGATCCTGAAGCTCTCGAGTCCATCTCAGGCGTTCCTTGGCTAAGCCATCAGAGCGACTAGAACAGCGCATTGTGGATAGAATGGCTCGATTGTAGCACGAGCATTCGCCTTGTAGTATGAGGGAGATTATAAAAACAACTGGAAACCAAAAAAAAAAGTGGCGATAAGCGCTAAGAATAAATTGATAGGATTAAAGGGTGCCCTACAATGTCTTATTGTGTCTCTTAATTGTCGGAATTCAGAGAGTCCAAATGAATTATTTAATTTAAATTCAAAGGGTTATGTTCCTTGTTCAAACTTTTTTGGCTATGATCTCCTCCAAGATCAAGGGAGAAAGAAAAATAGTTACTATTAATTTTACCATAACATGAAGACCACCCCCAAACATAACCGAATGGCTGGATGGACACGTAAAGTACTCTTTAAAAGGTGTCAGCAAGGAAGTAGAACTTCCCAAGCATCTGTTATAAACATATATTTTGACAATAAGCTTCATTACATTTCCGAACACAGGAATATTGCTATACTACTTTGTCAGCAATTGAAATGTCTCTCTGTCGTCTTCTCATCATTTTAGTCACTATCACTGCCTTGCCCTCTTCATGCTGCAAGATGGACATTTGTACTGCTTAATGCTCTCAGCTCTAGCAGGTGTTATCTTAACACACTTTCCATGGAACCACCTCTCACAAACATCACAGCCGATCCAAAACTCATCTGCACTGTAATTTCCACCGCAGCTGCCACACTGTGTTTCGGTGTGTTCATCTTCATCATCCTCGTAATTCTCATCTGCAAGCTTAGGATTGCTTTTCGCTTCTCCATCACTTGATCTCTATATATTAAGAACCCAGTTAATGACTAAGATGAAAAGATCTAAACTCTGCACGGTTTAAGCACAGAAAATTCATTCATTCTTGGGGGGAACATTAGCCTTTCTATGCAGGCCTCATTCATCCCAAACTGGGCATCAATCATACTACAACTTGGGAAAAAAGTATGTGATTGAAACTTTGCAAGCTCAAATAATAACAAGTTTTAATTGACTAACCTTTGTGCTGCCCCGAGATTTGCTCCCACTATCCATGCTTGGCTTGTCTTTAACAGGCTTCCTTTCAGTCACAACCTCAAAGACTGTGGGAAGATCATTAATCATGCTAAATAGACGTTTCCTGTATAGAAGAATTGTAATAAACAATTATAATTTGTATTCTATAAACAAGAAAACTATGAACACAACAGCATGACACCTATGCAAGCATATATCAAGTTTTTACTCTGCCAAGCGCCACAAGAAATTACTTCTATACTCGTTTTGGCAATCATGCATAGCCTCGAATCTGGGACTTCCCCAACAAAGCAAAAATAGTTCAAGGCTGAACCATCATTAGACTAACAACTGAAACTGAATTGCAATGGAAAAACAAGGAGGGAAGCTTTTCCTGATAGTAATCAAAGTTGTTGATTTTCAATGACATTATAACCGCATACTCATATGTTCCACACATGAAGCAAAAAGAGAGACAAGACAGTACCTTTCATTGCGGTTAAGACGTGCACCAAGATAAAAAGCCACAGAAATCAACCAAGAATCACTATGCACAGCAACCAAGGACAACCAATCTTTCCGGTTCATTCCATCTCTTGCAAAATTAATACCAAGCGCTGGCTCAGGAAGCTCCGGTGGAACTTCCTCCGCTGGCAGAGTTACTTCCCAGCTTTCATTTGGATGTCCGTACAGGCATAAATTCTCTTTATCTAAACCAAACAAAACGCAAAGAAAATTCTGGAATTCAGTAACTTTAATTACCAAAATTTCGATGATTTGGAGATTCTTTCTATTTATTGAGGAACGCAAATTTCTAAATTCAATTAAGAATAGAAACCTAATACTTCCATGTAAAAAAATAATAATAAAACAACGAAATTAGGCAAAATCAATATCAAAAAATAGATTTGAAATTGAAATTGGAAAAGGAGAGTTGAGATCTCCAATCAGATATTACCTGGATCACAGAGTCCATAAAAGTCATCCACATCTGAGAGAACGACAGAGAAAAGAAAAAAGCAGCGTTAAGCAGCTATGATAAAGAGATTTAAAGAAATTGAAGCATAAAAAGAGGTGAAGGAATAAATTTACCGTTAGTTAAAGCACGAACGATGGCAGTTCTTCGAGCAGAGTAATCTTTGAAGATCTCCTCGACGGTTCGAGCAGTGGAAGCCATTTGCATGGCCAATTATCAACGAATGAAATCTTTATCCACGGCAACTATACATAGAGGATTGAGGATGAGGAGGCAGAGAGAAGGGATCCAAACCCAAACACAAATGTAAATAAAAAAAAAAAAAAGGGGGGCGAAGCAAAGGGCGAGACTAGAAGAGACGAGAGAGAGAAATTTGCTAGTGCCGCTCCCCCCCTTTTCACGCTTTGGAGCTTCCCATTGGTTGTTGCATGGGACCCCGTAACTGCGAGATGCTCACCACTCTAGTCTACACTGTTTTCAGAAAAACTGTCACTAGACTGGTAATAATAAAATTGATATATTCTAATTATATTTTATGTATTTACACAAAATATATAATATATTTTATTATTTTTATTAAATTTATATAAAATTATCATTAAAATTTTAAATCGTATCATTTTTATATTTTATTTTAATATTATATTTATAATGTATCATTGCATTAAATTTTAAATTATTAAATTTCACTATTGCTATCATACTATTTTTTTTATTTTAAATAATAATAATAATAATAATTTTGTGTTGTCCAAAATGGTATTTACTTGGTGCAATCTTAGAGACATGAAAAGTAACTAGAGTTTCACTTTTTGAGAAAATAATATAAATATTGATAGAATAAGTTTTAAGTTGGTAATGGTTAGAAGATGCTATTCAATGTAGTTAATGATTGATGTTCAATGTTTGGTAAAGAAATGCAAGTAGGAAGTTAGTTAAACCAAAAAAATTAGTAGTAGTAGCATAAAACTTGCTTATAATTAGGTTTAATGAAGACAGGGATTTGGGAATACAACAACATTGTTTTCAAAACCGCTCAATTTGACAAAACTAGCTGCTGCTGCTCTTTAATTACAAATCCTATAAACAACCACAATCTAGAGCAGAGCTAGGTTTATGACAAGCCATTACGGTCCATGTCAAGGGCTAACGAATCTTTCCTGTGCATGTTCAGGAGTTACATTGTTCTATTCCTCGATACCATGCTGCACCTGAAAGTTCATCATGAGCTGAAAGAGGCTGTACCTTTCAATTATTTTCATCGTATGGTAAACCCAACAAGCCATTCCATTTCTCGTCCCAACTTGCATGGATTGAACTTAAATGACATTCATAATGGATTGAACTTATGGTTTCCTTGTTCATAGATAAAGCTGGCCGGCCGGCCTTAACTGGACCAAATTGACCTGGTCCATGCCACTCCACTCCCCTTTCATCACTGAAAGGAGTGGTCAAGCACAATCTCCAAATGAAGTTCTAAAGGAATAAAAGACTTGTATACAGTGAAATAAGGGAGAATTGGGCCAAATTAAGGAACACAACTATAAGCTCTAACCAGTTACACCAAGGTTAAGAAAAATTTTAACAATCAGAGAAAATGGAAATTTGAAAATAATTTATAAACTTCTAGATAACCATTATGATATCCCAGTTCATCAACACATGAATTTCCTTTCCAAGAACAAAAAAAAAAAAAAAAGAGCAATAAAAACAAATGTAAACTTACACAAGTTGCCTAATGGTAGCAAGGGCCACCACTGATTCTTAGGGAGATGATATTAACCGCTTCAGGCCATTTTTCTGCTCTGTTGTAAGCTTGGTAGGAAACTTGATGTTGAATTTAATTCTCAAATTTCCTTTCTTATAAGGTTCTTTGGGAATGGGCATTCCCTCCCCTTTAACAACTTCTTCATAGGTTGGACCGATGATGTTGTTAATAGGGACCATCAGATTCCGTCCATCAAGTGTTGTCAGCTGTGCTGTATAACCAGTTAGAGCTTCCACTAGAGATATCTTCTGAGTAACAACAAGATCGTTACCATCCCTCTTGAACACACTGTGAGGCTTCTCATCAATGATGAACACAAGATCAGAAGGAATGACCCCTCGTTGCTCATTTCCCTTTTCTGGAAAAGTAATTTTTGTACCTTTTTTCCACCCTGGCTTAATCTCAATAGCAAGAATCTCCTCCACTGTTGTAGGTCTCCTGTAATGTTTAAAAAAATCATAGTTTTATGGTTAATATAGAATATCAAACAGTTTCCGAAAACAACAAATATAAGGGCTTTGTGATTTTTTATTTTTTTTTTGTGCTATACTACATATAAATGGTTAAAAAGTAGGAACTTCACTCACCATACTTTGACCACTTATGTCTTGTATAAAATATACACAGTGCAGAATTGTGAGCTCTCACAATATTAGCAAATAAGCAATAAGTAGCATGCAAACTTCAGACTTCAAAAGCTGAATTCACACGGAAAGTTAAGCTTATGTAAAGTTTTGCTCTAGGAACTTCTATCCAGTGTGCCAGCCTAAAAGACTACTGGTCTGTCGATAATCTGGTTAAAATGAAGCACAACAGATAATCTAAAATGAAGCACAACAGCAAGACTAATCAAGGACATACCACAGCAAATCCACCATCATGTTTATAATGCGTTAGTGGTCATTGAATGAAGCCAAAGTACAAATTTGGTATAAATAATAGAATTTAAAAAGGAATCTTGGGCAAGCATCAAGAAATCCCCAAAGTTGGTCACAAACACAAAGATCAACAAGGAAGCTCCAAGATCAATCTAATCTTTATTAACAAAGAACAAAGTACAAAAAGATGCTTTATCGAGGAGGGAATGCCAAAATAGAAAGAAATAATCACACCAACCAAACAAATAATATAACACCATGAAAGGTATTTCTATCACTCATGCAAATTGAATAACTGACGACAAGCACTTAAGTTTTGAGTAGCTTAAAAGATGGTAAAACAAGACCAAAAAACAAAAAGGGAAAAGAAGAATGAAAGACAAAATCATTTTGCTAAGTAGGGAAGAAGGAACAAATTCATAGAAAGGTTAGACATTGGTGCAAAGAAATAAAGCTTTTTTCTGATTAATGCGACCAATCTAAATCTCTCGTGAACATTAAGACCTCAAACGAGAAAGGACAAAATTGAATAGCAATGTAAAATTACGATCATAAGATCTCAATAATCACAACTTTCTCAGTTCAAAACAAACCGTCATGCAACTTTGTCAACACTCAGGAAACAACCAATCATTTTAAATGATTAGAACCCATTATCCTATTAAGTAGTAGCAATATCTTTATCAAAAAGTCAAACTTGGCCACTTCTGTAAACATCCTTTGTGACTTATGCTCATATAACCATAACTTGAAAATGTTAATTATTCCCTCTCTTATGCCTAAAAACCTCCCACAGGATTCAATTATAGATGTTCTACAGTAATCACAAGTCATATAATTCAAAGCTAATAAAATTTGAATTTAGATCTACACATAAATCGAGCTGAAAAATCATTATCCACATAGCAAAATCAATATAGAAACAATAAGCATTACCCAATTAAATTAACTTACAAAATAGAAAAAAAAAAACTATAATCCAAACAATTGAAAATAAAAGATTACCCGCTACCATCAGAAACATCCCTAGAAATCTTCATCTTCTTGGTAGTCCCTTTGTACAAATCCTCCAAGCTGCAAGGCAATGTTCTTTCAATTGCGGGTCCTTTACGGGGCATAGTTGTAGAACACTCTCCAGCTCCACCCCTAAACGAGCCGAAAATATCTTCTCCAAACATGCCCCTGGGGAACCCCGACGCCCCTACACGTGACCCGCCCATATCACCTATACCTCCAAACGGACTCGAAAACCCAAAAAACTCCGAGAAAATATCGTCGGGGCTCCGAGTATTGAACCGGAACATCGTCGGACCTCCGTCCACCCCTCCCGGGAACCCTCCCGCCCCCGGAGGAGGCATCTGGCCTTTTAACCCTTCTTCTCCGAACTGATCATAAACCGCACGCTTTTGGAGATCACTCAAACCTATAATTAAATGAAATTTTCATTAAAAAAGAATAAGAGAGGAAAAAAAAGTAAAAAAAAAAAATTGTTACATCGTAAGCTTCAGAGATTTGCTTAAATTTGGCTTCAGCTTCTTTCTTGTTGTTAGGGTTTTTATCGGGATGCCACTTCATGGCCAGTTTACGATACGCTTTCTTCAAATCTTCGTCTTTTGCATTTCGGTCGACCTGAAGAATCTTGTAATAATCAACGCCCATTCTTCAAAAAAAAAATTTTTTTTTGTTTTTTGCTGCTGCTTGGCGATTTTCCTCTTCTACGGATTTCTTTTTTTTTTTTTTTTTTGTATAAATCTTGCCTTTTGCTCTCCACCAAGACTTGATGAGTTTATTAAATGAATTATTATACGAAAGGAAAGCCCTTGCTGGGGTGGTGGGAATTGGGTGGGGGGGGGGGGGGGTATGGTTTTATCTACTTACAAAATTACAGGCGGTCAAGTTTAGTCCCAATCCCATTATCAAATTATTACTACAGGAAGGCTCAACTTTTCTAAGCTTTGTGGCCCAAGTAGTAGTTCGTTACATTTTTTTATTTTAAATTCAAGATAAATAAATTATTCAATGTTTTGACAAAATTTATTATATCTGATAATTTAAAAATAATGATTATAAAATTTTATTCAAAAGATTTCAACAAAAAATTTCTGACATTTTTATGTCAGAATAAATAATTTTTACCAACTGAATCAACCTTTTCTTGATAATAATATTCTTCCAAATTGAACGAACATCTTCTATCTCATAGTTCGTTACATGCTACAGGAAATTAGCCGCATGTTTTTCCCATCTCTGTTAATAATAAGGTAGGCTCTCTGTCATACTCATATTTCTAGATGTTGGATTTGGTCACCTCCGATTCCCAAAAACAAAAAAATCAAGGTTTGTGGGGGCCAATCTGATTCCTTTGTAAGATTCTGTTGACACGAGCTGTCATTGGATTCTTAATGTTCTAAAAAACAAAACCCTGTTTTTCGTTAAAAACTATCTATCAATGTAACAACATTATTATTATTATTATTATTCACAGGCCGCTTGAGAAAAGTCATAATGCAATACATCATCAAATAAACGAGATAGATTGTGCTAATTCTACTTCAACTCATCAAAATTCCAACCAACCCTATTGTACATGATTACAAACCTGTGAAATTCCTGCGGATTCAATATTTTCAGCCAGCCATTTTCTACCAATGGCATTTATATATATGTGGGTTAGATATATTTGATTGAAGACCAGATTCGGGAGCTCGTGGACCCATGGCAGTCAGAGATGTAGAAACGTTAACCTTTAAGCATTAGTTCCTGCAAAATTTTATTTCTGGAACTTCAGCTAGCACTAGATGATTCCTTAGATTTCTCTGCCACTGCATCTTTCTCTGAATTGCTTGTATCTCCAGTGTGAAGAGCCTGACTTGTTTGTACCTGACTGGAAGACTGAGAATCCGGAGCAAGTCCCAAAACTGCCAATACAGACCTGGAAATAGACAAAAATGCCAAAAGATAAAAAAGTGGGTGTAAATGATGATCAGGAACAGACAATGGGGCCATATATAGAGTATACGTTGAATTCTTTTCTATCCATTCAAAAAAAAAAAAAATCAGTCTTCATTTGAACCTTGGAAGTGAAGCTCGTATATTCTGTTGGCTAGCATAAGCAACCAAAGGAGCTTTGAGCGCTGCAGTTCTATTCAGTGCATTTTCCAGCTGTGGAGGAGGTAGCTGAAGGACAAAAATCATATAATTATAAACAAAAAGAACAGGTTTTGGTTCTAAAATGTTAACATGATATCGGGAGATACAAAATGGAATTTTAAAATCAGTTAACAAAAGAACATGCACCTGAAGCAACACGCTGAAAGATTGAGGCTTTGTCAAGAGTGCACATTTCAAAAATCCTACCCACAACTTTGGGTATTTCCATATCTGCAATAACCCATTAATTAAATGATAATATAAGCATGATCCATAAAGAAAAGAAGGGTCAGCTTACTGTGATAAAAGTACTCACCTGCTTGCTTACAAGACGAGAAAGAATCTCCATTATAAATTCCACCTACAAAATTTTGAGTGATCAAGTCATCAATGAGTCGTGAATATCTATTATTATCATGTTAAATTCTTTAAACAGCTTTTACACTCTCCCTCAGATAAAACGAAGAGCAGCCAGAGGTAGTAACTTTTTTAATAAAAAAGCAGAAATTAAATAAAAAGGAACTATGAATCTTAATTATTGGACATGAAACCATTTTGGCAATTGCTATGCTACCTAGCAGACAAAATAAATTACCTAGAAAGCTTTTTCTTTTTTCAGTAATAAATAACTACAATTATCTATAATACTCTTCAAGTAAGCAAGTTAAAGGATATTTCCTTACCAATGCAGGAAAAGCACCAATGGCTTGTAATACAGTACGCATAAACAACAAAGGAAGAGGAATCTGCTCAACCTACAGGGAAGAACATTCATCATCTGTAAATTCAGCCAGAGATGGTAGCAAATTTTGGTGATAAAAACATAAAGAAGTGTTATAGTACAGACCAACTGATTTAAGACCTTCGCTAGAACTTGCTGGGTGAATATCTGCCGTTGCTCAAAACAAGCATTACATGCATCTGTGACCTGATTGCAGCACAAAAGATTACTAAATTGTGAATTTCTAAACGTTAAGAAGTTTAAAAGAAGGAACAAACAGCAGGATCAAGAAATTCTAGATTAAGGAGGGCAAAAAAAACCTTCTTCAAGGGAATTCCATCTCTTTCGGGATCAATGCCATGGATAGCAATTAACACTTCAGCTGGAGAGAGCACTGGACCAGAATGAGAAGATCCCTAGGTACGGAGAGTCCAATTAGCAATGAAACAGAACATGCAACTAAAATAAATGCAGGTTATGTGCTCCCCAAAGCAAAATTTTCAATCAAAATATAAAATGGACAAAGACAATAGATCATCATAATATTTCACATGCTACTGAATATATTCCTAGTGAAATATTTCCAGATAAATGAATTTAAAAAGCAACAAAAGAAAAGTGCAGCTGTAGCATGTAATCAACCATACCTTATGATCCCTAGAAATGACAGCTAGAGGAAAAACCACTATATTAGACAAATTTAACTTTTGGGCAAGGGGGCATGGGCCAAGAAAGATACCTGTAGCAAATGGGTAAGTGCAGCTTGGAACTTATCTGGCAGAAGATTTACAAGATACGGAAAGAGCAGCAAAACCTAAAAAATAAACTATTAAAACAATATGCAGCAGAGAAGGCCAAAGCAACACCAACGAAAACCAATATAATGCATTCAAAGATCACCTCTTAAACAAGAGGACGTTCGAGAAACTATTTAGTAAGAATTTAAACTAGGCAATAGTAAGCAAAAAGTAAACGAAGTAAATTTGTTCGAATGAAATCCACAGCAGAATGAAGAAAGAGCATGAACAAGCATTTGCTTACTTCTGTAAGCAAATTATTCTTACCAAAAGTCAACATATACAACAATTATAGACAAATCTTTTAATCACATATCTTTAAGAGAAACAATGGAACCAATGCTGCTAATGCCACAAAAAACTTCCAGTTTCCACATAGACAATATTACACAATCACACCAATTTCTCATAGATAACATTTTGTGTCAAACTCTAAATCACATTTTGAGGTTGATTCTCAATTTAATGAAAGTAGATGGGTAAATGACAGCCAACCCAAAGAAGGTTAAGACTTGTTCGTGATATTGAAGCAATAAGTTGTGATGTATCTTCTTGACATGAAATTTTTTATAGCAAGGGCATCCCTAATAGCAACCTTTCATCTTTATTTAATAAGGCTTAGCCTTTGATTCTAGTGAAAAAGGAATTGTGCAGTCAGCATTATGTATCTTTTTTTTCTTGAATATCCAACTTGTTCATCTTCTAAATCAAAATCTAACGACTTGATCCATGAAGTAAGAAATGAATGGACCAAGAATTTCCTTTCGTTTAAGGACTTGAAACTTAGATGGCAATATCTTGCCTTGTCTGGACATAAGTCACATTCCTGATAGATATAATCCATTTACACCACAAAATTGATCAAGACAACATTCTTCAGAGCAAAACAATCATGGTTGTAGGCAATGGGAAAGGAAATTATTCAGAGAATGGAGAAAACCTCATCTCTTGGTAGGAATGGCAATACTGGAACTAGAATTTCAACATCCTGTCACCAATCCAAACTATACACGCCTTAGCCAATATCCTCAATGCAATCTGGGTCTTAAAAAAAAAAAAATTTACTCGTACCTTTAATTTTGAATCAAATAACTTCTTAATGGTAAATATCAATTCTGCTGAAGGAACCGTCCCCTCAGTCAGTGTATGCAATACCTGGCATAATTGAGGCAAGGTTGATAAAAAAAGAAAAGGCAAACCAGTTTAGAAAATTTTGAACTTCTGCTTGGGGTTCAGAAAATTATAGAGTTTATTTAACTATCAAAACCTGCATCAGAAGATTCTTGCTTCCACTAGGAGGATCTGAAATAATTTCAAGAAGGTCAGATGACGAGCCCATGGTACGAACTAGTATGGGAATATGACGATGGATTGCCTGCATTGCCTAATTAATTAGAAAAAAACACAGGAAGAATACTAAGGATTTGGATAAATTTCTAAAATAAGATTCCAATACGCATTAACCAAACCTGCTTAACTGCCTTTGATGCACTACTGTAGATAAGAAATATTTGGCAAAAAAGAGAGTGCTTCTGTCAAATGATAACAACAGCAAAATATTAATCCCTTTAGAGGGTTATGAAGAAACAAGCAATCAAAATAGAAAAAGTAACACCTTTGTACACAGAGCAAAATACAGAGACATGCACCGCTGTGCCTCAGGGACAGAAAGGGATGACACACTCTGAGATGTTTCTGACTGATGAACATCATCAGAGATGTCTTTACTAATGGAACTCATTGACTGATGCTCATTTGACGGCTTTTCTGAATCAGAATCCTGTTAAAGGTTGCAGGCCAAACTCACTAAGAAATCCATCGATAGATCCTTCAACTATGTATAATTTAATTCAGTACAAAACTCTCAAAAAATTACTAAAAACGTTTTACTCAAAATAACACATTTTGCAGTTAATTTTGAACCACTACATCACCAACCTGTCAAGTAGTTAAGCATTTTTTTCAACCAAGGAAGCAGAGGAAATAAAATGAAGTATATCCCAGGTTAGACATAAATCATTTATTTTTTTAAGAAAAGAAATGGTCAAAGAAGATAGCTAAAACTTCATGTACTGGAAAGCAAAGTGTACCTCTCCCTTTCCTCCCCCCCTGCCCCTCCAATCCACCAAAAAAGAAGAAAAAGAAAAAAGAAAATAAAATATATACAACAGAAGAAATTCTAAGACAACTAGTAGCTCATGGCTTTTTTATGTACCTGGTAATGGTTTCATATTATAAAGTCCATATACAAGAACACACACAACATCTGCATATATCTGCATCTATATGAGCATATACCTTTTCAATATTTATATAAGTAGAAAGTGTTCAAAAACAACATCAAGCTATTCCAATTTTAACCAGACATAAAAGATTTCATGACTTATGTAAAACAAACTGTGCATAATCAGGTTGGAAATGACAGCATTTCAAATCACAAAGATCATATTATTACCTTACGTGATTCAGTGATTAATCCTTCAGCATCTGTTCTTTCTGTACCATCAGCATTTACTACAGAGAGCACCATTTCCCTGGCAAAATCTTCTATTTGTTGAGCAATGGATGATAGAGGGTAAAGCTTATTAGCTACCTATAAAATGAAAGACATCCTCAATTGTAAAACAGATAACAGCAAGCAGCCAACTAGTTACTTCAATGGCAAGTTATGAACAATTACCAGACGTATTGCTTTCATTCGAACTTCCTCCAAGTGATGAACAGCACTCTTTAAGAGGTAAAGAGAAAATAAAAGTCAAACAAAAGATAAGGAAAAGAAAACTTCAATTAAGATGTATTATCCAAGATAAATCACAAACCTGCAAAGCAATTTTCAAGCACACATCTCGAATGGGGGGTCTCAATAGAATTAGACTCCATACGGTGCTGAGGCCTTGAGTAACTCTATCTCCACTTAGTGACTCCTTCTCAGTTTTCTCTGAGATTCCAGGAGAGCACAAACCCTCTAATAAATTCAAAACCGATTTTGGCAGGCGAGGAGCTTCACCAAGTAGTCTACTTAAAGATTTGTCAGAAGGTGGAAAAGAGTCCCTAAGAGTTTCAGCCTGCATTTAAAGAAATTTCCTCAGAAAGATGGGCTTCTCAGAGGAAGAACAAGATAGGCATAATAAAAAGAATACATACTACAGCCAGAAGGAATGTTTCATATGCGGAAGCAGCAGTTGTACATGAGAAGAAATCACTTTCCTCTTCTGCCTCTCCAAATAACCTGTAGAGGACACGCAATGTCAACTCGTGTCCCTGAAGCCATCAATAATTATTGTCAGCTAGAACAGAGTTTATATGAATTTATGAACAATAAAGTAGTACTTTTAAAAATCAATTGACAAAAGACCAGAAAAAATATGAGCAGATTGGAAAGTTGAGGTGATATTAGAACACAATGATGGTCTCAGCATCCGTGTTTCAGCTATAAAGTCATAATTAAAGTAGTTCATGTCTAGTGAACAGCTTGAGGCACATCCAAACATGAATAGAAATTGGAAATATCAAGTTACCTCATGATTTATATAATCTGACAAAATGTGTTCTTGTAGAAGTTTCTGTAGGTCTAACTCTGATGGCAACTGAGAAAAGAAAAGCATAAAATTATTTAGCACAAAATGCCAAAACTAGCAAGACATTCACTAATAACAAAAATATCACAACCAGATAGTTATCAGTAGAAAGATCTGAACATCCATAAGAAATCAGAACTAGCACCTCAACTCCCATATAAGCAAGCAGAGAAAAGCGAACTTGAGAACCTCCAGCTACTGCTATTTGCTTGTATGCCTCAATGATACGTATAAAAGCCAACTTTTGCAAATCATCCTTCTGATCATCAGAAAGATTAACAACAGGTGCTGACATCTTGGGCAAGACAAAGCAATAGGATGAAACAACGGAAGTTGCTGTTGAGGAAATCATGCTGTTGGAATCGGTAACAACTGCTTTTGGACTAAGCTCCTCAGACCTATCTGTTGAAATTGATGGAAGCACATGCAGCAGTGACCTTCCACCAAAACTTGTAACTTGGTCTTGACTAGCATCTTCTAGATCAGTAGAGACCAACGAGGAAGCTGCCTGGGTATCTGACAATCCATCATTATGAACAGAAGAATCCAAACCAGGTATCTCACTTTCAAGATTCCCCACATCTTGGATATCAGACGGAGTAGGTAGATCAATCTTCTCCATTCCAGGCAAAACAATGTCAGAAGAAACTGGTAAATCAGCAGCCAACAAAGCATTTTCAGCCTCATGAGCCATGCCAGCATGTGCAACAGCATTATTTGGGCCAGCCACAACATCAACTTCTTCCTCCCCTTCTGTTTTCTGTATCTTTAACAAAATAGACATGTTAGACCAAAAACAAAAAGGGATGCACACATGATAAAGGCAAAATTAAAGAGGAGAAAGGAGTCTCCGTCAACATGACTGACCCCACAACAAATTTTAATCAAGCTTTTGTTTATTGGCCCATCTTTGGTATGGTCAAATACAAATTTACGCCCACCAAATCCATCAAACGTCAATAGGCATCCACTAAAAACCTAGTTGCTTCTTTATAGAAAATGAATTTGTGATATGATTTCTATGCATTAATTGTTGGTCTCGGTCATGTGTATAACTTCTGCTGGGGTAAATAAAAAAAAAAAATTACCACTATTTTATTGGAAACTGATTGCCGAGAATTAAGTAATGAGGCTATTGGCGGGAAAGTACTCGACAGTGAAACAACATCAGCTAAAAATGATGGTGGATACTTGGCTTGAGTGTCACTTCCAACTATGCACATGTTCTCCAGCAATTCATCATCTCCATCAGTGTGAGGATGACTGGGAGGAAGGTTACCCATGTTAGCCATCACTAAATCAGCCAGCAAGTCAGCAGATATGCTTGAAATAAGAATCCCCAAAGATCCCACAGCTTGTTCTCCTTGAGCAACCAAGGCTCCAAACATGGCAACAAGTTGCTGGACTGGTCCAGTATCAACATCTCCTTTGTTTGTGGTAGGTTGAGTTGAAAAAATGTCACCCTGAGACATAGTAGTATTCCTGTTTAACTCTTTTGTTGACTCTTCTGAGACACTAGGTGTTGACCTGACACGTTTTCCAGACACATCATCATTTTCAGCCAAATCACTATTGTCCTCAGTTCCAGATCTTTTCCTTCCCACATTGGTACCAACAACATCACATGCTTTAATCAAGGGTTTTTCTTCCTGCAAGTTCCTAAACCTATTATTATTAAGCTCAATACATATGCATATATGTTCATGTGCTAATAAAAGATTGCACAAGCCAGCACATACGTATGCCAATAATATACATGAAACAACATTGTAGATACCTTTATGACTGAAGAATCATCTTTTTCCTCTTCCACACTTCCATTAATTTTATGAGCTTGGTTTAGAGCTAGCTCTGCCAGTCCTCCACCTTTCATCTCTCTCAAGGCACCAAGTAAACGATCCCTCCACTGTGTAAACCAAAAACAAAGTACATATCAAAAGTGGGCATGGTAGTCAACTTCAGTATTCAGTGGATGCTAAGTAACAATAGTGCAATTATTCAAGATAATAAAGATAATGCTAAGTAAACAAGTACAAAATAAGTAATGGTACCATATTAGAAAACAAATTGAGTGGTTAAAACCAGTGCACTAAACTCATTAAACATCTTTCAAATCATTGATTAAAAAAACAAACATGTCAAATAGTTTAAAGAACGCATTCACCATTTCCAACATAAAACAATTGCCACTCAACTCTCATGATCCCTAAGTACTTAGCAACTTATGTTTAAGTTACATGAAAAAACAAGTATAATATCATCATTGATTACGTAAAATGTAAAAGAAACACCAAAGTATAAGGGGAGATGCGACCTTAGTAATGGATAAGAGTCTAAAAGGGCATGTTTAATATAAAATAAATACCGGTGCAGCACTTGGGTGTGTACATTTCAAGCAGGAGAGTAAGGCATTTTTCAAAGCATGATGTGCTCCATACACATGAACCCCTTTGATAACATAGCTTGGGGGATCCAAACTAAGCAAAACTGGTAGAATACGTCCATAATATGCAGGCCGTTTCTTTGCAATTGCTGAAAGACTGACATCAAAGACAAAACAAAATGAAAACAATGGAAAAACTAGAAAGTAAAAACAGCAATATAACCAAAAGTTGAAAACCACAATTTGATAATTAAGTACAATAAGAAAAAGTGGACTTTTAAAGATTCATATTCAAGGACAATAGCACACCAGTAATGCTTTTTCTACACAGAACTTGTGATCGAAAATTTTGATATATACTAAAATTTTCAATTCTCTTCTTTATACAAGTATTGAAAATTATAACAATGCTACATAGATACATTTCCTGGTTATTCACATCAGAACTAAAGATAGTATCCAGATGTACTGAATGCCAGGAAATAAGTTGCAGTAAAATGAAGTGAGTGGAAATCATACCTGTTAATAAGCACAACAATGACCGAGCTGGTGAGCGATTTTACTGTTGGAAATCTAAGCTGATCAAGCAACAAAATCAAACGTTGGCTAGCTTCAATCGACAAATCCCCAACATTGAGTAAAGGATGGCCCCCACGAAGCCAAGCTATGTTAAATTCTATAGGGGTTCCTACAAAGTAAATTGAATAGGACATATAAAAAATACTAAATGCTAGTATAATAACATATTAAAATGACAATATGACAGTCTTTCTTCAAGCCTCCTAACCCTGATGAGGAAATCTAAGTAAATTACCTCCATCAGAAGGGGGCTCTGGAGAACCATTAGGATCAGGAGTATAAAGAAGAATAACTGCTTCAACAAACTTCAGAGCCACCAATCTTATCCCACCACTTCCTGGCTGATTAAATTTTACAATGAATCAGGCAATGAACAAATTCCAATTGTCATGAAACAAAAAGAATCAATTCCTACCTGAAAAGCTATAGAGTATATCTTCTCCTTTAACTTTAACATCCATGACCACGATGATTCAAGATCACTGTCCAACTCACTGGAGTATAGACCCTGAAACAAACATAAACAGCATCTGAACTTTTGAAGGGTTCAATAGAAAGTTAGTTAGCTGCAAATAGCCTACTGCTCAACGAGAGGTAAATATAGAGCTTAAATGATGCCAAATCATCACCTTACGGCTAAAATTAACACAACTTAACAGCAAGTGGAGACAAAACAAAAACAGTTTTCCTTGTAAATAATTGTATCCCTAAAAAGCCAGTGTTCACGGACTAAGATTCAACAAAAAGCAAATTACAATAGAAATCAAACTCAGACAAGTCAAATTATGAATTAGTAAACATACCTGAATTGCAATTTTTTCCAGCGTATGGCGAAACAAATCAATACTGCAAGCAATAGATTGTCGAGCAACAGCAGGTGTAGCATCTTCCAAAACAGTTATCAGAAACGGTGCAATTTCAGTTACGAATTCAAGGTGCTTCACACCAATTTCACCAATAATCCTACGTTCAATTTAAAAAAGAAAACAAATATACTTCAATTTATAAGCAATAGAGAAGCTAATATAATGCGGATGGAGGTAGGGATTCAAGAGGAGCGTACTCAGTAGCAAATTTGCGAACCGGACCGGACGGGTCAGAGTAAAGGTCGAAGAGTCGAGGAAGGAACTCGGACAGAGCAGCAGCGTCTTCCTTCAATAAGTCTTGCTTCAATTGACGACAGAGGTCGAGCTTTGAAGCTAAGTCAATAGCTAGATTCACTGAGTTGGATAACCTTGAAAGCATTTCCCTCGAAACTGGATTCACCATTGCAAGGAAAACTGGAAAACCCCTAAAATTGTTATTTTTTTATTTCATGAAGGCGATTTTTATTTTTTGATTTTGAAATGGAGAGGAGGGATTGGGGCGAGAAAATGGAACGGAGAGAAGGGTTTTCTTACCGTTCGTTATTAGGGATCAATTTTTGATAAATTTTGGTGGGTCAAATCAGAATAACACAAACCCCAAGGGCCGAATGCTAAAAAAGCAAATAACATCAAATAATAAAGGGTTAAGTATAAAAATAGCTACATCTATATTTTTTTGTCAATTTGATACTTAAAAAATAAATTTTAACTTTGATACTCAAATTTTTATTTTATCAAACATTTTGATATTCCAAACTAACACAATTAAGTAAATTACATGACATTAATATCTAATAAAATCATAAAACAACACATAGACATAAATATTTAATTATCAACATATTATCTATTTTCAATTTATTTTTTTAATTTTTAATTTTAAAAAATCAAATTTTATTTTTTGTTTTAAAGCTTTTTTTGCTAATGTGATGATTATTGAATATTTATAATACATGACATTTTTATTGGACTTTCAAACAATATTAATTATTTAATTAATGATGATAGTGGAAGTTATCAAAATATTAAAGGAATGAAAGTTAAAGTATGAAAATGAGAATTTTATTTCTTTGAGTAATTAACTGATGCAAGAGACAGTACAGGGGCCATTTTACATATTAATCCAATAATAAATGATTGAGAAAACGTCTTTGGCATCATTTCTATACATAGCGACAGGTAGTATGATTAAGGTTATGACAATTAATACAATTTCAGTTTCAGGTTCTTCAGATGATAGAATCCTGATAATATTATTTGGTATTATAACAACAATGTATAGATTGATCAACTTGACAAGATAATACAAATCATAAACGTTCTATAAATCAGACATATAACCAATGTATTCTAACCGGTGTTCAAGACTCTGAGCGCAATTTTGACTTAATGTCGAATTGGGAGCCTGACTTTTATGAATATATGTCTTTCATTACAATAACTTACTATTAATATGATATTGGATTAGTAAAACTTTTTTTTGATTGAGAGAAAGCGATCAATGATCTATTTAATCAATTTAACAAGAATTTCTAATGTAGAGTATCCATAATATGAAATAGCTTAAAGAAATACATGAAGTTAAAAGATTTAACTATGAAAAAAGAAGATAAAATTACCAAAAAAAAAAGAAGTTTTTAGCCAAATATATTTTATAAAAGAAAGTTTGTTACAAGAGAGAAATCTTGTTGTTGGTGATTGATCAATGATTCCTTCTTAAAAAAGTATCATCTTATTTATATAAAAAAAAAGTAAAAAAATAATAACCTAATAAGATAAACTAAAAGAAAATCTACAAAAAGAAGGTTGAGAGCTAGAGTTACTAAGAGTTGATAGATCCATAAAAATAAGATTCTTTTTTGACTTTTTTTTTTTTCAACTTCAATATTCAAAGCTTTAGAAATATGTTTTTCTTATCATTATCATGACAAGCTTTAGGCTCGATACCATTTTTATACACAACGGCAAGTAGCATTTTCAGGATAAGAGAAAGCTGGCAATTCAACTGAACCACTTCCAAGCATCGACGCTGAAGCACGAGAAGCAACCGAAGCCACCTTTCTTCACTTCCTCAAAAACCAGAACCTTTAGGGTCAGTACCGCTGCTTCAAGCAATTCCCAGCAGCTAATAAAGTCGGGTGAGGTCAAGCCTATACTGCCTCAGGACGCAGCCATGGCCATGAATTCCAAGGGATTCAAGTTACTGGACATTAGACCGGAGTGGGAGAGAGAAAAAGCATACGTTAAAGGGTCACTTCATGTGCCCCTCTTCAAGGACTTGGACAACAGTTCCATTACTCTTTTGAAGAAATGGGTGCATTTTGGTTACATTGGCCTGTGGACTGGCCAAAACTTTTCCACGATTAATCCTAATTTCATCCAGGAGGTAGAAGCTGCTGTTCCTGACAAGTATGCTTGCCTGCTTGACACTTATAGCTTGCGGCGAAGAGCTGAGGTAAAATTTCTATATTTTGGGGGGAATTTCATCCCAGCCATTAGCGCTATTCGATTTTTTTTTTTTTTTTTGCTTTTGGGTGATGATGTTGCTGTGTCCTTAGGTTCATGATGGCGATTTCAAAATTATATGAGGTAGGATACAAGAACTCGGGGTGGTTGGCTGGAGTATTTAATCGTGCTGCAGATGGTGATTTCCCAGAATTGGAAGGGCCTGAAAAGTTGCATAATGCTACAATTGGAGGTGTGTCATACTACTTTTTTCAATTGCTCCTCTTGCAAGCCGTGCGCAAAGAGTAATTGAGGAGCTAGAGTCAGTTCTGGGCAAGTTTTTACCAATGTGAAGCAGTTTCAACTTCTGCTAATCAGCAAGCTAGCTGGTACCGCACAAGTTCTGTTGGCTGTAATTCCATATGTCACCTTCTGAGTCCCGAGCTCTTTTTATTAAATCCATACGTCTTTTATTGGCAACGTTTCTGAATAAGGCAGTCATCACTTGTCAGTTCGGTTCAAACCAAGGCAAAGGCTGCAAAATCTGGAGTGCATGACCAACCCACCTTTGGGTCTGTCATTATCAATTCTGTAATAATCTCGTTTCCGTTGGGAATGCCCATTAAACAATTTGCCCTCATGGATGTACACCAGAAAAAGAAATGTCCCAATTTATTGGGAAGAAAGTGATTCAAATAAAGTCTAAGCCAACTTTGCACAGTTGGAAACAATGAGTCTATAATTCATCTCAAATAAAAACATGTATATCATCTCAAATACAAACACGTATATGCAGTGTTTATACACTAGTGTTGTATGAAGCTTGTCATCAGGGGAAAACCCAAAGGGCTACCAGCAACAAAGAGAACTATTCAATATTTCAGTCATCATCAAAATGTTCTACAGGCTAGATGAGCAAGTAACATAACATTTAATCAGCAGAAAGAGTAGCATACAAGAAAATTGCGGAATGCAGCTCAAGATTAGACAAACAAAATTCATAACCAGCAAAGCCACTGAAATCATAGACCAATACCACATGAAAATGCAGGTAAAGTTTCTGAGCCTAATCAATGAAAAAATATATTATTATAGTTGCAAGATGTTGAGACGAGCTGTTTGATTCCTAGCAATCTTAAAATCAAATTTTAGATTACGAAACAGCAAAATTATTGAAAACATCTGTCACTAAATGAACGTTTAGACATAACAGTTGACCCCACTGTATGAAAGACTACACTTGACTTGGATAATCTGGGAAAAGTACATATAATGAAGGCGATGGTGGCGACACAACCACAGGATACCTGCAAACACAACCGAATCTCTCCACAGTGAGTTCAATGCTTCAAAAACATTGCTCAAATATTAATAGCAATCAATGCATATAACAAATTATCACCACTCACATTTACAAGAAATGTACAATGCATTGGAAAGATAGTAAAAAAATAATAACAAAAGTCCAATATACTCTCGTGGGAGGATCAAGATGACAAATGTAAAGGAATTAACCAATGATTTCACATTAGAAGTTTAAAACTATCACTTTCGAAGCATGTTATGGTAGTATCATTTATGTCAAAATCCAATAATAACATAAATCATTTTACACTATCAATCACTCCCTCCGAACTACTTGAAAATAGAAACAAAACAATATGACAACAAAGCATCAAACTACAATTTATGTGAATAATCAAAAGGATGCAGCCAAAATTGCCACCACACTATATGGAAAATTGAAAATTATAGCAGGATCCAAAGCTATGAATACTTCAACAATACCGAAAAAACAGGAAAGCCACGCATCTCTCAACAACTCATCACTTTAGCAGGCAGCTTTTCTTCTTACCTAACTTAAAATATTACATAAAGCCTGATTTTTATACCACCAAAGAAAACAAAGCAATCAAACCACATTCACAGCCAAATAAAACGCCCAATTCAGAAATTTGACATGCAAAAACAAAAAAACCAATAAAAACAACACTAGAAAATTAACTATTACACAAAAAAATTGAACTAAAACATTAAAAATATTATATATCATCAAAATTTTATGCTTAAATGCTAAAAAAAAAAAAACAATGGAATTTCTCACCTTCACGTACCCCAAAAGCTTCAAAAACACTAATCAGACCGAGCTGCGAACCTCTCAACCTTCTTATCATTTAAATTAAGACCAACCATTGCCTCACCAAGCCCACTGCTAACCTCAGCAAGCACGTCCGGGTCACTATAATGAGTGACGGCCTGAACAATCGCCCGAGCCCGTCTAGCTGGGTCACCACTCTTAAAAACCCCAGAACCCACAAACACTCCATCACAGCCCAATTGCATCATCAACGCCGCATCCGCCGGCGTCGCCACTCCTCCGGCAGCGAATTGCACCACTGGCAACCTCCCCAGCTGCTTCGTCTGCATTACCAAATCGTAGGGAGACTGAATTTTCTTAGCGAAACTGAAAACCTCATCATCATCCATGTTTCTGAGAACCCTAATATCTCCCATCACGGACCTGACGTGCCTGACGGCTTCGATAATGTTCCCGGTTCCAGCTTCTCCTTTGGTCCGAATCATAGCAGCTCCTTCTCGGATTCTCCGAAGGGCTTCTCCCAAATTCCGACACCCGCAAACGAAAGGAATCCGAAAGTTATGTTTGTTGATATGGTTTTCTTCGTCAGCCGGGGTAAGAACTTCGCTCTCGTCAACATAGTCGATGCCAATAGCTTCAAGGATCTGGGCCTCAACGAAATGACCAATACGGGCCTTGGCCATGACGGGGATAGTAACGGCTTGCTTAATTTCCTTGATGAGTTGTGGGTCACTCATTCGAGCCACGCCACCTTGGGCTCGGATATCGGCGGGGACTCGTTCCAGAGCCATGACGGCGCAGGCACCGGCTTCTTCAGCGATGCGAGCTTGTTCGGGGGTGACCACGTCCATTATGACCCCACCTCGGAGCATTTGCGCTAGCCCGACTTTCACAGAGAAAGGGGATTTGTGGGTTTCAGTTATTGCCCCATTTCCATAAACCGCAACCACCCCGGTTCCTGCCATCGCAAAAAAACGCTACAGAGGTTTTTTTTTTCTTTGAAAATGAAAGAGAAGAAAAAAAATAAGAGAAGTTACGAAGATATTGAATGGGATGGGAGAGAAGGGGTGAAGCAGAGAAGGTGGCGAGAGATAGGTTTAAGTAAAGGAAATGTTTTGAACGGTTCCTGCTTGGAGGTGAGGAGAGTTGGGGTGTGGGATAGTTGACCTGCTCTCGTCGTGATTTTCCCGTATGATGCTTGTGACGGATTACATAGTTTCTATCCAACGGTAGAGAAAAAGGTTTCATGGAATTTAAAAGGATACATGGATAGATACTGTACGTAGTAGCCTTGGATGCCACGCAATTCTGGTGTGCCGCCCGAACCTGCCTTATGTGATCCGGTGCATACGTGGCAAGAAAGGATTCCACTCATTTGTTGACAAAAGTTGGAGACGGTGTCACTATTTTCCCCACCTTTGATTACCTTAATTAGCTGGAAATAATCAACTATTAGTTGGTTTTCTCTTCGATTATAAAATACAATAAAATAAAATATTCTTGAATCATCTGGAGAATTTTGGATTTGGATTCGTGGAGGTTTTTAAATTATAAGTCGACCTAGTCCAGTGAATATGTTGACTATTTTTCTTTTTGTTTTATACAACTACTATTTATTAACATTAAAAAAATTATGGCTTTATATGTTTCGATATTATCATGATGATCGATGAGAGCTGCCACCAAGGTCTAAAGAACCGGTGGCCCAAAAACGGGGATAAATAATTCATGAATATGGTTTATTTTGTTTTTCTAAATACATAGAGAAGATTAAAAAAAAAGTATATAAAGAGGCTGGCAAGGGAGGCAGCAAAGGCCGCCGCTCCTTTCCAATCTGTGGCAAGTATGATTTTCATTCCACGTTCTAAAGTTGGAAAAGAAGGAAAGCGTCTTCAACTTGTCTTCGTTAATCGTCAAACACTTGATGCTTGTCAATATACTTTTGACTTTCTTACAACCGCACCACTCCATTTCCTCCTGCAAGAAGAAACAAATCTTTGCTCTCTCTCTTCTGTCAATTTTTTCCATTCATGAAATGCTTTACACTCATCTTTATCTTTTATTTATTAATTATCTTTGATTATTATTCAACTCATTTTGACCAAAAGCATGCTTGGACATTGTATACCAATTATGAGAGTAATACATGGTGGAGGGGCCACTCAGGGAAACAAAATGCATGGCTCATTCGTTCTTTCCACATTAAAAAAACTATGCTGATGTGATGACCCATTCGGAATGTCATTTTCTTGATTGAGGCATCCATCAGCATAAAAATCAGTTACCTATAAAAAAATGTACAGCATGCAACAACTCATTGAAGCAGGCTGTGCAAGTGCCGCATTATACTGTGAAAATCTTCCCCACTTTTTTCATGTTCTGACGGCAAATGGGGCAAGTTCCAAAAGCCCCTGCTATTCTGCAAAAGATTAATTACAACACATGTCAAATAAGAAAATTTTGCATTGTTTTCGACAAGATATGTCTCGTAAACCAGGCTAACTAGTTAGCTAAATCTGAGAACCATTGAGGGTGACAATCAGCATGCAATTGCAAATTTGATGCAGGGTTATCAATGAGGATAGTACTTACCGAGTTCCACATGCATAGCAAGCCGCACAGTGCCCACATGGAAGGAAGAAGCATTCCCTTGGAGCATCAAAGCAAATTGCATAAAGTCGCTGGGTATTGTTACTGTTTTCACCATTTCTTGTTGATGTCCCTTCAACAGAAACTGCCAGAGAGTCTTCAAGATCTGCTTCATCACTTGAGACAGAATCATAAGATGAACCCCAACTTGAGATGTCATCATCTTTGCTAGAAAGCAGAGGGGCTCTTGTGGAACGGTAAGAAACACTCGTTTCATCTTCACGACTATATTGAAACTTAATCAAGCAGTTAATGGCAACCAACATAACTGCACTCATTCCACCTTTCAGGAGAAAAATAGTATTTAAAGACGGTATGTTAGTAAAGGTTGTAATAAGAGTAACCAAAAGAAAGAACTCTACCAATGCCAACAATATATGTAATCCATCTTGGTCCATATGACAGTCTGACAGACCAGTCATCTGCAGTTGTATTCCAAAGAATCCAAAGAAAGAGAGAAAACAAAATGTAAATACTTTGTAAATGAGGATTTAGAAAATATTCAGTAACGAAGGAAGCATTATAACATATTTATCACGCCTTTGCTTTGAAGATGTGTGAATCTATGGTTCTAATGACATGGGAATGCCTCTGTAACTGCCTTCAAAACCACATAATCAAAAGAAAGACATAGAAAGTAGGATTTTAGGTTTAAAAGAAGAGATTTACCTGTTCTGGACCAAAAGAAGTCAAGACAACAGAATTTCCCTGATGAAACAAGATACTCAAGTTACACAGCCCATCAGTGAAGGTACACTTGTAGTAAGCTTCAGTTGTATCGTAAATGAAAGCCCTGATTGTGAGGTTTAATTCCACCTGACACTGTTAAAATCAACATAATTTTTATGTGAAAAAGATGAATAAACCAAATAAGACGAGGACAGGGGCATGGCATCTGATAGAAACGGGTTTAGTGAAATGTGATGGAATGATAGGCTCTGTTGTCACCTAAAGCCCTTCAAATCTGACTTGGCAGGTTCAGAGTTTCTTGGAACTAATATTTTGAAGTCATACATTAATATAATTGTTAGCAAAAAGGATCCATTGCAATTACTTAGCCCATCTAATATTCATATATAACTTTTAAAATAATAATTTGAGACAACCAACATTAATATTCTCATGTTTCAAGTCCTCGTTATTAAAGAACACACTACAATGATTACTTTTATCATACAAATATCAATCCATATTATAGTTTCCTATACTTCTATAACCGCAGCCTTGCAGAAATAAACATCCCCATCCCAAAGTTTTATTCGAAATTGCAGCACATGTGACATTTCCTACCACTTTATAAGGTAGCATGCTTTAATGGAAGCCCTCCCTTAGTAAGTTGATAATATTCTTCAATCATATGTTAATACCAATTCTGACAAACTAAAAGGGACAAGCAACATGAAATGTTTCTATTTCTGAAGACGGCAAAAGAAGATAATTAAGATCTTGATATCTCAAATATTTTGGCAGCACTTGAGTAAATGAACCAAATTAACAAGCTGAGATAGGTATTCAAATTTTCACAATTACCTTCACATCCCCTGAGTTCAAATTACCCAATGCAATATAGTAACTTGAAGATCTATAAATGTCCTGCTCAATCATGTCACTCCCTACCAAACAATTAAAATCCAAGTCAGTATAAAAAATTTTTTATGGCAAGAACATTCATAGTTTTGCAGTTCCATATCATCATAAACAATGTTCCACGATAGAGTGGTGTTAGGATATGTTGGGTTCTCAAGCCATTGAGAAAGGCCCTCACTCCCTGCAATGCGACCAAATAACTTGAAGCATTAAATTCCCTAGATTCTAGCACTTAATCTACACCATTTCCACACACACTTTCTGGAGATAATTCCTTTGGAAACACTTTTTGAAAAGCTTGTACTGTTTTAGTATACCTGGAGAGCAATTATAAGGAAAACAGAGGAGCCTGCTGAGTTCACATTATATGAAATCTTAACTTGAGAGCCCCTGTTCAGATAATGAATCCACTCCTGGACAACATCAGAAAAATGGAACTCAAAAACATATTTAGAACCAAAACCAAATGCCTCAAGTGAAAAACAAAACAAAATCAAACTTGCCTTGTGAGAATCAACTTGAACAGTGGCGGTATAAGTTTCAGACCAGGTAGTCACCACATCAAGAGATGGAGATTTATGGAATCCATATAGTTTGAGCCCTGGCTTGTTGTCATCTATCTCCTCTACCCAATACAATGCCAAATAAGCTATAAAGCCAAAAAACACCCTCCCTCTAAAGAAAAGCTAAAATGAATAAAAAATTTAGAAAAAGAAAATAAACGGCAAATTACCTTTACACTCTGAACAAAAATAGGATTCGGTTGAATAAGAAGGGAACAATTTGGACCGAGTCGTATATCCACCACCCCATAAGCCCCCAAAATCAAAGTCGTCGAAACTGTTCCATCCAAAAGTTTAGGCTAAAAAAGGATTCACCATCAAGATTAAAGCTTTACTTTTGAAACAGTAATAATTGTAAAGAGCGAGAGATTCACGAGAAAGGTAAAGAGAAAAAAGGAAAAAGATATGAACCGAATCACCAAAAAGTGATAACCGCGATGGTGCAAGACCAAGTGTCAGCTCTAATCACAATGGATGAATCATCGAAAGTAGATAAGTTTCCTCTATAAGAAACAAGGCCGTCAATGTGCTGATTCTCTACCTCTGGATTATGAAAATGACGCTCCTGCGGATACTCGTGATCTTGCTCCTCCGCTTCCTCGTGAACCTGAGAAGAAGATCCCAAGACGACGCTGCAGCGCCTGAATCCTCCCTGTAAGACGAAGATGAAGAGGAGGAAGCGGAAGGTGAACTCCGAGTTGGCTCAGCCATTCTAAATTGGAAGATTTGAAAAAAAAATGTGGTTAAAATTATGAGAAATTGAAAAGGAAACCCTAACGCTAGGGATTAAAGAAATGCTACCTCAGCCTTGGAGAATTGGGGAGAAGAGCCCATGAATGAGAGTGGAAGAATTGGAGTTTAACTGAAAGCTCACCAATCGGTCTTTCCTCTGCTTGCTATGACCGGCAGTTGTTGGAAACGGGTTTGGGCGACGGTTCTTTTCTACTAAAGGTCGTTATACGTGGACTAATATATTGCGATTTATACGTGGCGATTGATTATTGGGTGGTTGAAAGTCAAACAAAATATTGGTTAGCTGTATAACCGACAGGGCTTTTTGCTGTCAGTGGTTACCGTCCTCTGGAACCACCAGAAAAGGATATGAAATATATATATATATATATATAATTAGGAATGACGACAAATCGAGTGAGTTGCGACGTGTTTTTTTTTTTTCTTTTTAATTCGATTTAATTTTATATTAATAATATTTGAAATTGATTGATTCAATTTTTTAAATTATTTTATATTCAAATTTGATAGTATATGATATTATATAAAATTATATTCTGATTATATTTGAAATTAAAAAAATATTATTTTTAATATAAATTTAAATAAATATTAAAAATATAAAATTAAATAAATAATTAAAAATAATTTTTTATAAATATATATTGAGTCTTGAAACCTGCTCCTAAACTTTTTTTATTGTTAACTTACTCTAAAATTTTTTTATTGTTATCTAACTTAAAATCTAATTAAAAAATCATAAATAATTAAATTTGATAGAAATCTATCAATTATGGATAAATTTGCCATTCTTATATACAATTCAAGTTATATTAGGGTGATCGAAGTTTTGCTACGCCATCTTTAATAAGCAATGGCTATTTATTTGTTATATTTGAAGCAATAATCATAATAATACAAAAGTAATCAATAATAATCAATAATAAAAAATATAAAAAAATAAATATAATAAGATTTACTTAAAAAACCTTTCAAAAAATACGGACCATCAGAAAAATCTTCACTATCAAATAATAGGTATATAAAATTTTTCTCTAGTTAAAATTAGAGCTAATCAATAACTAAATAAATAATTAAAAAAATCTCATCAAATAAGTGACTCAACAAATACATCCGGATTTATTCTTAAAGAGCTTCAAATCCGATCTTCAACGTTCAAAATGTAAAACTCTGAATCATAAACCTTCTGATAAAATTTTAACTCAATCGGATCACGAATCGACTTTCGTTCAACTAATTCTCCCTTCTCTTTTTTCTCTTTGCTTTTTTTTACTTTTCTTTTTTTTACTTGATTTTCAACACCCCTTAAAATAATTACATCTCTTTTTTTATTAAGTAACTATAATTCTGTGTAAAATAAAAAATCAAGGTCATGACCTTTTCTTTATCCAAAATTACTTACATGGGCTAGACCCATTTTCCTAACATTATTTGCATTTATCCTACTTGAAAACCAAGAAAAAAATCGTATTGGTTAATTATGATGAAAATATAAGCTTGATAGTAGAACTTACATGCATGTATTAAATATGTAGTATATGACACTACTCAGGTACTCTTCCTATCATAGCTTGCCTCTCTTCCGGTGCATGTCTAGCCCAATTACCCTGATATTTCTTCCATTTCAAATCACGTTGGGTAGGGTTTGACAAAAAAACTCATCGGGTTATTAATACAATTTTAATTTAAATTAAAATTGATTTGAATGCAAGGGAAAGTTCAATCTTATTTAATCAAGGTTCATTGATGCATTGTCATTATTATGAGCTTTTCAATACTGCCTTTTAAAGTCCAATCGAACAACTATAAAAAAAAAAATTATTTTTATTTTCAATAATTAAAATTATAAAATTTAATAAATCGGTCTCATATATATAAAAATAAAAATAGAGATTTCTTTTAATATACTAATCAAAATTGACTTATCAGATTATAAATCTAAGTATAAAACTAAACTGAGATCATATTTAATAAAAATTATATTATATGTTAAAATATATTACAAAATAATATCACTATAATTATTCATAATTTAACATTAATTAATGTAATAACTCACAACACGATATAAGTTCACATATTGTGCTATTTTGCAAGGAAAGCCAATGTTCAAGGCTCAAGTAAGAACACAAAAGCTCTTAAGTATATCCAATGGAACAACTTGACTATTAAAGTTTAAGGTTTTATGCTTAAAGATTTGGGTTGAAATTTTAAATAGACGATATAGAAAAATTATTTCTTAATTGTATAATCTAATGTTACGTATATAAAAAATAAACCACATATATAAAAGTATAATTAGCGATTTGATAGTAAAAATAACAAGATATCCGAAAAACAAACTCTTAAGTGCTAAGTGAAAAATATAAATAAATAAAACATTTGTTGCTTACATTTTTTTAGAATTGTTTGCATAAATCATTTTCAATCTTAAGGACCGAAAAGGAATTATCTCCACTCTCTATAGCAATTGAAGGGAGTAATATAATCATGAAAAAAAAAACTCGTGAAAATAATTAAAAATTAAAGAATTTCTTAATTGGATGTAATGACATTAGACCTAACTTCTACTATCTATAACAATTGAAGGGAATAATACAATCACGAAAAAAAATAATGAAAAAAATAAAGAATAAAAGAATTTTTTTATCAGATGTAATGACATTAGATCTAACAAATTAAAATATAATACATAATATAATATAAAAATTGATATGAAACAATATATAAAAATAATATAATTTAAAATTTTAACGAAAATTATATATATGTTTAACAAAAATAAAAATATATTTTATGTCAATATAAATTATGATATATTATTTTTGTATAAAATATAATATAAATATATAAATATTTGATATATCATAAATATATAAATTATCAAATTTATACTACACATCATATAAAAAATTCTTAATTTTACTAACATATTTATTATTTTTGTTGAAAAAAAAACAAAAAAAAAATTCCCTATTTTAGAGTTAGAACCATAAATAAATTAAAAAAAGAAAACAGATGTAGTTTTAAATTTCAAATTGCCTTAAAGTTTAAACCCCAAAAAAAAAAAAGGCTTCTGCTTGCTTTGGACAGGCTGGTTCGATGATTGTCACGGGGGTATAACATGATTTTACATTAAACCCCATCCCCATATATCGTCCTGGTTTATTTCATCCCGCTATTAATTAATTGGTTAAGGACAAAAATGTCATTAAATTCCAACACATAAAATCTACCTCAAAATTCAACAAGCGACCTCACCGGAGCCCAACCTCCCCTTTTCCTTTTCAAAAAACACACGGAAGAAAGCTGAGATCTACAAAAATCCCAATTAAAATTCGATAATTTCTTAAGCTCGTTCTAGATCTCTCGATATCGATTCGATTCGAATCAAGAGCAAAAATCGATGGGCGATTTTAACCTCGCTCTGGTAATCGTCGCCATAGTCATATGTGTCCTAGTGTTCCTCTTCAATGTCTACCTCCTCGTCAATTACCAGCACCCAGACGACGCTAACCAAGCATATTTCCCCAAATTCGTCGTCGTTTTGGGACTCTCCATCTCCGTCATTTCCATACTCATGTTACCGGCTGATGTCGCCAATCGGCAGGCGTGTAGGCACGCGATATACAATGGTGCATGTAGTCTCACCTTGCCTATGAAAGATCTCTGGCTCGCTGTTTATATCATCGATGCCGTGCTCGTTTTCTTCGTAATCCCCTTCGCCATGTTCTACTACGAAGGAGACCAGGATAAGTATGTGTTTCTAGTACTTTGATTGTTAAAAGCCATTGATTATATGGATGCATTCCTCAAATTTTTATTTTATTTTATCCTTTTGGTTTTGTTTGCAGGAGTGTTGGCAAACGGATAAAGAGCGCGTTGCTGTGGGTGGTGACGACGGCGATTGTTTGTGCTCTCCTGCTTGGCATTCTATACGGTTGTTTTTCTTAACCTTTTATAATCTTAATTTCATTAGCATTTTCTCTTTAATCAGTAAGTGTTTTTTCATGCCATGGAAGTATTGAGCTGAATGTTAATTTAGGAATAGGAGGACTATGATATTGATTACTGGAAAATTCAGTTAATATTTTCAGTACAAAGTTTGATTGAAGGTGCTATTACAATTAGAAGATTTTAGCAAATGTTTTAGATAGACAGGCATGCTAGAACTGATACTTGATTTGAGCGGATAACTAAGCAATTCCTTTTTGCATTTGTTGAATGTGAGTGTTTGTGTATTTTCTGGTTTTATTATAGTAGGCATACCATTGATTTTATCCTTTTTGATGGTATATCAGGGCTAGTTGGAAAGGTGGATTTTACTGTTAGGCACCTGTCTTCTGCCACTACTAATTTCCCAAGTAATTGGGATTTCTCTAGCAGTCAGCCATGTATTGGTGGAAGTGGTGCACGTGCGGTTAGTAATTAATTTTCCAATTTAATATGCAATGTTATCCTTTCTGTATAGTAGACTATTGTAGTTTGCCCCATTGGTTTATCTTCTCTTTCCTTATTTTCCCTTTGGTTACAGTGCTCAGCATATACTGCAAATGCTTCATCAGAAAAAACATGGACTATGCGCACTACCTTTCCAGAATATGTTGTTGCTCTTGCTACAGTTGTTGGATCTGTTCTTTTCTCGGTATTGAATTTCTTGCTAATTTTTAATATTATATTTCTGATTGGAACTTGGATAGCAATTCTAGTTTGCAAATGTTGACTTTTTTGTTAGAACATATTACTTACATCTGGAAATTTCTTGTCAGATATTTGGTGGTGTAGGTATTGCTTGTCTGCCTCTTGGGCTTATCGCTTCATTTATCCGCCGTCCAAAGGCTGTTATCACTCGCTCACAGTATATTAAGGTGCTTCTTTTTTTTTATTATGATGCTGCCATATGAAACCAAGCACTGGAGATGGAAGATGGTATTAATATTTGTACATTGTATTGTAATTGCTCATAGTCATCGTTGTAATGGATATTGTAGGAAGCAACCGAACTTGGTAAAAAGGCAAGAGAACTGAAGAAAGCAGCTGATACACTTCATCAGGAAGAAAGAAGTGGTTCTAAGGGTAGAAAGTGGCGTAAAAATGTTAAGGCTGTGGAAAAGGTATGTGCAAAGTCCTAAATTTGCATTTTTCTTTGAATTCTATATTTTGCCCTTCTATATGATAATAATCATGCTGACAAAGATAGCTTTAGTCTTGAGTTCTAGATCCCTCTAGTTCTAATGTTATCTGTTTATTAAGTTTTCTTATTAGGCTTAAAGATCAGATTCTTTCAACAATTTGGCTTGTGTTATAATCTTTACAATTCTTAAGATTAGTTATATTTTGACCACAATATTAACTTGTGGCAGTTTCTTTAACAGTTGCTTAGTAAAGAGCTGAAGTTAATCTAGTGAGGGTATGTTTTTTAGGGGGATGATAAAATAGCTGTCCCACAGTGTTAACACATATATGCCATTGTTCATTTTTCATGGCTATTGAAATTGTTACATTTTTTTATTAACTCTGCAGGAGTTGCTTCAGCTGGAAGAAGATGTAAAGCTTTTGGAAGAGATGTACCCTCAAGGAGAAAAGGTATTTATATGACTTGCTGAACTTAGTGTACGCATGACACTTGGTTATGGCTCCCCCTCCTTTATTTTTCTGTTTTCCAGTATAAACTCCCTTGCCATGACATTTTAGGCTGAAACATCCTGGGCATTGACGGTTCTTGGATACTTGGCAAAACTTGTGTTGGGAATCCTAGGGTGAGTGTTTAATTCATGTATTTTAGTACCGGTAGATGGTATTTTATGTTCATAGCTGTATTTTTTGTCATGAATTAGCAATTGAGTTTGGATATTTTTGTGGACCCTCTGGAAGACAGTGCTTAATGCAAATAAGCATAACAGGAAATTTTAAAGCGTGAGCCTTATACATGCGCCAAATAGAAAAAATTGTTGCTATCCTTAGAATAAAGGATCACAATAAACTTGCTAAAGTCTCGTTGCATCCACTAAACTGAATAGGTTGCCCCCGCACTTACTAACAGGAGTTATCTAACTTGCAATTTGTCCTGCACTTTGCACATTTTTAGGTTGATTGTTTCAGTGGCTTGGGTTGCTCATATTGTCATATACCTTCTTATTGATCCACCACTTTCTCCCTTCCTGAATGAGGTTTTCATCAAGCTGGATGATATATGGGGTAATTCCTAAACCATTTACAAATTTACTTCTTTCTATTCTGTTGCTTTTAAAATTTATGGAGATCTATGTTTTGTATTTTGTTAGGTCTTCTGGGTACTGCAGCATTTGCATTCTTTTGCTTCTACCTTCTGCTTTCTGTGATTGCTGGTGCAATGATGCTTGGTCTGAGATTAGTTTTCATTACGATTCATCCTATGAAGTAATGGATTTTATATTAATGCTATTTTGGTTAATTTTCTATCATTGAGAAAATCACTAGCTAGCTGATATATGTTTAATGGACTTTTTTGTAGGTGGGGAGCTACTTTAATGAACTCTTTTCTGTTCAATGTGGGACTTATTCTTTTGTGCTCAATAAGGTTGGTGACTTGGCTCATTTACACAATCTTGTTTCTATGTTATCTCAAGGTGTCTGCGGTAAGAACATTGTTGAAATGTTATCTCCATATTTGTGCTTGCTGAAATTGTATTATGGAATTATATGTTGTTATTTGATGGGAACTTATTTTTAACAATTATTTGACGGGAACTTATTTTTAACAATTATTTGACGGGAATATTGTATTTGTAATTTCAGTGTCATACAATTCTGTGCCACTGCATTTGGGTACTATGCTCAAGCAACTGCCGCCCAGGAAATATTTGGCCACACATTGCAGTCTCTTCGTGGAATTAAATATTTGTACAAGTGAGTATATACTGTTTGAATCCCCGTCTTACCCTGATCGGGCATGTACGTGTTCTACTGATGTTCTATTGTCATTACAGGTATAATGTATTTCAAATTGCATTCATTGTTCTAGCGGGATTGACCTTTGTATATTACGTTGTCTTTGTAAGCTTTTAGCTATCTTCTCTTTTTTCTTTCATTCTTCTTAGTAATTGGCTGTGTGCTTCCTCGATTCCTAGGTCTGATTCTGTTCTTGTTTTGGACATTTCAGGGCTGGAGAAGAAAAAAACCTAGCGGCAGGTTCCAACTTTCCTCATAAAAATGTTTTCCCTAGAAGATGAAGCACCCTCTCGAGTAATCAGAATTCTCTGTTTTAGCATCCCAATTGAAAGTGTGTTTCATATGCTCGGATGCCTACAGCCTGGTTTTGTCGTAATGTGGAAGGTTTATAGAGATAGGCAAATTTCATCGGAGTTCAATTTGGTTGCCTGAAGTAGTAGCATGACGATTGCTGCTACTGCTTTTCTTTGTGCTTGCTTTCCTCGCCTTTTGTATGTATTACTATTTTTTTTTTTTTTGGTTTGATTGATGTTAACACATTTGGCTTGGGCATGTAATTGAGGTATCCTTGAAGGTTTACACATGGAAACTGGGTTTGTAGAACTTGTTTTGATGTTATGGAACCTCTAGAGAACAGAAAATACAATGAACAAAATTTATGCTTTTGTTGAAATCTCTGTTTAAATTTCATAGAAAATTTAAGGCTTGTTGTATCCAAAAAATATTTCAATACTTAAATATTGTGTATCCATCTTCATTTTTAGCTTCTGTTATCAATTTCTCATTTGAATGTCTTCTAGGTTCTTTGTCCCTTGTATAGTCCTGGCAATGGCAGCTGTAAGGTATCATTTTATTCCGAGTCAACCAGAAACATGTAAATGCTCTTGTTTGGGTGCCTTCGACCTGGGTTGCTGAATTACATTTGTAGTCGTTATCTACTCCTTTTTCTTTTAGGAGGCAAAAATAGACCTCCTTATTTACATGCAATGTTAGCATGGAGGAAGGCCACTTTGTTATGAGATGGTTCTAACAAGTCAACATGTGCCATAATAAAGAAATGAAAGGCCTACTTATTAGGATTAGGACTATTCCCATTGCAGACTTCATGAAAATTCAAGCTCTGAAAATGTTAATATTGCTCTTCCCGTCTGGACTGACTTGATCAAAGAATGAATCCTCGAATTCAGTTGGTAATGACGTCCAGCATAAACTTGGTTTCCACTCTGCCTCTCTCAGGGCTTTCAAGATTTCTTTAGCAACTAACTTGCTTCCCTCGGAGGAGAGATGGATGCCATCCCTGCACAAGAAGAATCATAGACATCATTCCAAGTTGCCAAGGCTTCTTTTCTTTCTTCAAATTAAGAAAAAAAAAAAAACAGTTGAAGAGTTTCACGATATGGAGGAACAACATTTCTATGAGCTTTGCATTTCATTGGAATCATTAAAAACACAGAATGAAATCTCTTCATCTTAAAACAGTTCTATCGGTAAAAAGCTAGAGAGAAAAAAAAATTATATATTTTCAATGATATGAAAGCAAACTTACGTAAAGCAAGCTGTTCTCCAATCATCTCTTTGCTGGAGTGCGGTCCAAAGATCAATACCATTTACATCCAGTTCTTCACATAGTTTTAAACAAGCTTCAGAATAAATCCGGCAGGCTTCATTGGTTCGACCCTGAACACCAATGGTTTGAAATATTTGCTCCTCATTCACTGGAGGAGCACTAAGAAACATTACGCGAGTCTTGTCTGATAGGCCCTGAAGATAAAAAATAAGCAAAGCATCACAATATGTACTAATTAAGAGCATATATAGGGAGAGAATCGTGTATTAATGTACCATATAGTGCTTGAAGGTGGTTCAGTGACACAGCGCTCATGGTTTATACCAGATAATTTAATGTCAATCTTCAGGCATTTATACCAGATTGTCGAGTTCTACTTAATTATAGTATGGTGAAATAGTAATGTACCTTGAGATGTAGAGCAATCTTCTTCATGTTGTCAATATACTCTGGAAGAGGTACATGAGGGCCAAGGCCAGATGGGTGGGGTTCCACTGAATCATTGCCTCCGAAATAGACTATCACCAACGAAGGTTGTACAACAGCATCCTTCATATCATTGAAAAATAAGAACAGCTGATAATTAAGCAACTGTATAATTTATGGCTTTGAGAACAAAGATCAAAGAACAGGTATGAAGTAAGCCATAAAACATATTATACCTTTGGAAACACTTGATGTAGAACCTTTAAAGCACGCCTTGAGTTCCAGCCAGAGTATCCTCGTACTACTATGTCTGCCTATGTCCAATTACAGATAAATTTAGTTTTAACACTGATGTTTTTTAAGAATGGACCATACAATATAAAGCCCTTACTTATAGAAACTAACCTTGGCACAAGTCACAGATCTCCATTCTTTTAGGTTCATCCAAACATATCATATCACTATGATTAAAATATATTGATATTCATGGCATGAAAATGAGAAGGAAATGTTACTCTTTCCACTTTAATAACAGAAATCATTATTGCTGTTATCTTCATTTTAATGTGAAACATTTTTACATACAAAATAATGGTTTTTTTTCCCTGAACAGGTGTAGACAATCAAAAGCTTAGAAATTGACATAAAAAAGCAAAAACCATTTTGGCTAGCTTGCCTTATCTCTTTAATTTTTTTTCCAGAAAGGCAAAAAAAAAAAAAAAGGTATTATGTCATTCTCATTTGCTTACAAGTGGATAAAGGTTTCATCCTCAACTTTCTATCCATAGACAAGATTGTCAAGGTGGTTCTATCAGCTTTTCTTTTCAAATAACAATCTATATCTATTGAGCTAATAGTGCTCTTATTTTCATTAGCAATAATTGCAAAATATGGAAAGCTAGGGTGGGTAAGAGCATGTTGACTCCCTCAGCAAAAACAAAACCAAAACCAAAACACCAAATCTACAACTTTTTAAGATGATACGAATTATGGGTATCAATGAAATCACTCTCAAATCTCATTTATACTAATATTAACCCCAGAAAAAGATAAATGCAATATCAAAGAAGAAAAAAAAAACAGAGATATATACCTTGCGAGCATATATATCAGCAAGAGTTGCACCCCACCCTTCGTTGCTAAAACTGAACTGAACGATGGAAGATCCAAAAAGAACGAAGAGAGGTCTGCCTGGACCAACCATGCTTGATCTTATAAACCTTTTAAGGTTTTTCCTTGCTGCGGTTGGTTTAACACTTTATTGATCACTTCTACTTTGAATGGCTGAATCTTCTTTGGATGGTTCAGAGTTTTTCTAATGAATGATTCCAAAACAGAAATATAGTAAGTCGCTTTTGTCCTTTTCTATCCCACTCATATTCCCATTTACGCGCCTTGCTCGCGTGATTCTTATTCGCTTTCACACAAACCCGAGCTTATTGGGTTAACACCTAACCTCTCAGCTAAACTAAGCCACTAATCTTTTGGGTACATCACTACCCTATTGGCCCAAATAAATCACCCCAAAACTGTGCTTTTGGGCTGATACTTGTCCTGTCTGCCTAAAAGCTAGTCTTTTTTGGTCTGAATGACCGTCTGCAATGGCCCAAATAAACCTTGTAAGAAAAAAAAGGCCTTGAAAATCTGAGTTACAAACTACTACTATTACTACGTCCTTTATAGCTTTTGCATTTGCACTAGAGCCCTCTAATGTATTTTTTCCTAGAATCATTTATAAGTCTTCCATTTCATATCAGTTGCACTTCTGCATGCTTCTGTTTCCTGTCATTTCCATTTCCAATCCAAATGCTGAACTATTCCTCAATTTTCGTTTGCAGCATGTATTTTTGGCATGCCAAATTCTAGACTTTAAGCATTTAACAGCAAGACCATTGCTTTCCAGTCAAACAGGTGCCTAATTAATTGGTTGAATATCTAATTCTAACTTAACTTGATCATCTGAACTAAAGCTTGAATTCAAAAATATAGCTTTTCAACGTCAATTCTTGAAGTTGAAAAATCCGGAAGCTATGCAACCAAAAACAGTGGCGAGACATATCTGCTGGTTTTTGTCTTGACTTTATCAACAGATCTAAAGGAAAGTTCCTGGAAACTGCATGCCGTTATGCGTCCCTATCATTGACGTATATATATGTACATCATTTCTGCTGAAAATTATTTCAAATGTTAGTATCAAGAAGACCAACATCACTAGTTTGGGTGCACAAATAGTTCTCCACTCTTGAAAGGGAATAAAGGGCAAATAAATGAAATAATTCATGACATTGACATCTTATAAAGTTTGAAAATCTAGCAAGAGCCTCGTTTTTTTGTAAACTATTATGGACTAGCTGATGCCCCATATATGATTTGGATGAAACAAGCTATACATTTTTTAGACGTCATATAGGAAACTTCCCGGAAGCTGTCCAGGGCTCTATACACATGCTTACAAGGCAGATCATTGGGTAGGAAATAACTCTAATGTAAGGGAGGAAATTGAAATATGCAAACAACAGATGTTTTATTTTGCTTGGATTTATTGATCAGGGGTGCCATTATAGAAATGGACATGGACCTGCCGAATGCTAACCAGCATTGGCAAATATTGATTAGGTCAACAATATTTCATGCTTTTCCTTCCTGATTTCCTGGCTCCACCCCATCCTGAATTTTTGACCTACAACAAATTAACTGATGTTTTCAGCAAAATCCGCAGATCAAATTGATAATGAATTTTGGTTATTCTCCAGACATTGCTTTTTTTTTTTTTTCATTTCTGACCAAAGTGAATGTAATAAAAGGACTGCTCAACTGTTTGAAAGATATATAATAAAACGCAAATCCTTCAGAAGCTAAAGGAAAAATAAGGACTCCTATCAAAAAAGAAGTGAAAAATGAAGGAAATTAAAGAAATGAATGAAGAAAACAGGATACCTAGCTAGCTCGCCAAGGTTAGCAGTCTTCCACATGGAGAGCTTAGCTGTGGGTGCTTCAATGGCCACAAGAATATTCCCAAAACTAATCTGTAAAAATAAACCTTCCTGTAAATGTAGCGTTTGACTCGTTTAGCCAAATCTGAACCAGACAGCTAATCTCGCACGTAGTTGACTTTAGCTCCACTTACTATCTTCTATGGCACTCCAAAAATGATTTTCCAGCAAATGTAGGAAAATATTACTACGTACTATACCTACCTTTGCCCACCAAACTTTATAAAAGAAAGAATAATAAAAAACACTCAAAATGATTAGTATAAACCATCAAAAACTAATAATTTCATTCATTATATATATATATATATATATATATATATATATGATTGTAAGTTTTTTACCTTTAGAGCAATCAAAATATCTCTACCAATCGAAAGCATCGTCTCCGAGAGCATTATTCTTCAGAGTAAAACACTTCAAAACTTGAGATTGAAAAACTTCATGATAAGTTCTACAATTTGAACTGCAAAATTTATAGGTTCTGGAAAGGCTTTAATTCTTAACACTTTAACGGGGAAACTTCTTTTGGCCTTCCCTAATTTGACTTTTTGCTGAAGCAAAAGTAGATATATGCCTCTAGTTATAAGGAATTTTGGCGTTAGCCATGTTTGGAGATGACACTTGTAAAGTGCATATTTGCCTTTGCCTTCCCACCTAATTTAAAAGCCAAACTATGATAAAAAAATTTGCGAGAACTAGAAGTTTCGTGGAAGGTTCCTTCGCCATATCAGTACAGGACAGTACGTCCTGATCTTCTCTACTCCTTGGGATAATGATGGTTTCCGACTTTGCTTTCTCTTGCTCAAAATCCATGCAAAAACTTTTAATGATGGTCACACATCCCAAACAAGGAAAAACGACATTTAAAGCTTATGAAAAAAACGTAGAAGCCATAGAAAACTCAACTCAAAGTTGATGTTTACGTATATCATCTAAGACAGCGACATTTTGATACTATGCTAAGGCACAAATTATACATATAGTCACAGCCAGAGAAAAATCTTTTGTTAGTGCTATCAATGAACGCATTCAGGGAAGTGCAATTCTGTTTGTGTATGATATATAGCAGGGTGTAAGTAATGTCTAATTCTATTGTTTCCCATAAATTACAGGATTCAACTTCATTAATATAAATTTGATTAATCCTTTTTATTTTGATAGTTGAATCTTACATTTTTAAGTATTTTTTTTATTCGAGAAAATAAAAAATTTAAACTTAACTCTTCAAGTAAAAAAAATTCATGCATGTATCATTAAATTAAATGACCGTAACAAAAATTTATATCTTATAATATATTAAGTGTTGAACATTAATTCATTGATGTATATATATTCTAGTTATGAAACTAGCTCGTTGAGCATATTCATGGGTATTGGAATTGTTTGGGACCTATAATAAACTGTTAGTCGAATTAAAGAGAAATTAGGCAAAGAAAATTAGATCAAAAAGAGTTTTTTTTTTTTTTTTGGCTAAGATAAAAAAGAGTTGTTTATACAAACAAAATTAGAAGAAATTAAATAATTGAAGAAGAAGCAAAATACAATACAATTCAAATACATAAATTTCTTTTAAATAATCATGTATTTCCTGTCATCCAAAACAAAACAATAATATAAAGTTCCGGTTTAATTTTTCAAAACGTACGGGCAAAAAAGTAAGACAGGATATGGACCCTCTAAACCAATAGCCATGAACAAAATAGAAATATAAATTCCCTGTATATTTTTTCAAGGCGTATGGGCAAAATTCAATGATGAAAATGACCTTCTGAACCAATCAGCCATGAACCAGACTATACAAAAATCATATATAAATATAGTACGAAACATATATGTCCCAATCATGAAATTAAAACATTCTTTTATATGATTTTCCCAAAATTAGAGAATTATTAAATTTTAATCGACGTATGAATGAAGTATTAGTTCGGATATTATATATGTTAATTACTTAAATTTTTAGAAATTATGGATTTGTGAGGATTTAGATGCAGAATGTTTTTTTTAGATGAATTAGGTAATTGAAGGTTTAAAGTAAATTAAAATTTTTTAAAAAAATCCTAACTTGCCTTACACTAAAGCCCCCAATTTTGTTTATATGAAGAAGCTTCTGGGAAGCTGCAATTTCTCTAATAATTATTTGATACTTACCATATTTTCAAACCACCACCAGTTTCGTGTTTATAACAGTGTGTATCTTATTCTCAAACTCATCGAGATAGATTTTGATCCTTTATTTTTGTTTTTCACGGTCCTCAATTTTTGTACTGTCTTAGAATTAAGAAATATATGTGTGAGTGTGGCAAAGAAAAGATGGCCTCCTTGCAAGAACCATGGCTATTGGAGAACGGAAACTTGAAAGGTTCCAGCAAGGAGATTCGCCATGGCAGGACTGCACACAACATGTCGTCCTCCTCATTGCGGAAAAAGTCGGACCTGACGCTTGTTTCCAAAGTTCGATATGGAAGGCTTAGGCAGTTCCTCACCAATATTCAAGAGGTCATTCTAGGGACTAAACTCTCGGTTCTCTTTCCGGCTATTCCACTGGCGGTTGTTGCTGAGTGCCATGGGTTTGGAAGAGTGAGTTTCTTCTTTTCTTTGCTTTTTTCATTGTTTTGTAAACATTGGCTTTTAGGGTTTTTGATAAAACATTGATTGCTGCCTGTGGTACTGAAGAAGAATATTGATCATTGACTCTGAATTGGATTAAATTTAATTTGACTTTATTTCCCTATATATCAAACGTTTTATCTTTGAAAAATTCAACGCCTGCCAAATGCAAATATTATATCAATCAATTAATGATTGATGTCTTCAACATCTAATTTAATGTCCACTTTGCTGTTTCTGAATTGTAGTTAGTACTAACATTTATGATTTTCCTGTAAAATAACGGCCCTGGGTTTTTGCATTAAGTTTACTTGGACTTATACCATTAGCTGAACGAGTCAGCTTTCTCACCGAGTAAGGCAGATTTATATTTGTGCTTGATCGTCAATATCTAGAATTGAATTTGACAAATAATTCCTCTTTTTTCATGTTCTTTCCTTTCTGTGTTACTTGCAGGCAAATTGCTTGTTACACAAGTCCAGCAGGTAATTGATAAAACTCGTATACTATACTTATTACAAGGTCACATCGGTCGTATCAGCTTTATTTTTCTCTAGGATTCCGAACCTTGCTACTATATTTCTACCTCAAAAACTACCAGGGAATCCCAAGTGTTTTGGAAGAAACCAGAAACGTAGGAAACACTAGTCAATCCTGTTCCTCATCTTCCACGCATGCGTGAGTGGTTTCTTCGATACCTTGTCAGATAATAACTCTTTCAACTTCATAAGAAGTACAAATTTTCTCCCTCATATTTCTGTCTTTTACTTAAGGTATCTTTACCAGATAAGCAGAAAAGATTCTTTAGCGTATCATAATTGTGTTTTATAATTAAACCCTTAAATGACATTTGGGGTAGTGGAAAACTCTCATATCGCACTGCTGGAAGAGCTTTAATGGTGATTAATCTTGAGATGATTCACGAAGAAAAAGACTCTATTATATTTTGTGTAACATCACGCTATTATTATAATCTCTTGACTTTATTGTGTTGAACTTTGGCTATATATATTAGATGAGTGGTACCTTTAAAATAACATCAGAATTTTACTACTTGTATGAAGTTTATGAAAGGGCTTTTCAATCATGGAATTAATTATTCTGTGGATTATATTTTAATCTTCTTGCAGTGGGAGGGCTGTTGAATGCAACCTGTGGCAATGCTACAGAGCTGATCATAGCAATTTTTGCACTAAGCCAATATAAAATAGAGTTGGTCAAGTATTCCCTGCTGGGTTCTATCCTATCAAACCTGCTTTTGGTTCTTGGAACCTCTCTCTTCTGCGGCGGTATTGCCAACCTGAGAAAGGAACAAAAATATGATAGAGTAAGTTTCTTGTCAAATGTTACATGCAATATATATTATCACACATAAATCAAGCTTACACCACTGAAACGTTATTTTATTACAAAGTGAGATTTATTTATAGTCATTTTTTTAGGGTTTAAGGTTAAAAAACTGTACTTGATTTGATAGAGACAAGCCGATGTGAACTCCCTCCTTCTGCTGCTTGGGTTATTGTGCCATTCGCTGCCATTGTTGTTTCGAATGACTGGGGAATTCACTGCTGTCACCGCCGACCCAACACTGCAGTTGTCGAGAGCAAGCAGCATTGTCATGTTGATTGCGTACCTTTCATACCTGATCTTCCAATTACTCACACATCGGCAATTGTTTGAAGCTCAGGAGGTAGTTCATCAATGTTAATCTTAGCTTCTAACTAAAAGCCAGCTTCTACAATTTTTGGTGAACTGGAAAGGAATGAAAGTGATCATTCTGAACTATAGCTGATAAGTCCTCCATGGTGCAATTGATCAGGAATCAGAAGATGACGAAGATGGACTATCAGAAGAAGCACCAGTAATTGGATTTTGGAGTGGACTTATCTGGCTAGTTGGAATGACTGCTGCCATCTCTTTGCTGTCTGAATATGTTGTAGAAACAATTGAGGTAATTAATTTACCTCATTTTCATTGTGGGGTTTACTATAAATCTTCAGCATTAGTTTTTTCTACCTACTCTTACTGATCATCCGTAAGTGATGCTGAATCCTATCCAGACCCTTGAGAGTAAGGTATTAATTTCTTTATACTTAGCCACATATATAGCTAGTATACCAACTTCAATTCAAGTTACCAACCATGAATTATGCTAAGGTACCATAAGCAGTACGTAACGGACAAGAGAAGGGTCGAGCCCTATTCTTTTCCAAATTCTCTTTGGTTGATTATCTATCACTTATGGTTATTTTCTTTAATGTAAAATCAACTGAACTATCACAAACTATAAATTTCAGGATGTCTCGGGTTCTTGGGGAATTTCTGTTAGCTTCATCAGCATTATTCTGCTACCTATTGTCGGAAATGCACCAGAACATGCAGGAGCAATCATTTTTGCTTTTAAAAACAAGCTGGTGAGTAATATATAGCCTTTAGTTTGACAAGCAGCAGCTGTTTTATCAATGTAGCAAATATGTTGACAGAATCACTAATGAAATTTTGTAATAAAACTAAATGCAGGATATTTCTTTGGGCGTTGCATTAGGATCCGCAACTCAAGTTTCCATGTTTGTGGTACGAACTTGTATAACAATTCAAGCTTTCAGTGGCTTTTATCCAGAGAAGAGCATGCAGTAGTCTTTTAAAATTTTGGAACTTCTGATTTTAAAGACTAACATTTCAATGTGACTCAGGTCCCACTCTCCGTGATTGTGGCTTGGATTATGGGTATTAAGATGGATCTTAATTTCAGTCTCCTCGAAACTGGCTCTCTCGCTCTATCAACTGTTGCCATTGCCTTCACTTTACAAGTAATTATCACTATCTTCATTTCCCAATCACGCAAATAACAATTTTATTTCTTGGGTTAATTATATATTAACCATGTTGAGCCAAAATCTTGTAGGATGGTACTTCTCACTACATGAAAGGACTGATTCTTCTACTGCTCTACATTGTTATTGGAACTTGCTTTTTTGTATCCACAACACCTCCAAGTAAGGATTCTCATAGTCACTGATTCAGAAATATTCATCACTCACTATTTCTTCTAACGATTTTCCCCATTTTCACCTCAGACCAAGTAAACATCACAAACTCGGGAACTAAAATAACCATTGACACAATCTTCGGAACTTGATTATAAGTAAGTGCAGTGTTTAAACAGCTTGAGAGCAGATCGAGTCTCTAATTATATATTATAAATCGCACTAAAGATTAACTGGCTATAAACTGTTAATGAATGCAGGCTTTGCCGTCTTGGGGTCACTTTGTTTATACACATATTTTTGGAACTTCAACAGAGATTTCACGCATTTGTCATTCGTTTATTATGGAATGGGCCTGCCCAAAAGCTAACAATTCGCAGTCACTCCGCCGCATAGATGTTGCCATGCCTTCAAAATTCAAAGCTGAGATGGATACTACATATAAATATATGGTTTACATTGGTATATATACCATTGAAACTTGATGAAGACAGGCTACAGTATACAACACAGCGTTCTGTCACTGGTTTTTTTGCTTTGTTTACGCCGAGCATAGTAGTGGCAAATGAGGTAACTCAGGCGTTGGTTTCCCTCAAACAGGCGTTGGCATCTGTAAACATGGTTCAACACTAGGAAGTCATATTGTGTTAAAAAACATCACTACTATTTGTTACTGTCATTATATTTGTATATCTCTTTACCGTGATTTTGCATTCTCTAATGCTATAATTTAAGGTGTGTTAGATTCCCAACCATGTAAATTTCTGTAGCTGGTAGGATTTCATCAGGTCAGAAATGAAAGTTCCTATACTTGCTTGTTGCTGCTATGTTCTATAGTATCTTTTAAAATACTCTTTTTCAACATCATGTTAGTGTCTATGGGCCATCATCTACATGCTTCTGGATGTGACATGCCTTAAGTTGGTTTTAATTTGACTTAATCCAAATTTGTAGATGCTTGCAGCCCCTCTTGGATATTGCATTGTTGTGCCAATGCTCTTGTAGTTGCGTGTTGAATTTTGATGAGGAAAGCAGGATCTTGCAGTGCTATAACTGAGTGTTTGGACCGTTACGAGAAAAAAATGAACGAAGATGTTTGGATGAATGTATGATAAGAGTAAAAAAGATAAAATTAAAAATTAAAAAATTTGAAAATAATTAAGATTAATCCAACTTGAGGAGAAAATGAGAAAGTATAGTTTGAGATTATTTGGATATATAAAACATAGATTTAGCTATGCATCGGTTAGGAGAATTGATTTTCTAGATTTATGAGAAATTAAAATTTTTAAAAATAAATCACGAAAAATATTAATTTAAATAACAAAAAATAATATGATAATTAAAAAATTAATTAAAAAGTTATTATTGATAAAAATGAATAACACAAAAAAATTCAAACTATAATATAATATAATTATCTTATTTGATTTTTTATACAATCGATCTCAAAATATAAAATATAAGGCTTAATGAGTTATTGTAAAGCGGGATCTTGCAGCTCTACCATGCCTCTGCACAGTAAGGTTTCATTTGAGCTCAACTCGGGTAAAGAGCAACCTCACTTCCACAAAAAGAGTTCAATCCCTTTGACGTTAAATTAAAAGTAAAGTCTTTGATTTTACTTGGTCATTATCCACACAGTGATTTTGATATGTTGCTGGTGACTTTACTTGAAACGCTATCTCTGTTTGGTGTCATCCTTAACTATAGGTTGACATGTCCCTTTCAGACAAAAATATGACGTTTAAACCCAAAACTCCCATTGTTTTGTAACGATTGGGCTAAATTTAAGCTGTTAAAACAACAAAATGAATGATTAATCTTAAAATGAAAATTGACTCTTTGAAGCTATTGACGTTTGGGATTAGTGTTAGCACCTAATTAAATATATATTTGTCGCCACAATAGCTTTAGCTTGCATTTTGAGCTAAACTTTATTCTCCTGTCTTCAGTATCAAGGAAGAAAAAGTGGGAGGCAAAAACATGGACATTCTTTTTCTATATATTTGCTGTTTTTCTTTTTTTTTTTTTTAAATAACGATTCATATTATTCATATTTTTTATTATATATTATAATTAATTATAATTATAATTTTCAATTTTTTAATAAATTTATATAATATTAAATAATAATTAACTAATTTTATTACAATAATTATAGATAGTATATGCTCGCCACGTGTCATCTTCGGCCTCCCGCCGACACCGCCTCCTGCCCTTGGTTTCGTTATCTCCTCTTCTATTCATCAAACAGTACTATTTCTACTAAGAACTAACACATCACCGATTACGCACGCATTCCTTCGTACACCCACCCAAACTAACCAGCGTAGATTGGTCTGTGACGAGAACCGGGTCACCGGGAAAAAAGGAAGGAAAATATCAAGAGAAAACGAAGGGTAGTTCTGTAAATTTCTAAAGATAAAATAATCTTTTCAATCCTATAGCCGACTGCTGAGAGATAGAGGGAAATACTGTTACGTGTGCTCCAAGCGAAAACACGAAAGGTTTATTATTTTTTCTATTTCCCACACTCTTCAGCTTCTTCAGAATTGGAAAATGATTTTCTTATACAGAGAGAAAAAGGAATCTAAGCTTTGAACTGGGTCTGCTTTTTTATTTTTGAAAAATTAAGGAAAAAAAGGTTTTTCTTTTGGTTGGTTTGAGTTTTTTGGTTAATTGTAGATGATGATGATGATGATGCGTAGAAGAGTTGTTTGAGTAAAATGGGTAGTTGGGGTTTTGGATTTTGAGCTGTGAATCAGTTACAGAGTGTTTTAAAAAAAAAAAGAGAGAAAGGGAAATGAGGAAATTGTTTAAGGATTCTCTTAAGGCCGTTGAAGCTGATATTCAATTCGCCAATTCCCTGTAATTTCTTCTCTCTTCTTCAGGCTTCATGTCTAATTTCCTTTTTCTTTTTCTCTTTTCCTTGTACTGTTGTGATTTTCTATGCATGAGCATGGAGAATATTGATTGACCACGTTTTTCCTTTTTTTTTTGTTAATTTGTTTCAAATATATATATTTCTTTTATGGTATAACACTAAAACTTGTATGTGTTTTTAATTGTGGAGAGCTTTCTGAATTTTCTTCTAAGTATCCAATGTCTGATGTTACTTTTTCTATTATGTTGTAATGTATTAGAATTCTTGCCATTTGGTAAACAAATATTTTATTACTTTTGGGGACTTTAGATTGTTGGTATGATAAATTGATGATTCTTATCATGGCTATGGTTCTACATTGAATATTCATTACTCAATTGGCAAAAATCTTATTCGTAATTGTTGTAGTCTACTTTACCTTGCTTTGATGTTTTTCTTTTACTGGTGAGAGCATTTTTATTGCTCCTGCGGTAATGAAAAATTAGTAGATAACATTTTTTTTTCTTTTGTCAAGCTTTAAGATATTTGGGTTAACATACTTCAAACTACAAATAACACTGAATGGCTCAGATGACAGTCATGAGTGTACTGAAGTGATATTCATGTCCTGTCAATGGCACATGGCAAACTAATTCAAGTTTGCCCAAATCACATAAATGATGTTCAGAGTGACATTGAATATAACTTAAAAATTCTGACTTCCGTTTAGGTGACTGCTGATGACCCCAAAATTTGGGGTTCCTCCTCCATCTAATTTTCCTTCTTTCTTCTTTACTTTATTGTTTATATGATGTAGTTTGATCTATTCTGTAAGGGATTTAACATCTGCAATGATTAATAAATGGTAGGGACTACATTGTAAGTGTTTACTATACATTCTTGCTCCATGCAACACTACAGAGATATCTTAGTAGGGCAGTTCTTTCCGTTTTGGTTCCTCTTTTTGTTGTTTTCTTATGTGTGTAATTGTTTTTTAATGAACAGGGCTTCTGATTATCCAAGAGAATATGATGGTGCCTGCCTTCAGATGAGATTGTCTTACAGCCCAGCTGCTCATTTTTTTCTTTTCCTTGTTCAGTGGACTGATTGCCATCTTGCTGGTGCCTTGGGGTTGCTTAGAATTCTTATGTACAAGGTGATTTGCAAGTTTTTATGTAATAAATTCCTGATGTTCTTCTGAAGTTTTCAGTGATAGCATGTCAAGGGCATTAATTTCTGATTTTTTCTGCAGGTATATGCTGATGGGAAAACCACCATGTCAATTCATGAAAGGAAAGCTAGCATAAGAGAATTCTACGGTGTGTAAGAGGAGATTTGTTGCTGTTTTGCATGTGTGTTTGATTAATGTTTACCTAATGAATTTGATATGTGCTTGTGTTTTAACTTCTGACAAAATCTTATACTGTTTGAGTGGTTTGAATTGTCATGATAGGGGTGATCTTTCCCTCACTATTGCAACTTCAAAGAGGAATTGCCGATGTGGATGACAGTAAACAGAAGGAAATTTTTGCTGCAAAGTACAAGAAAAGGGATGAAATGAATAAAGGAAAGCTCTCTGAAATTGATTTAGAGAGAGAAGAAGAATGCGGAATTTGCATGGAGATGGACGGCAAGATTGTATTGCCCAATTGCCACCATTCAATGTGTATGAAATGCTACCGCACTTGGTAAGTTGTCATAGCATGCTTTCTTTATCAAAGCAACTTTTCATCTTTTCCTTTTTTGAGTACCAAGAGAGCAGTATGGTGAGGGTGATGAGATTAAAGGAAGCAACCCGAAATTGAATTATGCATGATAGAGATAGCTAGACATCAAGAAACATACATACACAAACCTATGGTGAAGACCTCACAAATTTTAAGAGCTTAGCATCTCAACTTTTTGTGTTGAAAGTTTACTTGCGATTGTAAGTTAGGCATATCATCTTGAGGGATAATATCTGTGCTTTATGCTCTTTTTAGGCGTGCAAGGTCTGAGTCATGCCCCTTCTGTAGGGACAGTCTCAAAAGAGTAAATTCGGGTGACCTTTGGATATATATGAGCAGCAATGACATTGTTGATTTGTCCTGGATGTCGAGGGAGAATATGAAGCGTCTCTTCATGTACATTGAGAAGTTGCCCCTCATTGTTCCAGATCCAAAGATTGTTTCTTATGATCCACAACATCATTGATCACTTATTATTTGATTGGATTTTAGCACTGTAAATAACATATGGTTCATTGTAGATTTGAGTCTTTTTTTTTTTTTAATTTCATTGTAGTAAATTTAAAAGCTGTAGATAAACATTCTTTGCTATTAGGGTACGTTTTTGTAAGAAGCTGTCATTTGATTATTGACACAAATGTCCGTCTGTCCTGTATATCTCAATGGTCGTTGCAGATCACTTGTAGACATACAAGATATAGAAATGGTTATATAATGTTTGGGTTGCATTCCCCCCGTTTTGTTTATTGTGACACAATATTGATGACGTGTAAAATATTAAAATATATATTTTTTATTGTATTAAATTTATATATAATTATTATTAAAATTTTAAATCGTGTTATTTATATATATATATATATTTAATATCGAATTCCAATCGTTTCATTTACTCGTATTTAGATTGTCAGACGTAGTGACTTGTGAATTAGGGGTTTTGCCCCCCTTTTTGTACCAAAAAGAAAATTGTTTATATCAACTGGAAGATTTTAAGTCTCCATCTATTCAACAGAAAGAGGAAGAATAGCATTCAACAGCAACACAAGGCCGTGTTACAAATTAATGAAACTAGAAATGACACTAGAAACATGATTTATATAGTATTTTAGTGGAATATAAACACGAGGCAATGTTACAAATTAATGAAATAGAAACATGATTTGTATGGTTTTTAAGTAGAATATATAACTTTTTTGTTAGTAAATATACTCAGATAAACAGTTAAGAAAATGATAAAGCACCACGATGTTATGGTATTTCCTTAAAGGTATCACATTCCACATAAAAGTATGAACATACAGAATCTAGAATCTTTCTGGGATGTTAAATCATTTCATGTCCAGTCAACTATTCTCTTTCAATCCTCATCTTCTTCTTCCTCCTCGTCTTCGTCCTGAAATAAAACATCATAAATATAGAAAGGAAAGGGAAAGACAAACCAGTATTGCACATACAAACATAAACTAATAATAATAATGAAGCCGTATTAATTTTCGATGAAAAAGTTAGCCCACAATTAACAGCTAAGTCCTAATAATGTACACTGTAAATTATTTATCTTATAGCACAGGAAACATGGCTCAAGTGATGCAACCAAAAATAAAAATTAAATTAGCTCAGCACTTGCCTCATCCTCTTCATCATTCACTTCCTCATCCTCTTCATCATTCACCTCACCATTAGCACTACTTTCCTACCAATTATGACAATAAAAAATATTCAAGTAGTAAGTCAAGCAAAGCACTGCTTGAGCCTTGAAATGAAAAAACTATAATACTTTCCTACCAATTATGTCAAGAAAAAAAGTTATGTAGTAAGTCAAGCAAAGCACTGCTTGTTCACCTGCTTCTTGTTGTAGAGATTCATTTGTTTTTCATAGTCAGCCTTCCGTTTAGCAGCTTTGGCCTCATAAACAGCTTTTTCCTTCATAAACATAACATGAAGGGGAAAGTTTTATGTACTTTGATCACTAATCTACTTTACACGATAATTAGCACCAGCAACAGAAATGGCATGGAAAATATTTAGAAAGAAAATGAAAATGAAAAGGCATATGCATATGCATATGCATACATTCAGACAATAATAGCACTACCAACAGATACGAAATGGCAAATATTTAAAGGAAAATGCATATATTCAGACAACAATATGCCACAAAGAATTCCAAAGTCATCGAAGCAGATGATAAAGGTCCAACACATAAATTCTGATGAACCAATATAAAAGCAGAAAAAGAGAGAAATTTATTGGCATGCAAACTGACCTATAATTGTCAAACATACGTTACCATCTATATAAAGATTTCAAAACTTACATCCACAGACATGGATTTCCACTTCTCCCCAGCAGCTTTTCCAACCTTCAAGCAAAGACGTTCAAAGAAACAACACTAAAGTCATTCAAAAAACATCAATTCAAAAGAATTATCAAAGATTGCTAATTACTCACAGCTGATACAGCCTTCACATTGGGATGTTCCCTCTTGAAAGTAGCTCTAAACTCCTCACTGTTACACAAACATAACACTAAATTAACCAAAATAACAACATTCAAGTAATTTCTATTCATAACCCACAGTGCAAGATACATACAGGAACACAAAGAAAGCACTAGGAGGCCTCTTTGGTCTGTTAGGATCTTTCTTAGCCTTTCTCTCCTTCTTGGCTTTCCGTATGCTGCTTCTATCCACAGATGCCTTCCGTTTCCCAACCTTTCTGAAAAGAATAGATATACACATAACCCATGGCTACAATCCATGCACCCACTGTATCAACCATCCATATATAAATTTTAAAACTCATGGATATAGCCATCACCACAGGACAATCACAACAATTTTCAAATTCTCACCCCAAAAAAAATCTGCAAAATTACATTTTATATTTAAACAAACAAAAAGATAACGAAGTCAACTAACTTATTCTCAGCAGGCTTCAAGGATTCGGCCGGGTTCTTTGCTGCACCCTTACTTCTAGCTCCTGTCATTTCTACTGTAAAACACAATAAATATATATACATATATATATGTAATAATCACTTACATAAAAATGTTTAGAAAATTAAAATTATGCACATAATGAACAAATTGACTTCGATTAAGAAAAAAAAAACAAGTGAAAAAATTAGAATAATATAAAATAAAGCAGAAAATAAATAAATCAAGCAAATTCGACATCAATTTAATCACTAAGCTTTAAAATTTCATGAAAATAACAATTTAGTTATCAAACAATTTTGATAACATAATAAAAGTGCTTTAATAACTCTATTACATGATTATTTCCTGATTTAAAAAAAAAATTCATGAAAATAACAATTTACTAAATTTTTAATTCAGTGAAAATAACTAATTTTGCTTACTTACTTCACCGTTCTACTTCTCGTTTTAACCAGAAACAAAATTAAAAAAAAAAACTAAAAATTAAAAAAAAAATCTACGCTCTCAGCAATCAAACAGAGCCAATAAAATCCGATTAAGAAAAATAAATAAATAAAAATAAAGAAGGAATGAGATCTAGAAAACACCATCGCTACCTTAAGATGAAAATCCGCGAAGAGGCGTTGATTTGAGAGAAAAAACAGAGAATCGCAGAATTTTTAAGAGAATAATAAATATCGAGAAGAGTCTGAAAAAGAATGGAAATAGGGCAGAGAATGGTGAAAAACTTGATAGATGTGACCGGTTCAGCCCGTTTGCATTTTTAGGGCTTCGGGTTGACGGCGAACACACAGAAGTCAATGTGTTTATTTTACCGGATATATCCGGTTTGATAAATTCTAGAGTGGTTGATAATTTTATAAGTTTAATTAATTAATGATTTTTTATTAGGGCAGGGTGATCGATGAGTTTTAGCGACGCTGATTAGGATTGCCGCCAAATTATCTAGTACGATGCGACGACAAGGGAGATACCTGCTGCACGTTTGACCAGTTGACACGTATCCATTTTAAGATGATTTGAAATAAATATTTTTAATTTCTAATATAATCTTAACTCATAATCCTTATTTATTTAATTCTACTTAAATCATTTAAAAAATATATTATATGTAAATCCTTTCGAACTTACAATATTAAAGAATATAACTAACATATTATCATCTGAACTTTTTTTTTTTGAATAAAACTGAACTAATATTTAATTAATAATGATTAATGAATGACCTTTTTTTTTCATTGGTTTGAAATTAAATTTGAAATTAATTTAAAAATTAAAATTTACATAAAAAATATTACACACTTAAATAGTTTTTAAATTCATAATTTTAAAACTTTGATTCATACTATCCAAAACTACTAATCTAGACGATTATTATTTATTATTTGAATTTAAAATAGATCTAGTAATTTGTATATTTATATAATGTAAAATATTAAAATTTTATGTATTTGTATAAAATTTTATATAAAAATTATGTATTATAATTTATGTTAATACAAAAATATAAAATATATTTTTTTATTTTATTAAAATTATTTATAAATTTTATTAAAATTTTAAATTATATTATTTTCATATTTTTATATTATATTATTATTTTATATTTAAAATTATCAAATTAGAATATCTTTAAATAAAAATAAATGATTTCATCAGAAAGCATCCTTTTATCAGTTTGGGAGCTTTTTCCCTTAAAAATCAATTATGGAAGAAAAAAAATACTTAGTAGTAGTTTAAAATCAATTGAAACTTTTTTAAGTTTTGAATTTAAGTTTTTACATTAGATTTTATAAAGAGATGAAAATTTCTAACAGCAAAGACTTACATGTGGATAATTTAAATGATAAGAATGAGATAATTAGAAGTATAAATTTTCATATCCCAGCTAACATGGTTTTTCATTGCATTAAAAGTAAATATTTCAAATGTGATTTGAAATTTTAATTTCAAAATGCTTAATACAATGTGGTTTTTGAAATTTTAATTTTAATTTCAGGATTGATAACTGATAATGAGAAAAAAATATTGTCAGGATTTTGTTTGTTTCCTATCATTATTTTAGATTTTTAGTATCTTCTAGGAAACATGAGATTTTCTCGGAGCAACATCAACCACAGAAATTTCAGAGAAAATCACAAAACCAGAATTTAATGCTAAACAGCAAAACAGTCAAATCTCAAGACCCTAGATAAGGCAGAGATAAGGCCGATACTTTTTCATTCGTCAGATGGATACGCTTCTTCATCCGACGCTCACCATCTTTCTTCATGGATAAAATCACAAAACCTTGATAACAACTTTCCTTTATTATAACACGAATGACAAAAAAGCACACTATCCAAAATCTCTCATAGTTTCCCCATTGCCCTTTCTTTGCTTCACGTTAGCTTCCTCTGAACAATGGCTGCCACCGCCGCTGCTGCAGCTACATCCTCTTTTATGAGCACCCGCCTCCCTGATGTCTACAAAAGATCAGGGAGAGTCGTGGCCAGGTTTGGCTTTGGCGGCAAGAAAGCTGCCAAGAAAGTCTCAAAGTCAAAACCAACCTCCGATCGCCCTCTATGGTACCCGGGAGCTGTGGCACCCGACTGGCTAGACGGAAGCTTGGTTGGTGATTACGGGTTCGACCCTTTTGGCTTGGGGAAGCCTGCAGAGTACTTGCAATATGATTTGGATTCTTTGGACCAGAATCTGTCAAAGAACATGGCGGGTGAGATCATTGGGACCAGGACTGAGGTTTCGGACGTAAAGGCAACACCGTTTCAGCCCTACAGCGAGGTGTTTGGTCTACAGAGGTTCCGTGAGTGTGAGCTGATTCATGGACGGTGGGCCATGTTGGCTACTCTGGGTGCGCTTGCTGTCGAATGGCTTACCGGAGTTACCTGGCAAGATGCCGGCAAGGTAAGTGGTTTACTTAATTGGTACCCTTGTATGCTTTACATGTTTAAAATGTTGCACAAAAATCATAGTGAAATGGCCAATATGATAATTTTACTCGCAGAGGGAACTCAGATAAATGACAGAAATTTTTTGGTTATTTTAGGTTGAGCTAGTTGAGGGGTCATCTTACCTCGGCCAACCCCTTCCATTCTCCATGACAACATTGATTTGGATCGAAGTCTTGGTGATTGGATACATTGAGTTCCAAAGGAACGCAGAGCTTGACCCTGAGAAGAGGCTGTACCCTGGAGGAAAGTACTTTGACCCCCTTGGCTTGGCTTCTGACCCCGAGAAGAAGGCTACCCTTCAATTGGCTGAGATCAAGCATGCTCGACTTGCCATGGTTGCTTTCCTGGGCTTTGCAGTCCAAGCTGCTGTAACAGGCAAAGGTCCTCTCAACAACTGGGCTACCCATTTGAGTGACCCCCTTCACACGACCATTATTGACACCTTCACCTCTTAAAAGATTCCTTTGCTTTGAGTTGATTTTACTCGATGTACTATTTGTATGTGCCTTCTATGTTGTAAAAGTGTATAACATTACAGTTTCAGCAGAGAATGCTATTAGCTCATATCATATTGTCTGGTTTTCTGATAAAGAGAAAGAAAATTCTTCTATATGTTAATCAAGACACCAACCTATCCATCCAAAATTCCAAACAAATACAAGACATTTAAGCCGATTAACTAGAACAAGGCTTGTCATTAGCAAGGTGTTGCATATCATCCTATTTGTTAACTGCAGCAAAGGGCACCGAAGAAGTTAAAACAGAGCCGTATATATAATCACACCCAAAGGCACATTTTCCCTGATTATGGACCGAAAAAAATTGCTAATACAGAAACAAAATTTTGCAATGAGGTTTGAAACAAAAATGAAAGACTGTTAGAATTTCTTTTTAATTTGGGTTAACAACATAGATGATTTTTAAATTACAATAAAATAAAATTTTTTAAATGTGACGTTTAAACTATTAATTTATTAATTATATGATATTTAAAATATTATTTATTTGACAGGTTTTGAAGTTAATTAGTGAAGATTATATTAATTAATAAATTTAAATTTAGATATTTTATTAAAAATTTTTAAAATTTATATATTATATTAAATATTTTATTATAATTTAAAAATCATCCATAATGATAACTTTTTTAATTTTGAATAAATTGACGCTATGCTATAAAGATCGAAAAATATTTGAATTCAATATGTAATTTAATTAGTCCATACTTTTATTTTTAAAAGTAATATTTAAAAATTTTAAATTTTAGTATCAGTACCTTCTCTTATTCTCCAAGCATGCTCTCGTTTGTACAAAAAATAATAATAATAACAATAAATTAATCAAGCTCAAATTAGATTTTAACTTCCCAAAATGGAGTTTAATTGAGCCCAACTCTTTATGGCTCTATGCTTTTGCTGGCGAGACTTTTTTTCTATTTTAGCAGTGACAGCCAAGCTACACGGTGACAGCCGAAATAAAAAAAGACCAAAATAAGCTAAAGCCGGAAGCTCCTTCGCACCTGCCCTTACTATTACCCTACTCCTTCGCTTGCTCTCCAGGTAATTGAATTCTTCATTGGATGTTTTCTTATTGCTCTTACCTCGGCAAGTGCGTTTATAGTTTCTCCTTTATTCAGCTCGCACTGCAAACAAGGTGTTCGATGTTTTGCCTATTTCAAATATTGGCATTCCTGTAACATGTAATTCATGGTTGTTGGCCCGATTGTCTGTATTCTGTTTAATTGTTTTCTTATATCGTCATTTCAAATTTTAGGGTGTTTCTGGGATACCTATGTCAATTCTGTGACTTGGAAGCTTGATTGAAATTTTTTGCATAAACTGAGATTAAACTTTATAGCTAATTTACAGCAAATATTGGGACTTTGTTCCACTTCTGATTTTGGTTCTGAATGTCAGTTGTGAATGCAGATGGTTCTATTTTTAGCCTGACATGCGTCTGTTCTTGGAAACGTGGATATGGGAACCCCTAGTGTTTTGTGGAGTATTGCAAAGAAGTCTTTCACGGTTGGGCTTGTTACTGTTACAGTTTCAGATCGATTTGCCAGTATAGTTCCAGTCCGGGGTGCCTCAATGTCTCCCACATTTAATCCCAAAACCAATACCTCGCTTGGTTCTTTGAGTGGTAATACTTTTTTTTTTTTTTTTTGGGTCCATTGGATAGGGGATATGAGATGGGATGGTGGGGCTCGAATTCCCACCCTATATGTCTTCCTAAATCTTCTTAACCACTAGGCCAATAAGATGAAGACTGAGCGGTAATACTTTGAGACAGATATATATATATATATATATATATATATATATATATATATAGGGGATATGAGATGGGATGGTGGGGCTCGAATTCCCACCCTATGTCTTCCTAAATCTTCTTAACCACTAGGCCAATAAGATGAAGACTGAGCGGTAATACTTTGAGACAGATATATATATATATATATATATATATATATATATAGAGAGAGAGAGAGAGAGAGAGAGAGAGAGAGAGAGAGAGGTGAAATAAGTGTTTTGCATCACTGTTGATTTTCAGTGGCTGATCATTTCTTTGGCTGCAGATGATTATGTTCTGGTGGAGAAGTTTTGCCTTAGAAATTACAAATTTTCACATGGAGACGTGATAGTTTTCTGGTAATTGTTCTCATTGATATTGCTCATATACTGTCTCGATTATTTGTTAAGCCAAATGCAGGCAACTCTTGAATGAAGAAACATTTCCGATTGGCCTTTCATTCTTGGCTTCTGCATGTCAATATTGTATTTCAACACTGTTGAGTTAGGAATAGATAGTTATCTTTACCAAAGAAAACCAATACCAAGCTCTTGATCGTTACAGAACTGAACTTTAGAGCAGTTTCTCATTGGCTTCTTCTCGTTAAAATTGATTGAGGAGACTGTAGATAAATTGATAGTATTAACAATCACATTTTCATGAGTTTATCTGACATGACCTTGGAAATGCCTTTGTTGTTCTGTTAAAGAAATGATAGACCGACTAAGATTTGGGCTTTTTTGTTGATCCATAGGTCTTTGGATGAAACATGGATTTCATGTTCCATATTTGCAATGCACTGTCTCCTCGATCAGTTTAAATGAGACTCGTTTACTCAGTACCGTAATAAATAAATAGTTCTATTACTGAAATCTGACATTGCTTTGGATGCATCCTTTTGCAGCTCTCCAAATGATCACAAGGAGAAACATGTGAAGAGAATTGTTGGCTTACCAGGTGACTGGGTGGGGACTCGTTACGATGTGGTGAAGATTCCAGAAGGACATTGTTGGGTTGAGGGGGACAGCTCATCTTCCAGCAAGGACTCGAGGTCTTTTGGTCCTGTAAGTTTCTCCATCATGATTGCATAGCTTAATATTTGTAAACAAAGATTAAAATTTTTGTGAAGTTTCTTCAAAGAGTGTTCCTCTTTGTTACTAAATACATAAAATGCAGTCAAGATTACATGTTGAACTCTTTACAGTCCTGTTACTATAAGGTATCTTTTGCAGGTTCCTTTGGGTTTGGTTAATGGGAGGGCCACCCACATTCTGTGGCCTCCACATAGAGTGGGCAGCATTGACAGAAAAGTTGCTCAAAACAGAGTTTCTTCCTCCTAATTGCATCTGAACCACATATCCCATTTTGCAATGGATTAATTTACAATTTCCTTTTACCCTCTTTTTAAGCAGTTGCCAAATGCCAAGGCAGAATTCTTTCATGGACAAGTAATACAAGCAATTCCATGCAAATTTTCACATTCTGCTGATCTCTTGTTGGTATTTTACCTTGCTTGTTTATTCCTAATTAACATCATTTAAGAATTCTCACTTAAAAATTTTTTGTACCATATTGTTTCTGTTTTTGTTGCTGTCAAGCTGGTTAGATTTCGAATAAGATTACATTCAAATTAGATTTGAAGAATTTATATTTATGAGGGGCCTTGCTTAGAGTTTAAGTCTAACTTTGGGACATTTCCATGCCATGCTCTTATCATATTTATGATTTTAGCCTCAAAATTACTCATTCGTGGTTTGGTGAGGACAAGGGTCTTATGGAGCTGCGGATGATGATCATATATAAATAAAATGCATTCTCATTTGAGAATCATATACAGTGATTTGCTTTGGTATATCAATAATGACATAATCCCATCCATCAAAATAAAATAAAAATTCCATCCGAGCATTTTATTTAATAATTAATGCATTTTTTTATTATATTTTAATAAAATGCATTTTCATTTGAGAATCTTGTATAGTGATTTGTTTTGTTAGATTAATTATAATGACATAATTCCTTGCAACTTCATAAAATAAAATTCGTATTTTGATATATACATATATACATATATATATATATATATATATATATATATTAGATTCCAATTCCAACATTGTATTTATTTATTTATGAAGTTGACTGATTATTTAAGCGCGTTGCATGATCCATAATTATTATACTTATAACTATTATTTAAGTTTATATTTAAAAAGCGGAGCATTAACTTAAGTGATAAGTATATCGGATAAATTTAAATACATGTTTATAAAGTGGAGCATTAACTTAGATGATAAGTATATCATATAAAATTTTGAAATTTACGGATTTTAAGGGATTAAAGTTAAAATAGATAGGAGTTAAGAGATTAAAGATAGTGGCAGAGGATTGGGATGGATTAAAAATTTAGAAAAAAAAAATTGTATAAGTTTATAAGACTATATATAATTTAAGTTAATATATTCAAACAAAGCATTTACGATTTTTTGGGTATTTTAAGCACCTTGGATTTTTTGGTTTAAGAGTAGCCACTTTGGATTCTAAGTAATTTAGAATTATGTCGGGTCGAATTTATAAGGAGATAAATTTTTTTAATATTTATTTTTTATTTACAAGATTTTAATTTGAAATTTTGTTTAAAAGAAATTAAATTTTTTAATAACTCGGACTAACGGATATTACATTAAAACCAAAGGAAATTTTGAGTCAATGGATAATTAGAAATCGATTGCCCTTGTTTTTCTTTAATTTTTGTCACCTAAAAAATTACACGAGTAATTCATAAATAAATACTTTTCTGGTTTTTTTTTTTCTTTTACTAGTATTATAATCTAACGGCTACAGTGAAATTACCGTCATAAAGCGACAAATATAATTTTAAATTATTAATAAATGGTTAGTTTAATCAATTATGATCATTTTTTTTTATGAAAAAATTTTGAATTCAAATTTAATCAATAATTATTTGTTGGAATCATTTAAAATATACGATCTGTAATTATTTATCTAAAGTTATTATGATACATCTTATTTTAATTTAAAGACCGAACAATCTGTTACTCTCAACAATTTTTTTTTTTTAAATATCGTTTTAAATTCAAAATTAAAATTATTAAATAAAAAAAAAAAGAATGTACCTTTTTAATTTTAAGATTCCACAAAAGAGTAATTCATAGAAGATTATAAATTACGCTGAACCCAATAATCCATAATTTTGCGGGAATGTATAAAATATCAAAGGGTTAACCGATGCAATTTTGGCTCGAATTTCATCACGATTTAGATTTCTCCTTTAAGTGCTGCTAAAGAGATATACTAGACTCGTCCGCCATTACTTTTCCTTCATCTTTGGTTTCTTTTCGATCCATTGTCGTCTATTTTTATTATATTTTTTGTTGTTTTGTTTGTTATTTGAATTTTTTTTTCTTTTTTTTTTTGAAGGTTTAATAGATTGATAGTTTGAAAAAAAAAAAGAGAGAATGGGAAGGCTATTCGTGATTACTCTTGAAGGAAGCGTTTATAGCTGCAAGCACTGCTTAACCCATCTGGCTCTCCTTGATGACATTATTTCTAAGGTTTTTTTTTCCTTTCTTTTTACATTGTTGTTTTGCTTTGTGAATACATTAGTTTGTTTAAGGGGTTGCTTGATCCTGGGTTCCTTGTCAAGTTTTGTTGGGTAATGGGAATTAGTAGTAAATCTCTGACAAATGGACTAAAACTAATGAAAATGATTGAACAATATTCTAAATAATATTAAGGGTTAACTGAAACAGATTGATTCCTCTTTAGTTTTGGGTGTTGAAGTTTTTTCTTAGGGATGCCATGCCTCATGCTGTTTCTCTTTGATTATAGAAATACACAGAAATGCTGCACATAACATTCAATGTGATCTCCATTTTGTTTTGCAATGATGGGTGTTACTATGGAATTAATATTTGCTTACGACTTTCATGGATGAAGAAGCCATTGTGATGGGAGAAAGTCTAAGGATGGTTGATTCTCCCTCCATGAGAGTGACTAACTTTAGCTGCCTCTTTCAATTATATGGAGGCTGTTGGTTGGTGCTAGAAAATAGGTTAATACTGTATAACTTCCTTTCTCGTTTGATTATGTATCAGTTCTTTGATGGACAATGGCTGGTTGGATTGGAGGTTATTCCATTTCATGGCTAAGCCTAAGATGTTTTTTTGATATTGTGAAATTGAAACATAAAAGGTTTGAGACAAAAGGAAGAGTAAAATAAGTAGGTTGTACATCAGTCTATCATATTTCATTTTAGATTAGTATTATATGTTTAAAAACCACCTCACCCTCTTTTTCCTGACTATTAACATTGATATTATTGTAGATACAGTTCAACTGGTTCCAATGTCCATAGAATACACTTGACTATCTTCATATGAGGCTTCTTGCATATACTAACAACTAACAGCTAACAGCAAAGCCATTGTCTTGCTTGATGGATGAAAAAAGAATGAGGATGAGAGTAGGGGCTGATTGGCAATAGACCCTTCCTTACTCATATCTGAGTGGATTTTCTGTCTTATCTTTCTCTTCATCATAGCCATGTTTTTCATTGTCCTCTGCATTATATCATATATTGTTCAGCAACACAGATACATACTAACCCCATCCTTTACCTTTGTTTCAGTCTTTCCACTGCAGGCATGGAAAGGCTTATCTCTTTGACAAGGTGTAAGTGTTTCATTGTTGTGCGCTCTATGAAGCAAATTTTTGTCTCCATAGAGTCTTGTCCTTAAATATTATTTTCTATTTAAAAACCATGTTCATACGTGTTTTTCTACTAATATTAATACATATGTGCTGTCTTTGGTGCAATCAATGAAAGCTATGCATTTTTAAGGTGTTGATTGTGGTACGGATGTATGGTATGCCCTTTTCTTTCCTTTTTATTTATCTGCATAAAAAGGTGAATGAAATCATCCTGTTTCTACTAAAGAAACAACTAAGAAGTCAACAATCTGAACCAGTCAACTACCTGCTATTCTAGAACAAGCCAACGGCAAACAGACAGCCAGAATCAATAAATCATTAATCCCTTTTCTATGGTTTCCCTTCACTCTGCATATTTTTTATGTAAACTCTAGAATACAAATGAGGCATACTAATAGTTGCAAGAATAACCATGGAATATGTGAAAGCAAAATACCTATGATGGAATTGAGAGTCGAGGGGCTTACTTATATCATATGCATTTTGCATATATGAATGGTTCAAATAACATATTCTCTTTCATAATGTGTAACAGTGTGAATATCACAGTAGGAGAGAAAGAAGATCGCATGATGTTGACTGGAATGCACGCTGTTGTTGATATATTCTGTGTTGGGTGTGGCTCGATTGTGGGATGGAAATATGTAAGTAGTCCTGAAATTTTTAGTTTTTGGTGGTTTGATTTCTTTTCAAGGTTTGGCTGCATGAGTTAATTTCATAGAACTTTTTCCCCATCTCCTAATGGTGTGAGTGATTCTAGGAGGCTGCATTTGAGAAGACTCAGAAGTACAAAGAGGGAAAATTCATTCTTGAGAGGTGCCATATCACTGTTTCTTTTGGTTGTATGTAATATTTCGATGTTCTCAAATGTCTATTTAACTTTGGAGCAGGTTTAAGGTGCTGGGTCCTGATGGAAGCATTTACTTGGCGGTTCAGGAAGCTATGGTTGGTGGTAGTAGTGATGCTGATGATGCTTGATTGCTATTCAGTTTGCCATTTTTATCAAATGTTTTAATTGTACATTCTCTGCATCACTTTTGCCTGTTGGCCTCCTTATTTGGCCTCTTAAATTGGAAAAATTTTCTGTTTCAGAACATTCTTTGCAAATAGTATTATTAGAATGATCTTACACCGCTGCAAAGATAGCATATTGTTGTTCCCAATCCTTCTCCAGCTGAATCAGACGACATTTCAAAGGGTTTGTTTATCATATCTTTGGTTTCACAATGGTGTAACATTGCCTAGTAGGAAAAAAAAAAAAAAGGACAAGGACCTCATTGATCGATGGTAAATGACAGAATGTTGATAAAAACTTTTGTGGCGTCAATTATGGTTCTGTTGGCCCATTACCAGGCTCGGGGCAGGCAATCTAAAGGATCCATTTTGTTGGGTTAATGAATTAATGAAAATAATTTTAAAAAAAATTTAGTTTTCAATTAATTCTATTAAAAAATCGAATTAATCAAAAATTTTATTGAAATATAAAATAAAAAACAAATGAAATGAATTATTTTATTTCATAAATTATTAGGGTTTTAACATAATATTTGAATATTTTATTTAATTTGTTTAAAATATAATATAATTTAAATATATTAATTAATTAATTAAAAATTTTAAGCAAATAAATTAAATTAAATTAAATTTGATCGATTAAATTTTAAAATTAATAAATTAAGTTAAATTAATAAATATTATTTGATTAATTTAATTTTAAATAATTAAATTGATCATATAAATACCTTTAATATTTAATCAAAAAGATTTTTGGTGATAATATTATTTGATTAGGTATATCTCATCATCTGGACTTTTCGAAACTTTTTCTAATCTTGGTTTGATTTTAGGATTGAAAAGGATCTCAATAGTTATTAATCGTCCTCCCTGATTATGTCAACATTGACAACACTTTCACCCCTGCTTAGACAGATATATAAGCTAGGATTGAAGTTGAATGTGACCCCTGACTCACCATGTTAACTATTTGTCTTGTGATCATCGGGGGAGTTTGCATGTTGTATTTAATTAAATCTAATAACTTCAAATATAATATTATAATATAATATAAATACGATATAAAATAAAATATATAAATAATATAATTTAAAATTATAATAATTATTATATATAAATTTAATAAAATAATATTTTATATTTTTATATTAATATAAATTATAACATATAAATTTTATATAAAACATAAAATAAATACATAAATTTTAATATTTTATGTCAATATACAGATCATTATATATAATGACTGATTAAGACAAAGCCCATGGGTAGTTTCAACATCTGTCATCGATTTGGCTCTTTAATTGCGGCTCAAAATAAGGCTTTCTGCTCTTTTTTTTTTAAACGACTGCTCCCCTGGTGGCCTGGGCTTGGCGAAATTGGTAGCTAGATGAAGATGCCAATTCATATAGGTCCCTAATTGCAATGGTATTGGTAGCATCGGCAGCATTAAGTTAAAGATTCAAAGCATGGAAGCATTTGTTGTTTACTGAAACAAAATAAATAACTAGAAAAAATGTGTTTGTTTTTTATGCGATTAGGATGATATCTTTGCATTTTTTAACTTGAATTCTTTTTCAACGATATTAAAGATTAGAATCTGAGCCGTCAGATTGGCTATCATTTATCTCGAGAAACTCTCAGCATCTTTTCAAGGGAATTGCCGGAGTTCTTGAATTCAAATAATGAATCATTTATGTTTTAAAATTATATGAAATTTATTAAAATTTTATAAAAATTTTTATTTATACAAGTGATAAATTATTATATAAATTTTTATTATGATTAAATAATTATAATATTATAATAAAAAATTATAAGTGATATGTTTTCTATGTCTATCAGCTCTTTTAGTTTCTTATTTTATTTTTTTATAGTTTTGTCCATCGGCTACCATGTGCTTGCTTGCTACCTCGAATATTTTCTTCATGATTATTTATTTATAAATAGACATGTTTTTACAACATAACTACGTAATTGCCACCCATGAGTCATTAGTTGATACTACTGCTCCAATCAAACTCAGCATTTTAAATATTCGTATTAATGATTTAAAATTAAACTAAGAAATTTGGTACTTAATTCGGCCTTTTATTAAGAAAAATAAACTCCTTTAAAACCCATTTTCAATGGTTTTTTGTTATGATTCATACATTTTTTATAACTCCACTAAAATATTTTACACCGAAAAATTTGCTGCCATTGTCTTTCTCTTCTTTTTTTTTTTTTTCTCATAAACAAAAATAGAAAGGAAACTTAAAAAAAAAAGATGAAAAAAGGTAAATTGACTAAATTCCGTCATAAATGGCATTTTAGTTATTATCTAAATGATTATGAGTTATTTATATAAACATCTGCAGCAGCAGCAGCCTTTGTTCCCTCAAGTTTTCAAATTTCCTCTGAACCAACACTCAGACACCTGTTCCCCCTCAGATCACTCCAAAATAATAATAATAATAATAACAATAATAATAATTTAAAAAATAAAAAAGAAAAACTCTTCCTCTTTAAAAATTAAACATTTCCCTCTTTCACACGGAAATGGCGTTGTAATATAACTAATAAGTTCCCCGCTTCGTTGAACCAACCTCTTTTTTTTTTCTTTTTTTTCTGATTCCATTTTTGTAGCTTTGAAGCTTAGTTTTGGATCTAAGAGAGAGCATTTCGTGACATTTTTGGTGCGTTTGATCAGTTTTTAGAGATCCAAAAATGGTGATGAAAGAGAGAGATGAAGAGCTAGCTTTGTTCCTGGAAATGCGGAGACGAGAGAAGGAGAAAGAGAAGAGCAGCAACCTTCTCTCGCTTCATAACTCTGAAGAACTCAATGCTCCTTTACGTAAAACGATCACGACTTCGCTTGAGTTTCTTCGTTGTCAAAGATTAAGTTTTTCAACTGATTGTTTGTCTGTTAACTGTTGACTAAAGTGATGTTTTGATTTGTGTAGGATCCAACGTGAACGGCAACGGCGGCGTTGTCGGTTCTCCGATGTCGAAGATTGTCTCGGCTGTGCCTGGACGAAAGACTGCAGCTGATAATTTTTTAAATTCGGAGAATGACAAGTCTGATTATGATTGGTAAATGCTAAAGATATCTCTCCTTATCTCTCTGTTTTTGTTTGTCTTTTGCAGGATTCAGCGATCCAGTGAAAAACTAAGAAGCTGAGCATTTAGGATCGATCTCTGTTTATAGTATCAGGCTGTTTATTGGTTACTATAATAGCTAAGTAGCTCTAAATTTTGGATAATCGAATCTACATGCTTAGGATTTTTAAGTAGCTCTTAGAAGGAAACATAGGTATTAGTTTCGAATCAAGACCTCTTCCTCTTTCTCATGGATTATACACATCCTATGTAAAAAAAAAGAAAAAAATCCTTTTTTTCTTTTTTGCCTTTTCAAATGAGAAAAATGAAAACTTTATGAGCAACTTTTTAGTAGTATGAGGGGCAATGATTTGATTTGATCTTAAAGCCCCCTTTTAAGATGGAGATTTGTGGGTGCCAATTAAGTCATGAAGAGAAGAACTTGACATCATTCTAAATCTTTAAAAGAAAGCCTTCATTTGCTTTTTGCAAAACTTGGATTTTAACATAAAAGGTTATTTTTTTAATGGAGAATTAAAATTTATTATTTGCTTTCATTTTAGAGTGTTCAGATCAATCATATATCAGATGAAAAGTTGTGAGAATGCAAAGATTGGATATGAGTATTTGTCCCAAAACTCAATGGCTTGAGGTTTTTTAGGGGAAGGATATGGCTTGATACTTCTATTAAGTTTGTAGCTTCAGCAATTTTAATAATTCTAAGGGCATCCATGATCCATTCCCTGTGCTACCTTCCTCTTAATATAACATTGTGCCATTTGTTGGATGTTGTCACTAATAGCTCTAAATGGAATATTTCTTTCTATACTTTGATTTAGAAAACCTTTGTTTTGGCTGCTGTTGCCATTAGCATATGATTTGTTAAAGATCATATTTTTCCAAAATAACAAAAAGAAAAGTTTACTTTTTTCAAAACTGAGTAATTAATTAATTATTTAATGCTTTGGCAGCAAACAAAGACTCATGCATACATAAGTGGTAATTGATATGTCCTTACTGTTAGACATTGAATTCATATCAATTACGATGATGTGATTCAACATTGAATTGTTTCTTTGCTCTGTATTAATGGGAGATAACTTCTGCCTTCAGGCTTCTTACTCCACCTGGTACACCATTATTTCCCTCTATGGAGAAGGAATCACAGAAGGCTCTAATGAGCGAGATTGGGGTGTCTAATTCTCGTCCTACTGCTCCGAAAACGAGGGTAAGAACTAAGAACTCTTATGCGATATGAGTTCTGGATGCTTTCAACCCTTTTCTGCTGCTGTGATCGGCCAATGCAGATTGCCAAAATTAAGTTGTAAACGGGATTTCGTTTTCAATCATGTCATATTGGAAGCATTTGATCTTATTGGCATTTGTTGTTTCAGCCTTATCTGGTTGTCAAGTTTGACAGTTCACTGGATTTATTTGCTCTGTGGCTGTTAGAGATTTTTTTTGCTTTCATATTGTCATATCTTGCAATTTTGTTTTGACTTTTCAGCTGGCAAATCTTCCGGAGGAACCTGCTCTAAAGAGCGCTCTAGCACCCAAGCAACAAACTTCATCAGCGAGACCAAACTCTTCCAGTACTCTTAATAAAAGGCCATCCTCTTCAGGGGGTCCAAAATCTGCTAGTAGACCTGCAACACCTACTGGCCGGCCTACTCTACCCACAGGAACCAAGCCTTCGAGGTCTTCTACACCTACATCACGAGCGACCTTGCCTTCCATAAAACCTGCTGCTTCTACAGCAAGATCATCAACTCCAAGTAGATCCACTTCACGTTCTTCCACACTAACTGCTAGACCCTCTTTGCCTGCTTCAAAGTCGACATCAAGATCAGCTACACCAACACGTCGACTAGCTTCCTCTTCTGGTATGCCTGTTGCATCTGCACCTACTGGTCGATCTTCTTCAGTACCAAGATCAGCTCCCATCACTTCTTCGGTACCAAAATCAGCTCCCATTACTTCTTCAGTTATGAAATCAAATCCCGCTACCTTTTCTGTAACAAAATCAGCTCCCACTACATCAAAAAATTCAGCACCATCACGAGGCACATCTCCAACATTTAAGTCTAGGCCTTGGGAACCATCTGAGATGCCTGGGTTTTCACTTGATGCACCACCAAATTTAAGGACGTCACTGCCCGAAAGACCAGCTTCAACCTCACGGGGGAGGCCTGTAGCACTCAGTGTCAGATCATCTTCTGTTGAGGCTAGTTCTAATGGAAGACCAAGACGTCAATCCTGCTCTCCTGCTAGAAGCAGGGCTTCAAGTGGCAATGTCAGTGGTAATGGGAGCTCCATTCGTTCTGTACGTAGAGCAGATACCAATGGTAGTGATCATGATAGTCCAGTAGTGATTGGGACAAAAATGGTTGAGAGAGTGGTAAATATGAGGAAATTGGTACCTCCAAAATCAGATGACAATCCTCGTAATAACCCTACAGCAAAGTTATCTACTTCCCTCGATAGCTCAGGCTTTGGGAGAACACTCTCGAAGAAGTCTCTAGATATGGCTATGAGACACATGGTATACATCTCTTTCTTTACATCACTATATTCTGTTAACTTGAATAATCATACCTAGATGCTTGTCGATGGCATGCTACTATACTGTTGCAAGCTACTGTCCTTGGTCGGGATTTAATTATCATTAATATCTCTGGATCTTTTCTTGTGCAGGATATTAGGCGGCGTATTTCAGGTAATCAGCGTCCTCTTATGACAAACGTTCCAGCTTCCTCCATATATAGTGTGAGATCAGGATCCACAAAGAGCAGGACTACAAGTGTTTCTGATTCTCCTCTTGCCACAAGTAGTAATGCTGGCTCTGAACCAAGTGTCAACACTAATTCCTTCTATACTGATGGGAGTGAGATGGAAGACAATGATCTCAGTAGAGGAAACTCCTCTCCCACCAGCCAGCGTGCTAGCTAACCAAGGGGACTTCCATTCAAAATTATATATTGATTTACGGGAAAGCTTAGTCAGCATCGTGATTAAGAAACAACCTATTTCTTGAAGAAGCTGACGGTCAAGAGACACAAAAGAGAATTCGATATCGGTACCCTTATCCTATATTAAGCAGTAATAGTCACTACTCGGTATCCCAATTTCCAGTCCCTTGAGGATGAGAGGAAGGATTTGCATATGCACTGTACAATTGTAAGAACTAGAACTTGCTCTGATCTGCTGCACCTATCCATCTTTTTTCCATTAGTGAACTGGAAATTTTCATAATTTTATCTTATAGATAAGTGCCAACAACAGATCGCATCGAGCCATAAGCTGGTCTACATTTACCAGAGAAAGGCTAAGACCTTTTGTTTTATCCGGTAACACGGCAAAGCCGGTAACTGCCCAGCCGGGCATGGCGAAGATGGGCCAACAACAGATCGCATCAAGCCATAAACTGGTCATTTACCAGAGAAAGGCTAAGACCTTTTGCTTTATCCGGTAACACGGCAAAGCTGGTAACTGCCCAGCCTACTGGATTAATAATTACCAGAAATTTCTAAAGATACTGTTGGAGGGAGAAAGAAACTAGCGCAAGTAAAAACTCAAAGCAAAGCAATTTGGCTTAGACTATATAGGGCAAAGAACAAAAAGGTTTTTTTAATTCACAAAGACAAACCACACAGAAGATGGGCAACCAAAATTGATACGGTACAATTAAAATTTCTTCACAAAACTGCTAGATGCCTAATTTGAGATGCCCCTTCAAACAGAAAACAAAGAATTATACAAAACTAAGCATGGTATAATCACACTAATTACTTGTCAAATAGATACTCGGATCCAGCAATCAGCAGCTTCATCTCAAGCAGCAGCAATAGTCTCTGGAGTACTTGCAGCGGCCCTCTTAGGGGAAGGAGCATTGGGACCGGCACCTGGGATACCAGAGGGACCAGAGGCAGCAGGTGTAGCAGTTTTAGCAGCTTTCTTGGCCACTGCTGATTGTGGCCGTTTGGGATTGTGCTTTAGCTTCACAAGTATCTGTCGCATCCTTGAGAGATCAGTTGGCTTCCCAGGTTTAGGTCCCTGGATCACAACAATGGATGGTTTCTTTTCTTTGTCCTTCTTTCCCATCTTCTCTATAGCTGGCACCTCATGGGGGATGAGTTCTGCAATTGCCTCCCAGTAATTTTTCTCAGCTTCGGCATGGAACTTCTCCCGGGCTCCCAAAACCAACTGTCATATATGATCCAAAATACGAAATCTAAACATAGGTCATTGGCTTGACATTTGCATCACAATGAGCAACATGATTATGTCCAGCAATTTAAACATAGCAATTACGCATATCATTTATTTGGTATCAAGAACCTGTGCATGTTTAAATACTTGAACCTAATATATTATGACAAGTCAACCACAAAGAAGAATGAAGAATAAGCTCCAACATAGTCAATGGTAAAGCAATTTCACCAACTCCACCATGTAGGATGATGAGACAGAAGTCTCAACATAAATTCAGAACAACTTTTAATGTAACCATACAGGCATATGTCACGGACCTAAGGGAGAGTCCTGAATCCCACATCGAACATAATAGAAGGGTCACTGGGGTATAAAAGGGTTCACACCATCTCCGCCTTGTGAGGCGCCTTTTGTAGGACAAAACCGTGAGGCCAGGGGGCTAGAGCGGACAATACCTCACAAGGGTGTGAACCGTGGCGGAAGGCTGATTTGGGACGCCGGAAGAGTGAATGCCCGGGTCCCGGAGCCACGTGGGTTCGGAGCTTAAGTCTCGACCCGTGACAAGTGGTATCAGAGCCAACCCTAAACCGTTCGATCCACGCCAAGTACCTCGAGGGAGGTAGGAGAATGTCACGGACCTAAGGGGGAGTCTTGAATCCCACATCGAACATAATAGGAGGGTCACTGGGGTATAAAAGGGTTCACACCATCTCCGCCTTGTGAGCCGCCTTTTGTAGGACAAAACCGTGAGGCCAGGGACCAGAGCGGACAATACCTCACAAGGGTGTGAACCGTGGCGGAAGGCTGATCTGGGACGCCGGAAGGGTGAATGCCCGGGTCCCGAAGCCGCATGGGTTCGGAGCTTAAGTCTCGACCCGTGACGCATACACATACACACTATCAACTTTAAGGTAGTCGACCTTGACCAACACTATAATATTAGATCATGTTTGGTGTATAGGATGATTGATAGAATAGTATGATAATCATCTTATATTATGTTTGGTTTATATCTAAAGAAACAGATAGGATTACAAGAAGAATTAATCATCCCCTTGGTATAGGATGATTCAATCCTCCCAGAGTGGAGAGGATTATTTTTAATCCATGGGATTAAACATACATATTTTATTATACCCTTAAAAATTACATTAATAATTTAAATTATATAAACTTTGAAGAAAGATAATTTTGACCAATAAATAAATTATCCTATTCTAATCCTTGCACACATCAAACATAAGATAAGATGACATTATTTAATCTAATCCTATTCATAATATTATCTTATCCTATCCTATCATAATCTTATATACCAAACACATCCTTAATACTTTGCCTCTAACCATTCAATCAGACTGTTTAACAGGCCATAAAGCGTGCTTCTACTTGAATTACAACACCAATTTTTCACAAAATGGAAGTGATGGGCAAAAAATATAGTAGTCAATTCCAATAGCATAAAACCTTGTACTACGAGCAATTACGATTGATATATTTTTGGCCAATAAAATTAGTGATTGATCTATCACCTTCTCTTTCTTCCTGTTAGAGGCTTTGTTATTCTCAACAGCTGTAATTCTCTTCATGTAGAATTCAACTTTGTACTCCTCTGCTTCCTTTATTATTTGCTCCAACATTTCCTTCTCTTTCTTCTCCTTCTCCTCTAGCCGAATCGCGTTCTGTCTGTGAATTCATAGATTCAATCTCAACCGTTAGATCCTCACAAATTAACTTCCAGACACTTCATCAACTCAAAATTTATTTAAATAAAAAAAAGCTAATAGTAATATTTTAATTTTTAATAAATAAAAATAAAAAGTCTTCTAAAGTCTGAATATTATGGAAAATTTTGCTCGTAGTCCTAAGGTTACCTGCGCCACTCTCTCAAAGCAGAGCCTTCCTCTGGCTCCATCTCCGCCGGCGGCGGGAAGATCAGCCTATCTAATCCTCCAAACTCTCTGTTGAATCTCTTCCCGTTCTGCTCCGATGAGAAAGCAGAATATCCACTGCCGATACCGTAGATCGGCGGTGGAGAAGGTGTTTCAGGCATTGTTTGATATACGAACACATCATCTCACGTATCGAATGACTGATTATTGAACATCGGAGGGGAATCAGCAACTGAGTCGGCATCGAAGTTTGAGTACGACTCGAAACGCTGGGAAGCGAGGCGAGGGTCGTAGCCTATGTAGCCATCATCGTCAAAAGGACGAGACGACATCGTTAGACTCCCTCTCTCCCTGACCCTAACCGATCCCTGCGGTTTTTGTGAACCTCTCTCTTTGAGTTTGCTTCGTCATGGTGTCTCTCAAAAACCACAGAACAGAATCTCAGATGATTTAATACCGCGCATTGGAGCTGACGAAGAGTTGCCAGATGGTGAATGAGGTGTTGCCACGTTTTCTACTATTCTCGAGTTGTAGACTCCGAATGCTTTTCGAGTTTGATTGAGCGCCACCTTTTGCTTGACTTGTGTCCCCATTGGTCACTGCCTCCGATGTTCATCAATTGCGTGCTGAGAGGAGAAGCCTCTGTTGCAGTGTGAGGTATGCTATGCTTTGGTTACAATTAGCATTAATGAGTCGAATGAATTTGATATAATAAAAAATTTAAATTCAATTCAAAATTTATTATTTATAATTTCAATTAAATTTAATCAAAATTTATTTTTTAAATTTAAATTTAATTTAAGATAAAAATTAAATTATTTGAATTTATTTAATTTTAAGTTTGATTACGTGAATTTGAATTCAGTTTTAAATTGATAAAAATTTTATTTTTAATTAAAATAATAAAAATATATTATAATTTAAAATTTTGATTAACCTCACAAATTATTTGAACATATATTAAAATACTTAATTCAAATTATTTGATTAATCAAACACTCATATTTAATTTGATAATAATTAAATTAAATTTAAATATTTTTATATAATTCAAATAATTTATAAGTAAATATTTCCATCCACAATTAGAACTGTACTATTCTCATAGATAGACAGACCTAGTCTAACGTAGTAATTTATAACATTCAGTAAGACATAAATGTACCGGTTGTTTTCTCATGAAAGCTTGCTTCAACCCTTTTTATGTAATTATTAAATTAAATTTATTTTTTTATATATATTGGTAGTATTTTTATTAAAAAGATGAAAAAATTATTTGAATTTTGAAAAATTCACTCGTTCTTAGTCATTCAATCCAAATTGATTAAAAAAATTTAACAATCTAAACTTGTTTAATTCAAATTTGATAATCTAAAATCAAATATTAAATCAAAATAATTCAAACCTACAGCCTTCGAATTTATTTTTCAATTTGAAATGATTCCACCCATTCAATTACCCCTTTATGTTTGAACATCAGGCAGGTACTAGTGGTAGCTTGTACTTTTGAATGGTGTCATCTACTTTTTTTCCATGGAAAATTAAAGTAGCTTTTAACAGTCAAATTAATACCAAACAACATAATGTATGAAATCAATTTAACCTTCATAAATTGGTATCCGTAAGTCATATAATTTATTCCATTATTTCTATTTGTATATAGCTTTTTTTATCTGAAATATATATATATATATCATATTTATTTGGGTTCATAAGATTATATTAAAAAATTGGGAAGGAAAGTATGGGACCATTAAAAACTTAATGGCATGTCAATTGCTCAATTGAGCTTTTTAAGTTTTTGTCTTTTTTTTTTTAATCTGTACGGAATAAATAGCATATGTTAAGATATAAATTTATAATCTCAAGGGTTTATTCGAAAATATGATTGAAGGGTTTCAATCATAAAATGCATCTTTTGATATTGTAAAAAAATTTCAATCGAATTTTCAAATGAATCATAAATAAAATTTCAGTTCAACTTTATTATTTAAATCAAATATTTTTTAATAAATGAGATTCATTAAAAAAATAAATATTAATACCAAAAAAATCAAATATTAAAGCATCAATCCATACTCCTTAAACCAATTATTATGGTAAAGCTAACACATTTCTCATTCTTTTGAATTTCTTTGAAACAAACTGAACATATATGCTTTTACATCTTGGAGATGAGATATAAATGTAATATAAGAGATTTGAACTTATTTTCCAATATTTTATTTTTATTTTGTAAATTTTAATATTTTGAATTTGAGGTGTATATATATATATATATGAAAAAAAAAAAAAAAGCAAATTTTGTAAACTTCAATAAGATTGGTTATTTTGGTTATTATATTCCAATTTTAATTATATTTATTTATTTTTTACACATGTTGTGAAGGATTTATCTGATCCTTGAAATTTGTTAATCATATGGAAAATTTTAGGAATATTTCTAATTTTTTATTTGAACATGGCTAAACCACGGAGATCAAACGGTGTAAAAGCGATTTCGAAAATCACAAGCCATATATAGTGCCACGAACAGTGGTCCCATCATTAAAATGAACTTAATCATGATGATTTGATTACATTCGCATTTTCGCGGCCCAAAGGGAAGCGGACCGTACATCCAGGTATTTCCGCAATTTCAACAAACCCAATGCCTATTTAAATGAGAAGATCAGTGCGCTGCTCCTATAAATATAGAGGCCGCCCGCTTGCTGGGAAAAACCCGTAGTTTAGAATAGCGAAGGAGTGAGCGAAAGCCCAGCAACGAAAGAAGGGAGGGAAAGTGAGAGGTGAAGAAAAATAATAGAGGGAAACTTCCCGGGTTACTCTTTCACCCCCAAAACTCTGCACATTTACTGTTTTACCATCCGTCATTCAAATTTCTTCTTGATCACTTTATTATCGGTTCGAAGTGGATTTTTTTTTTAAATGAGTCGTTTAGGGTTTAAATCGGTGGTCTATCACAGGGACGTTTGTTTGGGAGAACTGGACACTGTACCTGTTTCGGACACGAATTTCCAATTCCCAAACAACGAAATTCGAATCCACCGCATCTCCCCTACCAGCGAACGATGCATTCCTCTTTCTATTCTCTATACGATTTCCTCATTTCCCGTTCGTTGCAAGCTCGAATCCTCTTCTCCAGTCGAACAACCGCATTTGATTCACCTCCACGTCTCTTGCTTTTACGAATTCAAGGTTTTCCTGTCTTTCGTTTTCTACTCAAAACTTCAATTACTTTTCAATGTTTTAGTTTTTAGTCAACTGTTTTTGACTGTGTTTTTCAGACGGCGGTGGTTTTGGTCGGAGATGAGGAGGTTCACTTAGTGGCAATGCCGAGTAAACAAAAGAAGTTTCCGTGCTTTTGGTGCTTTTCGATTCCTTCAGGACTGTACAATTCCTGCCTAGGGATGCTTAATTTAAGGTGCCTCGCAATTGTTTTCGATCTTGACGAAACGCTGATTGTTGCCAACACAATGAAGTCGTTCGAGGATAAAATCGAAGCTCTTAGGGGTTGGATTGCGCGGGAGACTGATTCGATTCGTCATTCGGGGATGTCAGCTGAATTAAGAAGGTACATGGATGATCGGTTGCTGTTGAAACAGTACACGGAGAGTGATTATGTCGTTGATAATGGAAAAGTGTTTAAGGTTCAAACGGAAGAGGTTCCTCCTTTGTCTGATGACAATGAGAAGGTTGTACGGCCCGTGATTAGGTTGCAAGAGAGGAATATTGTTCTTACTCGTATCAATCCTGAGGTTAGAGAAAGAATTCTTGACGCGATGTACTGTGTTCATTTAGTTGTTTGTATGTTAGTGGAGTCGTGTTCATTATATGTGAATATCGACTACGATTGTTCATTGAAAAATTAGATAAGCATATTTCAACTAGATTTTATTGGATGTTTTAGAATTATGACTTTTTAATGGTCTATTTAAACTGGATTTGTTGTAACTTAGGACTTAAGAGTGTCATATGGAATTTCTTGAGCTGATTATCATCCCGTAATATAGGCATTATGATAAGTAGTTAATGTATCACATTTCTGCAGAGCATTTGATGAATATTTATGGCATCTATTTGGAATATGAAGCAGTGTATGTTATCTCATTTATGAATAGTTTGCTTTGTTCAGATTCGTGACACCAGTGTGCTTGTGAGGTTACGTCCTGCGTGGGAGGAATTGAGAAGCTATTTGACCGCGAAAGGACGAAAACGCTTTGAAGTATATGTTTGTACTATGGCCGAAAGAGATTATGCATTAGAGATGTGGAGGCTTCTTGATCCAGAGGCACATCTGATAGCTCCAAAGCAACTTAGGGACCGAGTAGTTTGTGTCAAATCTGGCAAGTCTAACAATTTGAAATATCTACTTTTGTTCTTGGGTATTGATTCCTTATCATGCTGAAGATGAAACTCCAGAAAGTAATTCTGCTATTTTCTGGAATCTAAGTTGCTGATTCTTGAATTTTCTGTTAGCATATTTGAAAACTGATGGTTCAGAAAACGAACCTATAGTAGTAGCTAGTCTCCCTTTCTTGCTGGTGGCCACATTCCCATCTACTTTACAAATTTGTAATGTCCATTTGTTTTTAATTTTGCAGGTTCCAGGAAATCTTTGCTAAATGTGTTCCGAGATGGCAAGTGCCATCCACAAATGGCGATGGTAATTGATGACCGTTCAAAGGTCTGGGAGGATAAGGATCAGCCTCGAGTTCACGTAGTTCCTCCGTTTGCTCCATATCATGCTCCTCAGGCTGAGGTACATGCAATGCCTTTTTTGTAATTCAACTTATTGAGATATGATTTTATGTTCTGATTTTTTTTTGGCAAAATTTCTTCCCCCTTTATTAGACAGCAAATGCGGTTCCAGTCCTCTGTGTAGCAAGAAATGTTGCATGCAATGTCAGGGGTTTGTTTTTCAAGTAAGCCATTAATTTTGTGGGGTCAAATCTTTGTAGATGGCTATCCATCCTAATCACCTCTCATGTTTGCATTTCTAATTTCTGGTTCTACTTTTTACCAGAGAGTTTGATGAGAATGTATTACGGAAAACATCTGAAGTTTTTTATGAAGATGAGGTGGTAAATCTGCCACTTGCTCCTGATGTGAGCAACTACTTGATGTCAGAGGTACTTAAATTGGCAGTATATGCTGATTAATTAATTGAGAGAAACTTTGAATTCCTAGTTGTATCCAAAGCATTTACTTATCACTAACTTGCAGGATGCTGGTTTTGCTCCAAATGGGAATAATGGTGCTCCTATTAATGAAGGAATGAATGGAGCTGAAGTTGAGCAGAGACTTAATCAATCGGTAAGTTTTAGGTAAATATATGGTGAATGAATATGAATTTATGTCACAGACCTTGGTCAGAACATATGCTCTTAAAGCAAGTGATAAACTATACATGTGAGGCAGTTATGTGTCAATTTGTCTTCTTTTGGCTGTGCTCATTCTTTTTAGTTGCTTATATTGATGTGTGTCATATTGGATTTTTTATTATTTTTATTAACACGTTTTCCTAATTTTCATTATTATAATATCTATAGTTTATTCAGGAGGAGAAGCATGTTTTGGACTCTTCCACTCATCCAGTAACAATTAACCCTCTGTTGAGGTCTGACACCTCTCAGCCACCTGTTGCAATTGTTCCCAATATCGTTGGGCCTGCATCTTCAACAGCACCATTGCCTTCCCAGAGTAGGGTTATGCCTAGTGTGCTTGGAGCTTCTGGTCTGCTTTCGCCTCCTACCTTGCTTGGAACTTCTGTAAGAAGAGACAGCAACACTAGTGATAGTGATTATGACATGAAGAGAAGAGCCCTTGGCACAAAACAGGGTTTAGACTCAAGGAATCAGAGCTCAGTCCAATCTCCACTCCTATCTAAATTACCCACACAGATATCTTCATCGTCAACACTGCCTCAGGGAGGTTGGTTGGTGGAAGAAAACATGAACAAAGCATATCTAAATGATCAATCATCAGGCTCTGCTCTAGAATCTGATGCAACAAAAACTGATAAGCTAGGAGGATTCTCTCCTAGTGCACCAGTTTCTGTTTCCACTGGTTTACCATCACATGCATACCAAGTGAAGGTTGAAGAGGTTTGTTCAAAATTCTTTTATATTTATCTCATATAAAATGTGTCATCCTTAATGATATCTGGTTTAATCTTGTATATTTCAGGCACGTGCTGGACTTGAGACACCAAAGCAGAATGTTCTGCGTGCAGGTCATGTGTCAGGTATGTGAAGCTTTTGCTCCATCTCTTTCTTCTCAGGCAGTTGTTGCATGATATGCTATGGAAAGCAGGCTTGGGGTCTTGTGAATCTATTACTTAGTAAAGTAGTTTGAATTTTGAATAACCACAAGTGCTCTGCATGTAGGATAAGCTATGGAATATGCTCGTTAAATTATATAAAGACACATATAAACAAAAAAAAGTTGTCTAGAAAAACCATTGCTGGTAGAAGAGTTTGAACATGGAATGGAACAGTTGAATTGGCCTTTTTTTTTGTTTTTGGTGTTAATTTAAATCTTGTGGGACAAGAACATGGTTCCAAGATTTGGAATGGACATGCATTGTTATTACTATTTGGAATTAAGACTGTTTTAGAGGACTGGTTCCTGAATTCAATTAATGATTGTTTGACTTCTCTTGCAGACATTGGTGGTACTCAGAATCATGTAGCTTCTGTTAGCAGAGAATTGCAGTCTGACTGTGGAAAATTAAATCTTCTACCCTCCCATTTGTCAATAAGTGTTCTACAAGAAATTGGACGAAGATGTGGTTCAAAGGTACATTGTTTTAGGTGCAAGTTTATATATACTTAAGCTTGATTGCCTTGCTTAGTCCATTTAGTGGTTTTTCCATTTGTACTCTACAGGTTGAGTTCAGATCTGTGGTAAGCACCAGTAAGGATTTGCAATTTTCTGTTGAGGTCAGTGAAAGCTATATTTCCTTGCTGATTATCCATGAATTTCTTCTGGATTGATCTGAGTTTTCAACCCTGTTTGTCTTCTTAAATGTGAAATGCTTTATTTGTTTTTTTGGGGGGGCGGGGGGAGATTGACATGTATTTCTTCCAGAAGCCAGCTTGCACTAATGCCCTTTGTTCCCTTACTTCCCTGATTGTAGTTTGTCAATTTGTTTTATGTCTTTTGAGAAACCAGCTTCTCTTGCTGGCTTATTTTATATAGGTTTTATTCACGGGAGAGAAGATTGGTGTTGGAATGGGCAAGACAAGGAGGGATGCTCAGCAACAAGCTGCTGAGCTTGCTCTTCATAACTTAGCAGGTGAGTTTATTCTTGGTCATTTCCTTGCAGTTCTTGTTATTTTAAGAGTTAGTTTGTTTCAAAACTGATTGAAGCATGTACCTTAGTTTCGATATGATAGGTTTGAACATGTACCTTAGTTTATTCTTCTGGTTGATTGTGTTTTTCTCAACTATGAGATTGAGAAGAGGTGCAGGAAGGAACTGACTATTTTTATACACGTTTTCTCAGAAAAATATGTAGCATATATAGCACCACGTTCGGGAGCTGTGGATAGAGATTTCACTAAGCTTTCTCTTGGAACTGAAAATGGATTTCTATGGGATGCGAATCCTGCATCAAATGAAGCCCCAAGAGAAGATGGGTTACCCAAAGATAATACTTCTGAGGTGGGGAATCTGATTGACGATTCTTTCAGTACTTGATTTGATTTCTTCGTTAAAAAATGGTGATGCTTGGATAAAGGGTATGTGGGCAAGAAATTTCCAGATAAGATGTAGTGGTTATCTGGAGAGAAACCACTCCTCTTTGGATTTTGCATTTCACCTAGATGTGACGGCTAAAACACTGAAAGTAGAGTGGGCTGGCTTCATGTCTGCTACTGCTGCCTTAACTGGCTCAATTTATCGTTTTAAGAGGTAAGGACTTGGTGTCAGTCCTTAGTCTCTACCCATTATCCAAGTACTCCCAATTAATACTTTCAGCTATTTATTTTCTTTCTTAAAAGTTGATTTCCTGGACACATTTTGCTAAATGTGAATTCTACATTTTTTATAGTCACCTGAAAATTAATTGTCATGAGCAAGTGTGTTAATGAATTTGTCTAGCAAAATGAGTTGATTTATGTATTCACTTGGAGAGTGTTCATTCATCTGATTTTGCTTGGGGCACGATTTGAGGGCGACTAAGATTCTTAACACTTGAAATCAGATTTTAAAATGGTGGTTTTAATAATTATTGTTCTTTTCCTTAATCATCAGGAACCATTGCATTTAGTGATTTCAACTGGCACAGATTAACCACTTGTTTAATTGATAAATAAATTTCAGGCTGCTGAAGTGGAACCTGGGAGTAATTCATCCAGTCTGGTAAATCAACCAGTGCAAAAGCGTGCCAATTCACCAAGGTAACAAAAGAAGGGGCTGAGGTCAAGGGGAATCTAAAGTAATATGTAGGATTTCTTTTTGCCTCAATTGTTTGAAGGGTGTATTCAGACCCCTACCCTTGAAATTTTTGGAAAGTAGGATTCACCCCCCCGAGTCCTGACTGAGTTTGATCTATTTGAGTGCTGTATTCTACGTCTTGTTTTGTTTTGCATGTCACCTTTTACATTCAAGGGGCACGTACTTCCTATATGCATTCCTACATGGATGATGGAATTCCTTTTTTTTGGGTGTTTTTTGTCCTTACCTCATGGTTTGCATGGCTTATACATCATTTCCTTTTTATTTTGAGTACGGCTTGCCAGTATTGGGCAGCTTATTTGCATTTTTATCTCTAGTTATGACTGCTATTACAAAGCTTCCTCAGACTGGAACTCGGTATTATTGTGGGAAATTTCCTTCTTGAAAGGGCTTTGTCTTTTCATACCTTGTTTGTTTCTATTTAACAAGTACTAGGATCAAAGGATTGTTGTTGAGCTTGGTTCTTTTAGACATGGATGTTTTACTTACATTTGTTATTTCTGAATGTTACCAGATTGTCTGAATCTATGCCAAGCAAACGATCAAAGGAAGAAGTTGCGCATCAATTACGAAGTCTATCATCCTCACTGCAACCTAAAAATGAGCATCCTGTTTCATGAAAAGCCATGAGAATAGGAAGTAATGATTTTGCACAGAAGGGTTTTGAGACGAAACAAATTTAGGATTGCAGAAGTGCGGATTCCAATCTTTGTTGGGTTGGAGTTAACTAATGCTGATGTGAATTTTATTTCTCTTTTGGAAATATGGGCAATCCGTTTTTTGTCATTTTGCCCCGTCATTTCCTGGTCTGTATATGATCAAAGGCATAGCTTGTCCTTGGATATTGTAACGATCTAATCTTATAAATTCCACTATTCCAATGATCAAAGACTAGTTTCTTCACCTGATCCACCGATTAAAATTTCCCAGTGCCAGATAATCCAATCGGTGGTCTCCATCTTGCATTTCTTACTCACACTCTTGCACAAATTTATGCAGAATTATCCCAAATATCCTGAAACCAGAAAATAGGAAGAAGGCTGCATTATTAAACAACAATTTTTACAAGATTTTGAGAGATTTAATGATTGTGGTGTGATTATGATAAATGTTAATAATTCTTTGGTTAAGAACTACATTGTTGGTGCGTTATGGTATTTTTTTTGTTTTTAGTTTTTGCTCGAGTATGGAGTGGACAACGAAAATGGATGGACTTCGAAGGTTGTGAATTCTGCCATCCCAATTAGGAATCTGGCTTGGGTTTTGAACATGTTGTCTCAGCAGCAGGACAGTAAAGATGCAGGCAATTCAGGCACTCCTTGACGCACGCCTTTGGTTTTGTCATTTAGTAATTTATACTAGTAATAAAGAGCATCAATTTTCAGGACATCAATGCAGTGATAATTCTGCAACGGCCTTGCCCTCTTGAGATGCGTTCTCAATTACCTCAATGATATTTATGATGATTATGCCTTGCTCGAACTCAGAGGATCAGTGACAGATTATAAATGCTAGCTGCATTTTGAGATGGGAAGCAATTCTAGGAATCATCTTTGACTCTCCTTTCGAGGTTACCTACTGAAAGAAGCCTTAATTCATGTGTAAGATATTTCCCCACTTACAATCATTTTCACCTATTGTCTGAGCTCTCAATATCACCAATGGTTAAAAAAATATAATAATGTTATGCTCATTTGTTTTATAGCAGAAATAGAACAAGATTGATATGAAACTATATTGTGAAGATTCATAAACAAATTAGAACAGAATTACTTTATTTTCCCTGGTTTTGAATGTTAACATATCAGCAAACACGCCTGGAAAAGATCAGAAATAAACAGAGCATTTGAACTAAGAACATCCGGATTTGCCCCGAACAGAATTGTCCAGCACTTACTTCTACTAGGCGTATATAAATGATTCTTGGTCTAAAAAACTTACTAAAACAAATAGCACAAAATTCTGGGAATCTCACAGAGTAGAAGAAGCAATAACAGAATCAAGGAAGCAGTTTTTGTATGTACATACCAACACCCCTACCAATACCTAACCTACATTTTTTATTTGCCAGGGCATTTTTAGAATTTAACACAAACGAAACATGATGGCAACAGTCTTTCATAGACTTGAGAATATCCAGTTTAAGTCTAGATTATCTATAGAAACCTTAAAATTTTCAGAAGCTTCTGTAATGTTTTACGACCCCACTGGACATCGCTTTGCAAGACATTACTTTGAAAAGGCTCCAGGTCAGGCTGTTCTTCTCTAACTAGTTTGGGCTTCTGAATATGATGGTTGTCAAGCTGTTCCTCATCATCGGGTACTGCAGTTGTTTTTTCTTCCCGTGGTTCACCTTCAGGTTCTTGCTTCTCATCTAACTGAATTATTAATTTGTAGTCAAATAAATATGGAAAAGATATAAAAATATCACCTGCAATTACCAACAGCCATGGTAAATTTTTCAAGAGGAGAATCAGATATTGCCTTAACCCCATGATTCTAAAGTACACCGCACACCAGCAATCTATCACAGTATCACAGATTGTCAAAAGGGAAAGTAATTGATAATTCTGTTCCTGTTCAAGCAGCAAAGGCTTTCCTTTACATTTTTGGCATCAGACATTAGAATTACTGGAAATGCAACATTGCATCATTTGTGGCTTAAAATAATTATATCCTTCAAGTTAGGTATAGGTAGTGAAGTTCAAGTTTAGATTGAACATTCTCAAATGCAGCAAAGTTTTTTTCTTTAAATATAAGTACGTGTGTGAAAAGTAGGAGGGCGGGGATTCCACTTATCTATTCTCATATGCTAAGGATTTTCTTGTCCCATTTCGTGATAATTAATATACCAGTCTTCTTAATGATTAATGTACAAAACATCAATGATGATGGATTGAAAGAGCTGCATTGCTGATTACACATCATCTCAAGAAGATACAAGCTGAAACTTTGTAGTATGGGATTTCTTAACACAGAAGAAGGTTCATGGATATGATGAGGTTTTATTTCTCGCTAGGTGATAGTACTAGAGGAATGGAAGAGAGGAAAAAGAAAAAAAAAAAAAAAAAGACAGAATAACACACTCATCAGGCAATTACCTCTGACAATTTGTGATGTTTAGTTTCAATAACTCCAATTGATGCATCAGTGGTACTATTCTCCTCGTCCTCATCCAACATTGTTTCTTCAGTTGACACTGTTGCAGATGGAGTCAAGCCAGGTACTAAAACAGGAGTACCTTCATTTGCTACCACATTTAGCTCAACATCTGCAGCTGCGGGGTTCTGGACTGTTTCTGCTCTGCTGGTACTTCCAAAGTCCTCTGCTACCAAAACATTCTTATTTGAAATAGCCAAAGCTTCATCATTTAGGTAGTTCGTTCTCTTCACACCAAGCACTCCATTGTTTGCATTGGCGATAAAGTCTTCTGTTGGGTAACTAATATTCTCTGCAACAATAGCCATCGGCTTCTCTAGTGGAGCAAAAGTGCCAGTGGCCAATTCCTCAGATAATGCTTGTAGTGGATTCTTTCCAGGAGAGGTGATACTATCAGTATCTGATAGCAGATTTATGTCAGAGACTAGTTCTTTCTTTGAAGGTGTCAAGTTCTCTAAAACGATTGCCATCTTTGAATCAAGAAGAGGTCCATCTTGATTAGCTAATGGTTCTTCCTCTATTACTTTCTGCTCTTCAGCTTTTTCCCAGTCTTCGCAAACAATAATCGTATTCTCAGTTTCCCAGGATTTAAATATTCGATCAGGGTCTGGTTGCCATAAAAGGTTCCCCGTCCTTGTTTTCAGAACGAATTTGAACTGGATTGATACTCCAACAGGTATATCCTGAGCAAGCATAAAGCAAGAGATCTCATCAATATAGCCTTCAACAAGAATATTTCACATTCTTCATAAGTTCCTCCTTACCAGCTCTAGTGTCCAAACATGTCCTTCTGACCAAGTCAGTGGTATAGCACTCTCAGGGTCCCATAAGCCTAACATAGGGTGATCCCCTACTATGAAAAAATGCTCGCCAAATGAGCACTCTTTCCGTAACTGGAATTTGACATGAGTAGTCTTTGATGGATCTGTGAATCAGAGGTGCTGAAATGAGACTCAAAATTCAGAATGCCCAATAATAGACAAATAGTTAAAGGGCTAGAAGATCTTACTTTCTTCTTCAGGTTGAGATTTTGCTGTCTCCAAGTCCACCTACATGAAGAAAATTTACCAATTGAAACTGAACTTCAATACAAGTTAGTCTTTCTCTTGAATTTGAAAGAAATTGTAAATGAAGCAATACATTTGGTTGTAAAAGAAACCATGAACGCATAATTTAAGGCAGTCACTGCCACACTGGCTTGGAAATCACAGGGAAGAAATATAATAGTATTGAGCAGTAACAGGGAAAGAAAACTTGGGAATCAAGCAACGAGCTTCCTCAACAACAAACGAAAAGAATTTAAGTTTCCAGAAACAAAACCATTCAAAATCAACAGAAGTAAAAAAAAAAAAAAAAAAAAAAAACACCAAAAAAAACTTAAAGAAATGATAAGAAAAAACAAAAAGAGAAAAAAGGAACCTGCCTGTGAGTCTGGTGACAAAGAAGAAGATGAAAAAACAGGCTGCAGACGCCTGTGTTGCACAGAAAGCAAATGCAGGAACCGGATTCTAACAAGCTTTTTTGAAGGTAATAAGCATACTTCAGTTCTACCAAGAGAAAGATCCTTAAAACAAGAAGACCCTTTATCTCTATTATTGTCAATGACTGCCTTGAAGCAAGAACTCGTCAAGGTTTTCATCACTTCCGGTTTCAAACCGTAACTCTCTCGCTATACCTTTCACTAGAGCTTCAGTTTTTGTTCATGAAAAAAACAGTGATTTACCCAGTAATCTGCCTCTGGTGGTTCTCTACACTCTAAATATTGAACGGATTGGGATAAAGGTATCGGATCCGCTGTCACGTGGCATTTTGACACGTATCATTCCATCGTGAGAATCTCGAGTCTCAAGACTCTCAACAAACTGGCAACTGCTTTTGCATTTCAAGAGACCCTGCTTTGATCCCCGCGCTCGATTTAAAGATGGCGGTGACATCTGTCTCATTGTGTTAATTGACTTCCAGGTGCTCCTCCATTTGTGGCCAAGAAAATATAGAAATTTCTGCTGCTCTGGGCCACGAGTTTTGGAGGCATTTCACGGTCCAGGTCCAGCCAATAAAGCTTGGTTAACACCATCCACTTCCACAACCCAGCCTTCGATACCATTCAATGGACTATATCTAGTTCATCTATTTTTTGTTCAGCTCTTGAATTGGATTGCAAGATTCCTGAGAAGTTGATATATTAATTCACTTATCGACATTGGGAAGTTGGCTATTGGAACTTAAGGTCTTCACTGAAGCAGTCCAACCCAGAATTGGTTCGCAACCTAGTTCTGAGTTCCTTTTACTAAGATGGGTCAATGAGGACATTCGTATCCTAGTAGAAATCACAAAAGGACCAGCTTGACAGGAACACCGATGGTAGGGCTTGCTTGCTCAGTGGAAATTTGGAAAGCCATAAATCTAATGACTTTGATTCTCTTTCCAGAGTCAAGACACTATTGTTTTTCAATTACTTCAGCTTTTCAATCCAAGAAACTTGTCTTTGATATCAAGCAATTTGTTTCTTTACAACAATAGTCATAGTCATCCACTCACTTGGCAATATTTCAGCACACGACAGGTGAGTCTAATTTTCAGCAGCTAAACCAAAGTCTCAACACCAACTATATATGCCACCACCAATGCCATCAATCTTTGCAAGCCTTTTTACATTTGCTTAGACCATTCTTCAATTTCATCTGTTCCTACTTTCTTTGTGATGTGACCAACCAAAAGAACTAGACCTGCCCCTGCAGAAACTATTTGTTGCTGAAGAAAGTTAATTGGCCGCAAGGTGTTCCTTCAATGAAATTTATTTATCTTTTATAAACAATGTGATTCTTTCTTTGGCTGTAAATATCCGGTTAACTTGCTTTTTTTTTGCAGGTTGGTTCCTTTAATATAGGCTCGTGTTTGTTCATCTTAACCTGACAGATTGACTACGGCATTTATCTTGTCGATTTCATTGATTTTAGAAGTTAAAATAATTATTTTGCAGGAGGATATATTATCCTCATTGGTTGTGTAGGTTACAATGGGCTTGTGCTGGCCCAAACTTGACGTACCCACGCTTTGCTTTAGTACCTGCCTTGTAATTATGTAGCTGGCCCAATAACAGTGGAATTTATCAGACCACATCGTAAGCGCTTGAACACTGCATGGGTTAGGAGCCTAATTTATCAGACTGGCCATGGCGAGTTGACCCGAAGGCTAAGAGTCGTCTACCCTGAAAAACAAGCATATCCCATTGTATCGGAAACTGATCAAACTCGGTGTAATAACTAAGAAGGATCAAACTTTTGGACATTTGAAAACAATGCTTCTTCATGGTTTCCTCTAGATTACAATGTCGGACTTTAACTTTTGTAGCTGAACCAGTCAATGTAAACGTCATTTTTTGGCTGCCTGAAGTTTTCTGCAGAGAAGAGTTTTGTGGTCGCCATTTTGATGGTAATTTCAAAGTCGATAACACAATAATTAAGCCAGATTCCACATACCAAATTATTCTTTTTCATTCAAATTCTTTTTTCTTTTTAAATTTCTTTTCATTCAAATTCTAAATGAAAAGAGAATGAAACAAACATTCAATTTCTTTTATTTTGTTTCCTATAGAAAAAGAAAAGCATCTAAACAAAACCTATAATAATTTGGTTGATAGTGCCATGTGGGCTCAACTTGAAAACAAGTTGCTAGGATGAACAATGGTTTAGCACCAATGGCATTTGATTTGCTAAACTATATATTTGGATATATATATTTTTACATGTTATGGGTATTTTTTAAGTATTTTTTTGGACTTAGATCATTTACTTGAATGATACAAAAGGCGTGCTACCTTAGCTCAGATGGATAATTCAAAATTTTACTCTTAATACTTTTCACAAGAATCGAATTTTGATTGACAACTAACTGTCTTTTTTTTATTATATTATGTATAATAATTTATAATAATCGTTAGAGATAAAGACTTTGACATTGAGATATGGCTTGATCATAATTATTAATACATAATTAGACGATATGGCCCCATGATCCATGACTATTTTTATAATAATTGATGGGGTTCTCTTTTTTTTAATAACTCACATTGGATATTTATTGTAAATAATACAAATATTTTTACAATACATAGTTCAACAGTGACTTCTCATCTACCAAAAATTTAATTAGGGACCAATAGTAATTATATACTAATAAATTATACAAGGAAACCTGCATCGTCTGGGACTTAAACGTTGAAATTTAGGCTTTGCTGTGCTGCTGTAAGATATGACAATGTATAGATATTGATTTTTGCCTCTCATATGTACCAATTGTAAGGAGAAATCATTATCATTCACAGCAAGTCATTGGAATAAATTAGCCACTTGGATATATGACTTAAATATCGTTAAAAAAAGTAAAGAAATCAGGTAAGACTTGTATAATAATAATAATTGTATTAAACTTGATCCAGTCATATTCTGGAAGTACATTGATTTTCAAATATTAATTCATTCCTAAAGTCAGAAACCCATAGTACTTTCCTACAATAATTTCAAGGACATATTAAAATTCTTTCGTACATTGAATTATTATTGCAAGTAATTGATTCTCTATAGCAGTACTTGTTCATTTCTATTAAAAAAAATTATTTATCCAAAAAATAATAAATCTTACTAAATTGTTGAATAACTAACAGAAGTAAAAGGGTCCCAATACTATAAAACATGTTCCTCTCCTTAAAAGGATGCCTTGGATAAGAAGAAAAGATCAAAGAAAATGCTCACCACATCACTTATTTTCAAACTGGTTTATCCCTGGAGTCACGCTGCGGGCTTTTCAAACGTTCCATGTATGACTAAAACAAAATAAAAACATTGCATTTAGAATTGTTCAATCAAACCCGGATCACCACGGCAGGCTTTGACCCAAGAATAACAAAAAGGCAAATATCAGCCAAGGTAAAGAAGGGAAAGTCATATACAATGTTATACTATGGTAGAGCCGCTTTATTGGAATGTGCCTCTGTCTATACTTGAAATAATCTCTTTGGTCTGACCACCATGAATGGTTTATAACTTGGGCGGTCTAATTGCTTTTCTGAGATTCTGAATTTCTGATAGTTTCAAGCCCTTCCGTGTTCTACTATCATGGCAGTGAAAAGAGTAGTTTCTCCTGAAATTTTTGGTTATCGGTTAGTTAGCCGGGCCAAATCGCCTGTAATCTCTATAATCCTACTTGCTCTTCTAATATTTTTCATGTTTGCTGACAGTCTCATTTCTAGCATGTCGCTGCCATCTGCTGCCTTCACTGAAAAAGAAGATTCTGAAGTGTTACAGACTCCAAAAGTTATAAGAAAAATCAAGTCGGATGTTCCTTCTGTACCATTGAATGTTTCTAAACAAAAAAAGATCATTCAAGTTGATAGTGACAATCAGAATTCTCTAGTAATTTCTTCCTCGGGTGTTAGAGAAGAACGCAGAATTGGGCGATTCAGGAGAAAACTGCCCGAATTTGAGATTTTCAGGTCAGATGACCTGACAAAGAGGTTTCATGGTCGAGTTCTGAAATTCTTCAACCAGGAATGTGATATTCAATTCTTCATGACGTGGATTTCATCGGCAGGGTCCTTTGGAAGAAGAGAAATCGTAGCTGTGGAAAGTGTTTTTAAAGCCCATCCTCATGGTTGCTTGATGATTCTATCAAGAACCATGAACTCTAAACAAGGTTACAGGATCCTGAAACCGCTACTTGATCGTGGCTTCAAAGTGCTTGCAACCACGCCGGACTTGCCATTTCTGCTCAAGAATACACCGGGTAAAGCTTGGTTTGATGAAATGAAGAGTGGGAAAAAGGACCCCGGTGAGATACCACTGGCTCAGAATCTATCTAATTTAATAAGACTTGCAGTTTTATACAAGTATGGAGGTGTTTACTTGGATACGGACTTCATAGTCCTGAAAAGTTTTAAAGGGCTAAAGAATACAATCGGAGCACAAAGCATTGATGTGGTGTCCAAGAACTGGACAAGATTGAACAATGCAGTTCTGGTCTTTGATATGAACCATCCACTTCTATTCAAATTCATGGAGGAATTCGCTTTAACCTTTGACGGAAACAAATGGGGACATAACGGGCCCTATATGGTTTCCAGAGTAGTTCGCAGAGTGGAAGGAAGACCTGGTTATAATTTCACCATCTTGCCTCCAATGGCCTTTTATCCTGTTGATTGGATTAAAATAGGGAGCCTTTTTAAGATGCCTAAAGACAGAGCTGGCTCAAGATGGGTAGAAGCTAAGCTGCATCAGCTAAATGGCCAAACCTATGGAGTACATCTCTGGAATAAGCAAAGTAGCAAACTAATGGTTGAAGAGGGAAGTGTAATGGGAAGATTAATGTCAGAGCACTGTCTCTTGTGTAAACATATATATAGTTCTTGAAAGGAAATTTTCCAGCCTGAAGATGGTCAAGCTTCTTCCATCAAAACAGATCTTCCTATGGCAAAATTGCAAGAGTCTCCAGTGTCAAAATTTTGTACAGTTTGTTGCCTGAAAAGGCCCAATTCAAGGGCTGTGATTTTTCTTTCTTTCCAAGACTTACGTTGGTTGTCTGATTCCATTTTTTCTTCTTGTTGTAATTCTTCTTCCACATGTAAATTAAATATAGATGAAAAGGAAAAGAGAGAAATAGTTTCCTTAACTTTTTCTTATTGCAAATGTAATTATCTGTAAATGATTGCTTGCTTTGAAAGCTTTTCAAAATGTCATTGCAAAAGCTGTGGAGTAAAATCAGAACATTTTACCACAAATCATGATCCTAAGCCTTCTAAAACTCAACCTGAATCTAAATCCTGGAAGCCTTCTAAATGACTTTTTCCTGCTCAATCTACGGTTACTATTTGTTGTTTTCCTATTCTTGAAGCTGAAGTATTTATCCATGAAACTACCATCTGAAGCAAAATCACTTCGCCCATCAATCTCCAAATTATTAAACCAACCAGTCTGCTTGATGGATGCCCAAGGATCTCGTACTTCACCTTCTGTTTCACTTCCCCAAAAGGCTATAGACTTTATAATTGGTGAGCCACTGTAATTCTCAAAATGGGTTAGCAAACTAATATGTTCCATGTCAAATAATCTCTTCAGAGACATGCTTCCACTTTTCATCAATTCTAATAAACCGCTACTTCAGCGAGAAGAAGAAATGGAGGAACTGGAAGCAGCTGCAGAAGACAGGGAAGATGATGAAGATGAAGACCAATACAAAAATTTCTGACACTGGATTATCCGTCTGATACTTTCCTTCTGAGCTCTTGAATTGATGAAATAAGGGTTCTCTTCCTCCTGTTCCTCTGTTATCTCCGATGATATCATACTGTAAAATGTTGTTTATCCAAAAATCAATCAGTAAATGAATGAATTAAAACACAGTTCTTGTTTATGGAGAAACACAATGAGGACAACAGAAGAAATGAAAAATGAAACAAAGATGCATAAAACTACTAGAAAAACAAAAGTAAGAGCCGGCCATAGGAATGTCTTGTTTTGTGCTACTATTTGTTCCAAAAAGTTAAACTGCTAGATGACAGAACCAGAATTTAGAAGATCATCCCGGGTTTGAGTTGTTATTATTTAATGGAATGGCTTACGGTGACAGGAAAGCATTGAAGTTGACTTCTACAGGGATTTACATTAGATAACGGTTGAAAGATTACTTTATAATTAAACAAGCTAAACACAGAATCTATTCAGCTTATTATATAATTGAAACCAACAAAAAATATTAATAAAATAAATGTACTAAAAATTCTATAGAAGAAATTTCAAATATAGTATAAAAATAATAGCCAAATGATTAAAAAAAAAAAAAAGCATTAAGCAATGTTGTCACATTCTATAGTTATACCTGAGCCACAAAAAATTCTTTCCTCAGCTGAAGAAGGAAAATACATGCTATGAACATTATAGCAATTAAAAATTAGTTAGTAACAAATGTATAAAAGCTCTCCATAGGGAGAGAATCAACCTGAATTTTTTATAATGCTAATCACATCCTATATTTGATATAAGGGAATGTAGGGCCATCCTTAACAAAATTAAGAAATTTGATTTCAGCTAAACTAAAAATGGGGAAAATAAAATGGAAACAAATGTAAAATATTTATATCAATTTTATATTTTAGTTCTAACAAATTTTTTATAGATTTAAAATTTATTCTAACTACTTTCTCAAGGAGTTGTAATTCAATTTCTAGAATTCATATATACCTCCCAATTATGAAGCCGAGCCCATGGGATCCCTGCCCATCTCTTAATGGTATTATTAACTACCTGAAACCACGGGCATGTCTCAATCACTTTCTCATTATATTAGAATATTAGCATTTATCCGTACAATGTACGGCATTTTAAATTAAAATTTTCATAATTAAAATTTTATTTTTTAATTATTTATCTATTATCATATATTTATTAATGCTAAGCTCCAATTAAATGATAAATTATACATAATATATTATAAATGACATTATTTATCTAAAAGAAGTTGTAAATTTCAAGAATTATAAAAATCTTTTTTTCATTAAAAAATATTTTCTTCAATTTATTTATTAAATACTAAAAATTTTGTTATTGTTTTTTTGTTTGATAAAAAATTAATAATCAATATTTAAATAATTAAAATTAATAATCATTTTTATTGTCATGTTGATTAGGTGGTGTAGATATATTTGATTGAACAACAAATCATAATTATTAATTTTGTTATAATCATTTACTTTTTATTAATTCTCATTTTTTATATATTTTAAGTAATTATTACACAAATATATTGAGTTAACAATTATTTTTATATATGTCAACAAAATAAAATTATTTTTTGGATAAAAAGAAAACAATAATTCTTTATGTTATGCTTAAAAACATTTTTTTAGAAATATTGTTTTGTTTTTAATCATTTTTAACATAATTGATAGTATTTTTATGAGTTAGATATGGTAGTGATCATTATTCTTCTTCTATCATCCATTATAAACAAAGAAATTCAATAATAAAAAGTATAGCAAAAAGAAATATAGAATATAAATTTACATATTAATTTGTTAAGATTAAATATATATACAATAATAAAAGCAAATATGTTAATAAATTAATAAAGAATAAAAACATTGAAGAAATGAACAAAACAAAAAAAATATATAATACAAAAAGTTAATTATAATCAATCTAAGCAAAGTTTAAAAAAGTTATGGACTAAAGAGAAACAAATAAATTAACCAAATATATAATATAAACATATTTGAATTAGAATATAAATAAAACATTATATTTGTTTTCAAAGCAAAAACATATTTTTATGTAATTTTTTTATTGGCATTCAAATGTCTCATATTTTCATATAAAGATATAAGCTTTTATTACTTTAAAAATACATGCTTTCTGATCAATAATTCATTAACTTATCTAAAAGTATTAAATTTAAATAATCTATCAAATAATTTTTAATTTTTGATAGATTTGATTTAAATTTAAATAATTATCTAAAAATATTAAATTTAAATAATTTGTTAAATAGAATTATTTGACAAAAAATAAAATTTATTAAATATATATATTTGAAACTGCCATTAATTTTAAAAGGAAAAGATAAATTATAATTTAATATATTTGAATTCAAATTTTATGCAAAAATTTCAATCTTAGATAAATATTAATTTCAATTTAAATAATTATCTAAAATATTTAATTTAAATAATTTATTAAAATATTTTATTTGATAAAAAAATAATATAAATATTATACTATGTGTCATTAAAAGAGATTATCCACTTAAACATTCTCATAAGTAATTTAATCATATAACTTTATATGTTGTAATATATATATATATATATATATATATATATATTAGATGCTGGTTTGGAAATTCGAACTTTTCATTACATTATTATGACATGTATAATCACAACCACGTTTATTTTCTAGCTTGGACTACGCATGTGGAATCAGCAACAAACAATTAGATTTAATAATTTGTGTTATTTTGATGAGTAAAATATTATATTCGTATCGTATCGTATTTGATATAAAAATTATATGTCATAATTCATGTTAATACAAAAATATAAAATATAAAATTTTAATTTTATTAAATCTATTTATAGTTGTTTTAAAATTTTAAATCATGTTATCTTTGTATTTTTTATTCGTATTTTTTTATATCGGTTATTTTAAATTATCATATCTATGATAATACCATTTGGTTATATATAATTATGTGTATGTGCCATGAGCATGTCTCCAGCTCTAAGGAAATTCCCTGTCTGTTCAATGCTTGGGCCATTCTGGAACATGTCCAAGAAGTCATTGACTTACAGTTTGATTAGCCGTACTATGGCGAAATCGCCATTCCTATTCACCATTTCCTTTGCTGCTATACCATTTTTTTTTAATGCAGACAGCCTAACTTCTAATCTTTTCATTAACACTTGAAGATTCATTTATCCCGTAGGCTTTTAGTTTTTCTAAATTTTGGGCAAGTGAAGATTCATTCATAATCCAAAAACGAAGTACAAAAAGGAATCTTACTGCTGCAATCACAATAAAACTGTTCAATATAAGTAATTAGCTGTGCATGTATCTGTGACAAGTTATAAAATGTCAGATCCCGAATTGATTCTTAAACACATTTTTAGTAATCGCATGAAAGGAAATTCTGATATTCTAATTTTGTAATGTGAAAAGCACGATCATGTCAACATAATAACATTAACTCCTTGTTAAATCAGGAAAATTTTATCAGGCACTCAGTGGCATGTGAAAAAAATGTGCGACAATCTATTGCTGATGATTGAATGATTTATATGAAAATGGCCATAATTAGAAGCCGCAACGGAAACAGAAATCGGAAGTCCACAATAATGTGTATCTACAACTCCACAACTATAGAGAAACTCCGGTCCACAATAGATTCATCTGCTTACTATTTTAAAAACCAGCTAAGGTGCCGTAGGAACCTGATGAAGCAGAAACCTTACTGTTATATTTTCTAGCGACCAAAATTAGGCAGGTCAAGGTTTACGATGGTCTGTATTCTGATTTATTGTCATTCTGGTGGTATGCATGATTCCAGTCATATCTTTATCTTCATGTAGTTATTCACTTGTGATATTGTATTTAAACATGTAAAATGCAAGGCTTTTTTTTTATCTCAATGCCATTAAATTAACTCTTCAAAACTGACTCTTTCAGGTGCATGTTCTCTATTAAACTCTAGTGGCGGTGAGCAATTTGTTTCAGAAGATGGCAGTGAGAAATTTGTTTCTTATGTCTAATTACCAGCGATTTTTCCGTTCTTTCAAATCACCAATCTTCTCTACCGTATCATTGTTCTTTACCATCTCAGTGGCTGCTATATTCTTTATAATCTATGAAAATATACTGACTTCTAATCTCTCTATGTATCCTGAAGATACTGCAGCTAATAAAATTCTTACAGCACCAACCACCAAAAGCAAAGGACAGTTGAGGTCAACTTTTAGCAGCAAACCATTGCAAATTACCACACAAAGAAAGATCGAAGGAGTTGATAGAGAAACCTTGGATCCGCTAATTCCTCCATTCAATGTCACCAGATTGGAAAGAATAGCTTGGTTCCAGAAGAAACTTCCAGAATTGGGGTTATTCAAATCAAGCAACTTTAATTCGCAATTCCATGACCAAGTTTTAGGTTTCTTCAACAGTAGCTGTACAATTTGGTACTTCATGTTATGGCTTTCACCAGCTCAATCCTTTGGACCAAGGGAATTCTCAGCTGTAGACAGTCTGTTCAAAGCTAGTCCTAAGGGATGCTTGATGATTTTATCACCATCTCTGAATTCTAGACAAGGATACAGGATTCTGAAACCACTAATTGATGGTGGATTTAAAGTTCTTGCAGTCACACCAGACTTGCCTTTTTTAGTTAAAAACACTCCAGCTGAGGGTTGGCTTGATGAGTTGAAGAGGGGGAGCAAGGACCCTGGAAAAATTCCATTATCTTATAATCTTTCCAATCTGATTAGATTAGCAATACTTTACAAGTATGGAGGAGTTTACTTGGATGTAGATTTCATAGTTCTCAAAGATTTCACGGGATTGAGGAATGCAATTGGTGCACAAAGCATAGATACAAGCACCAGGAAATGGACCAGAATAAATGGAGCTGCTATGATATTCAATGACAACCATCCACTTCTACATGACTTCTTAGAGGAATTTGCCTTAACCTTTGATGGAAGTAAATGGGGTCACAATGGGCCTTACCTGGTTTCCAGAGTGATCGAAAGAATAGAATATGCACCTGGCTATGACCTTACAATCTTGCCACCTAAAACCTTTTATCCTATGGATTGGATTAAAATAGCCAGACTTTTTAAGAAGCCCGAGACAGAAACAGAATCGAAATGGATAGAAGACATGTTGGTTGAACTAAACAGAAGCACTTATGCAATACACCTATGGAACCATCGAAGCAAAGAATTAATGATCGAAGAAGGAAGTGTGATGGACAAACTAATCTCATCTTTCTGTGTGATTTGCCAACAGAGGAACAAGCAACCGCCATTAGGAACTACCATTGATAAAATTTTGTTTCTCAATACCATATAGCTTATTTAGTTGTCATAGAATTATTATTGTCATGTCTCATCTCATACCTAGTCATAGAAATTTCCCAATGTTATTGATGCAAGACACCCAAAATTCGAAAGCACAGAAGAATTCATACAAAAGGGTGTGTCAACAACTGCAAATACAGCATAACCCAGTTTATTGAATTTAAGAATTACAAGAGAAATAAACAAATTAACCATCATGGCAGCCTAGCTAGAAAAAAAGACACTCATCAATTTCAATCTTGATCTTCTCACCACCATCAAACTTATCTACTCTTGAAGGAGATGGAGGAACAGGCACTCTTGGTGGCCCCCTCCCCTTCTTCTTGTCCCTAGGCCTCGCCTATTCAATTTTATTAAAAAAAATAAAAATCAGTTTCCATTATCTACCTTCCAAGATAATCACAAACCTCTTTTTTTTTTGGTTTTATAGGCTTCCATTTTAGCCCAATCCCAACATTTCCTTGTATGTCCAAGCCCAGTTCAAATCATGGGTCAGTTTGAGCCTTCAAGCTTTTATTTGAGATGGGAAGTTACACTCGATGGCCCAAAGTAATAAGGTAAGATCCATGTCACATGGATTATCCATTTGCAAATTGCAATTCTTTTTATTTTTATTTTTAATCCATAAAGCATATTATACATTTAAATCCTCTCAATCCCGTAACTTTGAAAGATTTATTTCATAATTCTTAATTCTTACACAAAGAGTCCAAGTTTCTTTTTTTTTTTTTTAATTTCTCTCCTCGTAATATAAAAAAGCTGAAATGGCAAGCAATTGAAGACAATAGTTGGATCTAATTAATTCTTCTGAAACTGCAGCTTTCACATGTAAATAGTATGTCAATCTAAGCAAATAACTTGCTTATTGTGGTAATCTTCCTTTAATCTTAAAGTACCCTAATCTAAACCTGTTAAGGATGCTTATATCAGAAGCATTTTACTCTTTGTTTATTTTATAGATTTTCTTGCTGGAACAGATGATGGCTCTGAATCTAACATGTTACTTTCTTTTAACGGTTAACTATAGGAATCATGCAGGCACTATAATCTATGGACAAGGCACCCTGCTAAGAAAGGATGCAATTCGTTTAACAGGCTAAAGCAGGACTTTGGACTACAAATAAGCTTATTTTATTTGCCATATATGAAAATGCTTTGAATATGGTCAACTTGGAAAAGGTAAGAGGTGAACTCAATCTAAGCAGTGAAAATCTTCGAGGTCAGAAGGCTAAGCTTTTTTCCAATCAATATTAACTCTGAGGATTTTTTTTTTTTTTTTTTTGTCTTTTGGATTACAATTAAAATTTAAAGTCGAAACTTTCAACCTTAAAATCTATTTAACTAATATTGAACTAACATTTCATTAATATATCAACTTCGTGAGATTGAAATAATGAAAAAAAAAAAAACCTCAAATAATTCACAGCATCAAACATACAGTTAATGGAGAATGCATGTGCTAGATTTGCTCAACACCTACAAGATCTTATAGGAACCAACTCTCCCACATGAATCACAAAATGTACATGTCAATTTTTTTCTTTAGCTAATCATGCATGAAAAAGAAGCCGACAATAGCAAACCAGCATGACTTGGTACTAATGACCACCTGAAATCCAGTAAAGCCTAATCATGCTTCTTCCCATTCTCTTTTCAGCTATAGTATAAAAGAAAATTACAATTAATTAGTTCAAATCAAACTTTGATTATTCAGTTAACACTGTCAAAGGGTGTCATTTACACGCTTTCCCTTTCCAAATCTAAAGGAAACAGGAAGAAGGCACCTATCCATCGGATGCATGTGCTAGAACAAAAAAATAAATTGAACAAGAAGAAGAAAGATGGAAATTATTAGTTAATTTTTGAATTATAATTATAGGCTTTTGATTGGGCATGAAACCACACGAGATAAAGATGCACGTAGTTAATGTAGGGAGAGTGGCGAGTGACCAACAGATGAGCCAACTTGCAACCCATGTGATTGTGAGGCTAGTCCGAGGCTGGTCCATGGCCCACTCTCCTCATCAGAATCTAATGTCAGAAGTGCCACTAAGCCTAAGTTTGAATTCTATCGCAATGCGGTGCAAAATGATCGAGTTTATTGTATTATTAGTTAAATTTAAAAATTAATTTTAATAAAATTTATTTAATATAAAATTTTTATTAAATTTTTTTTTCACATTTAATTATAATAATTTTTATTATTATTTTCAATTATATCAAAATCAATTTCTTCATTCATTCAAATAAAATCTAAAATATATTCAAACGCAATCATTTTAATCAAGCCAAGTTTCAATAAAAAACACTACACACCCATACCCTTTGATTATTTTTAAAGTTACTCTCGAAACATGATAGTAGTAATAATTTTCATTGCACAAAGCTATTACAAAAGTGTTTAAGAACAGAAAAATTTTTATATTATCCCAACAAAAGAAGGATAAGAAAGGAGGGGGAAAGCTAAACATATACTATTGTCTGGTTTAATTATGCATATGCTTTGATAGCAAAGGAATCATCACAATTCAACACACTATTTTAATTTTCAACTGCTTTAAGGGGGGGAGAAACAAATAGAAAAAAGAAAAGGCAAATTCCAGCACATTATCAAATGTAGGGGAGATGTTGCTTTATCCCCATGTATGATACAAGTTATGGGGAAAAAAAGGGAATTCATTTTCTGGGTTTTGTTTCCTTTTTTTGTGGGGTTGAATTTGGTTGATCATGAGTCAGCTCAGTGGTGCTGTGCAGGTGCTGCTCCTGCTGGTGTAGGTGGCTTGCACTGATAGCACTTAGTAAATAATCCGAAAGTGTCAATTTGCTTGACGAAGTTGGTCATGCTAGCCCATCCACCGAACCCAAATCCAACCACCAGAACCCACACCACAATAAAGGCGTTGAATGCATACATTGCAGTCCAGCTTGGCATGAAGAATGGAGGCTTTTCTACAGCATTCTGCGCAGGAGAGAAAAGAGCAACAGAAAATTAAACTCTCTAAATCCAATCGGGTTGAGGTTGATATTAAGTTTACAAATTTGGGCAAGCAAATCTGTCAATTGGGATTGGCATTTGTGACAAAAAAATGTGACTAACTGCTACAGACCAAACTGGAAGGAAAAGGAGTCGAGTCAGCCAGCTCATCCAAGACACAGTACAACACAGCATCGGTATCATATAACTAAATGAAAAGCAATTAAACGCGTATGTATCATATAACCAACTGCTCCTGCTGTTGTGACATGCCAACCATCCAATTCTTCTCATAATGTTTCCAAATCCAAGCATTAAATGCGTTTGTACATTTGCCGCAGACTCACCCCCTCTCTCTCTCCACAATATGGCCACAGCTACTGTGGAATGTGGGAATCCTCAGGAAACCTTTCAGGAGTGCCCACTTAATTTTCAAAGACAAACACACCCCTAATAAACAAAGATAACCACAGCTTGAACCATACATTAAGTAATCAAAAGGGCAGTACGGGCAACTGGGACAACAAGATAATGGCCCTACAGAAACTTTTGTAAAGAGAGAGGATTAGTATCAGTGAAGTGAAGCAAAAAAATTTACCTGTCGAGCAGAGGCTTTTCTGTAGGTGAGCATATGGGCTAAAGCTGGGATGATGTAGACGGTGAAGCTAACCAAAAGAGCACCAACTGCAGAGTTTATGGGCCCAAAGAATGGGAAGATAATCGCCAGGAACCAGATTGGAATCACTACTGGCAGCCTTGCCAGCGCCCTCAAACAAATGCTTCTTGTGTCATGCATCCCAATCACTTTCTCCCACACGAAATACAACGGAGTACAAGCAAACCCAAATGTTATAAACTGCAACCATTACATCAGATCACCACTGTTACTTTTTACTATTAAAAGCATCATTACCCATTCAAATGAACCAAAGTCGTTGGTTGAAGTACTTTAGGAGGTAAACTGCTCCCAAAATGCCAAGCAACTAGCAAGCAATGATTAAAAAATGTTATCTATGCAGTAAATTTTCTTTAAAAAATCACTTGGAAGTAAAGTAGACCTGGTGAATAAGCATTAAGATGACGGCGGCGTCACGGAAACCGGACTTGGGGATGAGAGAGAAGGCATTGGAATGGTTGAGGAGCTGGTCCCCGAATGCCCAGTAGACAGCAGAAGCCGATGGAATGGTTAGGGTAAAAACGTACAATGTGGCCAACAAGTATATGTACTTGAATTTTTGAGGCTTCCACATTGCATGCATGATTTCCCTGAAAAAAAAAATCCTTGAATAAAAAATGCTTTTGCCTAGAAAAAAACGGTGATATAAAAAGGGTCATTCATTAACTTACGTTAGTTTTAATAAGTTGTTAGGAAATATACCTAAATGGCCAAAATGCCTCAAGCCATTGGATGCTCAAGTAACAGCTAGGGGAATTACAGCTGAAGTTCCTTTAATTTTATAGTCTTTTTTTGGATGAATGAACTATGCATTATTGAGTCTATGATATAGAAATTACGGTACAGGTAAAGACAAAAGAGACTAGAATAGATTAAGGTCAAAATCAACTTGTAACAGGGAAAAACAATTCGCAAATTGTTGTACATATGTTAATTCTACTGTTCAATTTTCCTAGAGAAAGGGAGAAAAGAGGAAGGGAGGTGGGATTTTAATGTTTGTTTCCGAGCAAATAAAAGTAGTTAGCATGATTTTGTCTGGGTCTCGAATGCCAAGACGGCCGGCAAAAGCTGCAAAGAGAAGCCGCGTAGAAACAAGAGAAAGAAAGAAAGAAGAAAGGGACAAGTGAAATCACTATTATTCTTCCAAGTTTTGAAGGGAAAAGCTTACACAGTCACAGCATGTCCGCCAAAGGTGTAGAGAATGTTGGTGGCTCCGGTGAAGTAGAGCACTAGCTTTGTTGGACCGCTGTGCGTCACGCCATCAACCTGAGAAGCAAAAAATATATGTAAAGAGAAGAGAAAAGCATTGAACATGGTGGTTGCATGGGGAGGAAGATCATGGTCGTTGATTTGTTGGTTTTAACCTTTTTTTTTTTTTTTACCTGGCCGTGAGCAAGGGCAGCTATGGCCAAGTACCAGGCCGTATAAGTGGTCATCCCAAGGCCTAGAAAAGACCAAATACGGTAGTTGTGAAAGGAGGGTATGAAAACTGTGGTTGCGCAGCAAGCTCCAAAAATATAGGTCCATGTCCTCTTGTCCAATTTATCATTGATGTAGTAAATATTACTGTTATCACACAAGTAAAAACAATGGTTAAAAAAGAAGAAAAAAGGAATGAAACCCAGTTTCAGATACTGCTTAAATTTGATGTTAAACACAGAATAAAGATCGATACTAACCTTGCACAAGCTATAAGTTGAATGACAGATCCGAATAAGAGGAAAGTACAGTTGAAGGCAAGTCCAACTGCCTTCCAGTATGGACCCAGCAGCCCATCAAGCACTTCAAACCACTGCAATCCGAAACAGTGTTGTTGTAACTTTTTAGTATAGTTGAGATCGCAAAAAGGGGATTTGTTGGAAAACATAATTTTTTGAGATATCTTTCTAGGGTTCTGCAAAGGAAGATTAGGTATCAGTGGTGGTGATGGGTTTCAGGTTTCTTGACAACCAACACAAACCTGGATGACATGGTTCTTGAAGCTGACATTCTCCTTCTCCTTCCTGCTTCTATACTCTATATAGAGCACACTGATGAGATATGCAGTCCAACTTCCAATCAGTCCATAGAATACCTGAAGCAGAATTCCTGACAGCATACCCAGTTGAGAAAAGGAATAGGGCAGTGTCAACAGCACTTGCGCCACCTATAAGGAAAACGGAGGAAGAAAATTTTGACACTATAGAAAAATGATGAAGCCAACTGATAGTTGAGGATAATTGGGTAATGGGTACAGGAAAAGGTACTTGATTGGACGCACAGCTGAACCAGGCATCCCAAGCAGAGCCACCATGCCAGAGGAGGCTCTTAACACTAAACATTGACTGTTGTTCTTCTTCTTTTGCTTCTTCTCTGGTTTCATGCTCCGTCTCGCTTAAGTTGGAGACAATTGCTTCTTCTGCTTGCTTCTGAGGCAACATTGTCTTCGTTTTTCTCTAAAGGGAACGTCTAAATCCTGGTAGATCTGAAACACATAAAAGACAGTTAATATGACAAAAAACTATAATCAAACGAGCAGCCCCAAGAAAACGAAAGTCAATAATACCCCAGATCCAAACACCCACAATTTCTTCCAAAACGTAGAAAAAGATAAACTAAAACTTCCATTCCATAGAAATACCACAAGAAAAGGGAAAGGAAAATAAAGAAAAAGTCAAGTGAGTTGAGAACAAAAAGAAAAGAGTACTGTTAACATGTTTTCACGAACGAAACCAAAGAGAAAGAAACTCCCCGGCAGCCCCCAGTACCACTTTCAACAAACCTTGTTCTGAGTTGTCTCTTTCGTGTAAAAGATTGAAGAAAATCAACCAGAGATCTGTCAATGACCCCAAAATGAGTGGGATTCAAAGACTGTCCTTTGCTTGAGTTGATCTATCACCTTTTTTTCCCTCCTCAAGAATGGAAAAACAGACTCCGATATAGTATTAGTATTATAACTAGATAAAAAGGGAAAAGCCAGAGAGGCTAGGAGGGCTGAGTTGGATATATTGAATAAGAGTTCAAGAATTCTCCATTTCAAGAATCGTCAGGGAGAACTTTAAATGCCTCCTGAAATAATTGCCTCAAATCTCCAGCTTCGAATCTCTTTGTCTCCCTTCTTCTGTCAATAAAAACTAAACTTTAGCCACAGTAAAAGCTCCTTACTTAAATGCAGCCACCAATATTTTTCTACGCTAAAAAAAATAAATAAAAGCAGTGCCGCACCCAAAGACGGCGAGACCTTAAAAGCAGGAAAACATCTCACTTCCTCACTCACCTAATTACCTCCCGATTCAATGGTCTTCGTAGCTGTTGAACTAAAGGCCCTTTTCGCTCCTATTCAACACTATTTTTATACTTTATAGCAACACTACAGTTGCATCAAACAGTATTACTCTATTTGTTTTTTCTCTCTTTTGGCTTTGAAATTTCCTCCACCCTCAACTGGAAGGAACTAAAGAGAGGTTTTCTTTGTTGGCGAGGGGGGGGGGGGGGAGTTTGAAAGAAAGGAGTGAGAGTGACTAAACCCCAAATTTCCTGTGTATTCCACTTCTGATTCGATTCTGGGGTTTTCTGTTTTCTTTTGGTGAGTAAGAGAGAAATAAAGATCTAAGCGACTGAGACGTTGTTCTGATCACAAAGAGAGACTCAACCTGACCAAAGACCTTTGCTTTTTATAGGCCTTTGGAAAATTTTACTTCAATGGCTAAGGTAATCTTTTTACGTGTCTACATTCGAACATTTGTCCTTTTACCAGACTCTGTCATGTGTTTTGCCTTGTATTTATGGAAACGGTGGCTCAGGACAATTTATTTCAACCTCAGAGCTTGTTTCCGAGGCCGTTAGATTTTGGTATATTTTTGTGCTTTTTTGGAAATGCTGCTGCTATTTCAGCTCGCCTAAGCTGAAGCCTGAAAGCTCGAATCCAAATCCAAATCTCAGTCAATAATTCCGGGGATTCATCATTCATTTTTTCCTTTCCTTTTTGTTTTCTAATACTGGATTCATTTTCCGTATTGAATTTTAATTGATCGAGGCTTCATCAAACTCCCTTCCTGTTCCCCCAATCAATGGAAAGGAATCCCAATTCCCACTCTATCTATCCAACGCGTGCAATTCACAGTCAAGGGAAACCGTTGAAGAACCTATGAGTTTAATCGGGGTGTTTTTGTCACGGTTGTATGGGGCATGTGGTAATAGCACATTAGCAAGTCACCTATGAAAAATACGATGAGGATCTTTTTATAATGGGCCGCCCAACCCCCAACCTACTGGTGGAATTGAAGGCTCATTTTGATTTTCATTGTTTTTTTCTTTTTTCTTTTTGGAAAATACAAGGTTTGGACTTTTTATAATTTTTTGGGTTTGATGTTACAAGGTTTAGACTTTTAACACTCTTTAGACACTAATCAAAATGACTTTAATAGATGTAGTATTATATTCAATTTTTACATTCTTTTAAACATTATATAATTTATTAGCTATTATTTTTTAGTGATTTGACGAATTGTATATTTATGTTATATATAATATTAAAAATTACATATTTATATCATATTTTATATAAAAATCATATAACATAATTTGTGTTAGCATAAAAATATAAAATATAATTTTTTATTTTGTTAAATTTAAATATGATTATTATTAAAATTTTAAGTCGTATTATTTTCATATTTTATTTTTATATCATATTTGTATTATATCAACATATCGTATTTTAAATTATTATATCTATTTTTAAGTTACTTTTTAATATTGCTATATAAAATAATCTCTTGATCTACCGTATTGAAAATCATTAATAAAATTATTAATTATTGCATTAAATACAAATTATTATAAATAGTATATTAATTAATTTTAAAAAATATCTTAAAAATACTTGTTAACAAAAATCCTGTATAAGATAAAGCACTTTTAAAATTTAATTACATTATAATTTATGAAAATATTTTTATATTAAACACGATAATTAGTAGTTAATTTGACAAATTCTAATACATTGAAACCTGAAGAATACATTGTCTAATATAATAAACTTAAAAATTATTTTTAAGACATTCGCTAGCAAAAAAATTATATATATTAACCATTTGTTACTTTATGCATTTCAATCCTCTTTATCAAAACATTAATTAGAGGTATTTAAGTTAAAATATAAATTCAAATTGTCAATGTTATAAAATTAATAAATATTGAAATTTTAAATTATATTTGTAAAGTTTTTTTTTTTCTAATTAAAGTTTTTATTATTTGAAAATTTTTAAAAAGAGCTCAGCCGGAGAAATGTAAGTTTGTAAAGGAAAAATGGCTGAAGCCGAGCCAAGATGGACCCGCCACATTGTTACAATGCGGCACGCTTTTAAAGGGAAATACGCGCACAATGAAGCCTTATAAAACCCCACTTTGCGGACGGTTCATGATATAAACATGCCCTTTAATCGACGGCTTGGCTGTGGCCCATTATGTATGGTTGGACCCACCCTTCATTATCTTTACAATTTAACTTTTTTTTTTTTTAATTTTCTCTATCCTTCCAATTCAAAGATTCTGCTTTCCATTTACTTTTGTTAAATAAAAATCCATGCAATTCATTGACATGCATAAAATGTATAGTTATTTACATTTTGTTTTTGTCACAAGAACACTTGTGAAAACAAATGTATAAATGATCTTTGGTTAAATATCTTTAAAGACAAAAACTCGTTTAATTTTGATTTTCATTTCCAAATACGTTATACAACAACGATCCAAACTAATTAATGAAGGTGGTGATGATAGAAGTGACGGTGACAATCGTGGTGGTGGAGGTGGGAGGTGGTGGAGCCACCATGATAGGGGGAGGAGAGTCCATATAAAATGGGAAAAATGTTTAGTGATATTCCATGCAAAACATCCACGTTGCCCCGTTCACACGGGGATTTGTCGGCTTGGTGAGGGTTTTGACTTGGCCTGTGAGCCAATCCCAGCAGATCTCCCACTTGCCCACTTCAAAAAATCCCCCTCATGTTTATCCTTCACTCATCACTACTTTTGCCTCTTTTTTCCATCTCCTCTTTGAGCTAAGTGACACTAACGTCTTGTGACTAATAAAGTGCACGTCGTAATGAAGCGAGGTTGGATGAACCAATCCCAAAAGCAGCCGTTCCGTTTCTTTTTTTCATCCAACCACAAAAAATAGTTTAAAAATTTTAACTTAGTGGGAGAAGTAATGATTAGTTAATAGATTTTGACGCCCCTCCGATGCCTTTGGTCTTTTCCATGAGGATCGAAATTCGGAGCATGTTCCATCCTTGCGTCTCACATGGGTCCCCTGATTTGCGTCTCTCCCATACTTGCCATCTTTAGTTCTCATTTTCCTCTTTTGTTTGTCCAAACACATATTCTGCCATTAATCGTCGGGTGTGAATGATTTGAATATTATCGCAAAATGTTAAAATTATATAGTTCAACTTTGAGCTTTTAATCATTCATTCATGTCCGAAATAAAATTTGTTGTCATGTAAGATCATAGTCACTTGTCATTAACTACCGTTAATAGTGATTGAATAATTATAAAATTGATAAGACGGCATTATTAATCGACACTTGTCGTTAGTAATTGATATTTAACTTAATAGTTCAAAGTAAAATTTTTGACGGAGATAAAAGTTGTGCTCCATCATTCACACCCCATGCAATTTTCAGTCATTCCACCAACTTGTACTACTGATCAGTTCAAAACTAATGCAATTGTTTCCATTAAGAAGACAGGTAAAGAAATTTGCAATTATGGGTTTGCCTTTTTTCTTTTAAATCCTTTTAGGTATATGTCAAGCTGGTAATTAAAAGTTAATTCAATATGAGAGTAGTTTGTAATTTTGTCGCCCAAACCACTGAATTAAGGAACTTGGTTACATGAACCCTGACAAAACTTTCGTGGGAGTTAATAATGTAATCATGAATTAATGCTTGCTTTTTTTTCTTTTTTTTTTGAAAAACCCATTGCTAAACAATGGAATCTTAAATTAAATAGACGAGTAGAAGGGTCTAGGGTTTTAGAGGGAGGCCAGAACATTAACCAAAGGACGGAAAATGCCTTTTTTGGATTAGGGCTAGTGCTCTTAGGGGTCACTCGGTGCCTACATACTCACTTAGTCTTTCACTTTTATGGACTTTCATGTAGGACTCACCAACACCTTCATGCCAATGTTAGTTCCCGTTTGAATTCAATTGTATCGAAATGAGATTGAATATATTATATTATCAATTGATTCTAATGTTAATTTTAGTGAGATTAGTTTAGAATAAATTTTTTATTAAATTTTTTTAATCATAATTATAATAATAATTATTATTATTTTTAATTTCGTTACAATCAATCTTATCATCCATCCAAATAAAACTTTAATCATTTAGCAATTAATTGGTTACCTACATACTTACATCACAAGAAATAGAAGGAAAAAATATTTCTTTCTTGTTAAGATTTATCTTAAAATATGCAAAATCAAAATTTAATAATAAAATTCAATTAAAAAATTAAAATTTAACGGTAAAATTTAATCAAATTAAAATAGAATGGCAAAATTCAACATTGAAATAGAATGCAATGACAAATTTACCTTTTATATATAAAAAAGTTGATTATGTGCCTCTTAGGGCTTGTAGAAAATTAAAGGTAAATCTCTAAAATTGGTACTGACACCATAAATTGCAGCATTAACTATGATTTGTCCTTGAATGATTGGACTTATAACGTCCTTGTTATTTTATGAAGAACTATATATCCAACCCTGTTTGAAGGAAACCGCTGCTGCATGCATAGCAGTCAGACTCGTTCGAAAGTAAATAAATAAATAAAAGCAGTATTGGCTTATCCCTTATATTTTTCAAAGGATAGTCTGTGAAATTGACATGATCTGTCAAGCCTATAGCAAAAACATTTTGGAAGGACCAGTACTTGTTTTTCATCCACTTGAAAGCTGACCCCCCAAGAGACTATAACATTTTGTGTATGGTTGTGAGTTCAAACACGTTGGCCAAATTTTTAGTGTGGTCCAATATTAAGCTTTCATATACAGTGGACGAAGTGGGTTTTTGTTTGCACTCGTTTCTTTAAATGACTTCCTAATTTGCTTTTTTCTTTTTATAATTTTTAGTTCATCCTTACCTTTCGATCTTTATCTATTTAATTTATTTATTTTGTTTAAGAAAAACATTAAACACTTAAATCTTTTTAAATTGATAACTTTTAAGAGTCTGATTAATATATATTATCTAAATTAATACTTGATTGATTTACTATTATACTTAATTATAAAACAAATTGACTTTTGTATGTACCTGACGATGATTGATCTCTAACTAATTTTTTAATTACATCTGAAAAGGATGGTTTTATTGATAAAATTAGTAGTCTGAGTACTAATTATGGCATCGGCCGGGGGAGTATGCATATAACTAATTAATAAAGAAAATCTCACTTAATTAAGATTATCTAAATTGATCAAACATTATAGCTAGGAATGTCCTTCAAGCATTTCTTTTACCATCTCTTATTCAATTCTTGGGAGCTATAGGGGACTGAAAAACATGAATTCCTCACCATAGAAACCTAGATGTTAGACTATAGTTATAGTCTCAAAAGCCTAAATAATTTATAGTGAATGTATCCCTAAAAATTAGTATAATTATAATAATCAACCGAATTAATTGTCAAACAAAGTTTTCAGGGAAGAATAATGAGATGGGACATAAGAACCATGATGCTAAGACAGCACAACTGTCTATCCCTTTCATAACTTGCTGCAACCCATATATAATTTGAAGCTGATGAATTATTGCAATTAGCAACCCTATAAAAAAGAAAGAAAAG